TTCATACATTTCCTATACTGACCCCCATTACTTTTCAACCCCGTAGTATACAAATGAAGTGCATTCAGCATTTATTTTTTTTTCAAAAATTCTTTAACTCTAGTTTTGATCCATTTATCAAAAAATATGTATTACAAATATTATCTACCTATCAGAAGAGCACAGGACTTCACTGTTATAAAGAAAGCTCTCCCCCAAATGGGGGTCCCTGATGATGTATATTCATTTACTGAATTTACCCCTGTAGACATCCATTATTTGATAGGCAACAAACGTCAACACTTTACCATTAATAATTAATCAATTATTTTATCATGGTTATTGGGACGTCCATTACTTCATATGCAACAATTTTCAACACTTTACCATTGATAATTTAGCCATTATGCTATGTAGACGTCCATTATTTGATATGCAACAATCGTCAACACTTTACAATTGATAATTTACCCATTATGATATGTGGAGTTCGTTATTTGATATGTAACAATCTACAACATTTTATCATTTATAATTTCTCATTGTGTTAACTGGACTTCCATTATTGCATATATTAAATTTACAACATTTCACCACTTACAGTTTACCCATTACGTTATGTGGGCGTCAATTCCGTGATATGCAACAATCTATAACGCTTAAATATTGAGTTTACACATTATGCTATGTGGACGTCTATTACTTGATTTGCAACAATTGTCATCATTTCACCATCCATTATTTACGCATTATACAATGTGGAGGTCCATTATTTGATATGCAACAATCTGCAACATTTTATCATTTAGAATTTGCCATCATGCTATGTGGGCGATCAAACCTTAATATGTAACAAGCGTCAACACTTTACCATTTTCAATTTACCAATTATGCTATGTGGACGTCCATTATTTGATATGCAACAATCTTCAACACATTACCATTTACAATTTACCAATTATGCTATTTGGACGTCAAATATTTTATATTCAGCAATCGTCAACACTTGACCATTTATAATTTACCAATTATGCTATTTGGACGTCAAATGTTTTATATTCAGCAATCGTCAACACTTGACCATTTATAATTTACCAATTATGCTATTTGGACGTCAAATGTTTTATATTCAGCAATCGTCAACACTTGACCATTTATAATTTACCAATTATGCTATTTGGACGTCAAATATTTTATATTTAGCAATCGTCAACACTTGACCATTTATAGTTTACCAATCATGCTACGGGGAGATCGATTACTTAATATGCAACAATCTACTAAACTTAATCATTGTTAATTTACCCACTATGTTATTATTGACATTTTTACCTATTGTGTCTATTTGTTTTGTTCACGCATCGTTGTCAATTTAATTGAATTTGATGCGACTGTCATACAAGTGAGAGGTTTAGCTAGCTATAAAACCAGGTTCAATCCACCATTTTCTACATAAGAAAATGCCTGTACCAAGTCAGGAATATGACAGTTGTTATCCATTCGTTTGATGTGTTTGAGCTTTTGATATTGCCATTTGATTGGGGACTTTCCTTTTTGAATTTTCCTCGGAGTTCAGTATTTTTGTGATTTTACTTTCTATATGGAAGTCCAGTCCATGAGGTATTATTGTTAACATTTCTAGAGGTTTTGTACAAGTTCCGTTGCAGGTGTAGATCACTCTGTTCTCAGTTGAAGAGAAACTTAGGTTGTATCTCAGTTAGGGCTTTTCACTGTTATAACAAAAAATGTTTGATCATGGGTTCAAATATGATTTTCAGCAAATGAATATGTCTGTTATCAATAATTTTCTTGACTATTTCAAAGATTTCTAGAGTTTAACTGCAGATTTATTTTCTACAGTGATTATTGTTTAAGTATATAAATGGTCAAGATAATAACATAAACGGTACCAATTTTACTGCTACATGAATTCATATATTACATACACCTGGTTTTAGTCCACATAATTATCTGTGTGTTTCAACTACCAATTATTTTGGTCTCTAGGGTTTGTGTTTAGTCCACATTACAGCACTTCTGTGTTTGCAAGAGTTATCATTGATATGATCATAATTATAAATTAGATAAACTCATCATAGATACCAGGATTGAAATTTTGTATATGCGCCAGACGCGCGTTTCGTTTACAAAAGACTCACCAGTGACGCTCGAATCAAGAAAAGTTAAAAAGGCCAAATAAAGTACGAAGTTGAAGAGCATTGAGGACCAAAAGTTTCCAAACGTTTTGCCAAATTCTGCTAAGGTAATCAATTCCTGAGGTAGAAAAGCCTTAGTATCTAAGAAAATTAGCTGTTTACAAAACTTTGAATTTTCGTAAAACTAAGGATTTTCTACTCCAGGAATATACTACCTTAGCTGTATTTAGCAAAACCTTTCGGAATTTTGGGTCCTCGATGCTCTATAGCTTCCTACTTTATTTGGCCTTTTTCACTTGTTTGATTCGAGCATCATTAATAAGTCTTTTGAAGACTAAACGCGCGTCTGGCTTACAAAACTTTAATCCTGGTATCTATGATGAGTTCATTATATATACAAGTCGTGTAGAAGCTGCAATAAAGTATGGAATCGATTTTAATATAATATGTTTTACATTTTTCCTCATTATCTGCTAAAGAAAACAGACGTCTTACAGAGAAATTTTAGAATATCTGCAATAATAATACAATAACCAATGATCTGATATAAATGTAATAATTTACCTCAAGAATTATTAGACAAGTATAAAGAGGGGCATGATGTCATATCCAGACCATCGTCAAAGGAGGGACATCTGTTCATACAAAGGTAATCCTAATGAAATAAAATGTCTTGCCACCTTTCATTTGGCTTTAAATGTGAAAAAAATGTCAGGATCAACTTACTACTTTGTAGAACATGGGCAATACATCTTTCGTATACAATAAGTCATATAAGAGCAATTTTGAATATCTTCAGATCCAATTCACATGGTGGATTTCAAAAATAAATAAATGAACATATTAAATGACTTTTCATGTTAATACAAAAGTGCTGACTACTGGGCTGGTTATACCATAGGGGACGAAACGTCAACAAGCAGTGGCTACGACCCAGTGGTTGTAAACTCATCACAGATACTAGGCATATAATTCGGAACGTCAGATCGACGTGCGCTTCGTCTATACAAGACTCATTAACTGGCGATAGAATTAAAACAGACCAAATTAAATACTAAGTTGAAGAACAATAAAAACCGAAATGTCCCCGAAAAAAATACCAAGTTGGTCATTAAAAGCATAGGTCCGAAAAAAATGGGTCAAATAAGGCTAAGGCTATCAAATCCAGTTATTATTTTCACATTTCTTCTGTTCATTCTAATGCACAATATCCATTAACTCATTCATTTACTAATTTGAAATTTTAATGAATTATGAATTCAAACTTTCCAATTGCAACAAAAAAATGAAAACAACACGTTATAAATTTCATGCGTACCAAGCGCTTTTCTGGATTTACCTTCATCAAGAACGCTCAAAGCCAAATATTTGAAAGCCAAGGATGTATATGAAGAGCTATAAACCAAAAAGGACCTTAAAAAATAGCCAAATCCATCTAAGGCCAATTTTGCCTGAGGGAGTTGAAACCTTAGTTTTTTATATCATTTCAAAATTTATAAATGGGCAATTTTAAAAAGTTTGTTATAAATCATGTCAGTACCGAAGTACTGACTACTGAGCTGATGATACCCTCGGGGACGGATAGTCCACCAGCAGAAGTATCGATTCAGTGCTGTAAAAACTGTTATTATGAGTCATCCAATGTCTTTGGACCTAGTGTACACTATATGTGTATTCATGTTCCGAGTCATCCAACGTCTTTAGACCTAATGTACCATATATTTGTATTAATGTTCCAAGCAGATGGTCAGTCTATCTCTTAATATATTATGTGCAGCAACAAGAAAAGTTCTAAATCTTGAACGTTGGATTGACCTTTGCCCTAGTTTATTGACAATAATTGTGGCAATGAATGGTTTGTCGTTTGATATTAAATATGCTTCATTTATCTTTGACATGAATAAATGAACAGTATTGACCAACATTGCTTTAATGGTGTGTTTAAGCCCAACACTCTGCTGCCATTCTATTCTAAAGCTACGGAGTAATACATGAAAGGATCTTTAAGAATTTAATGATAAGTATGGTCCAAATATTTGTCTTAATGTTACAAACATTTGGCCATATTTTCTTCATAATCCCCGTTTCCATATGAATTTAGGCAACAGTAAGTTACTAATGTTCAAATTTCATAATTCATAGTCGAATCCTACAATACAAATCAAGGTAAAATACATACACCGAGTTAAGTTGAAAACCCAAAAAGGAACATTCCGTATGTGCTTGTCCCAAGTCAGGAGCCTGTAATTCAGTGGTTGTCATTTGTTGCTGCATATCATATTTGTTTTTCGTTCATTGTTTTGTACATTGATCAGGCCTATATTTTTCCGTTTGAGTTGTTTTACATTTATCGTTTCGGGGCCATTAATTGCTGACTATGCGGTATAGGTTTTGCTCATTGTTAGAGGCCGTAAGGTGACCTATAGTCATTTAGTCTCTGGTGGAGAGTTCTCATTGGCAATCATACCCAAATTTTTGACAATTTTACCTATAATGTCTGTTTGTTTTCCTCACACATTTTTGTCATTATAATGGAAATTCTATGCGACTGTCATACAAGTGAGAGGTTTATGCTAGCTATAAAATCAGGGTTAATCCACCATTTTCTACATGAGGAAATGCCTGTACCAAGTCAGGAATATGACAGTTGTTTTCCATTCGTTTGATATGTTTGAGCTTTTGATTTATTCATTTGAAAAAGGACTTTCCGTTTTGTATTTTCATTGGAGTTTGGTATTTTTGGTATTTTTACTTTTTTTCATATTTTTATAAGACATGGTGTGTCGACAGAGTAAGTTCCTCCTGCTATAAAACTGACCTGCCTGAATTTTTCATATATTTAAAGATTCAATAAAAATGATAAAATTTCATATAAAATCATTTATTACATCATTGTATACATTATTGTTCATCTTTTCAGTCTGATTAATGACTAGAGCAAAGACATGAAAGGCAAATAGTGTTAAACCTGTTTAAATCAAAGCCTCCTTAACAGTCAAACACAGGTTCATTCAGTGTACAGTAAAACCTGTCTAAATCAAAGCCTCTCAAACAGAAAAAATGCCTCTTGTAAAGGACAATGATTTGATCAGTCTTTACTTATCACTAATAACTAATCCTTGTAAGACACGGCTTGTGTGGTGCTTTACTTGATTTATTCATAATGCCAATGATTTTTCTTGATTCTTTTAATATTTGTTCTATCTGATATCCTCGGTATATTTAATCAGACATGATTTTGATATACCACATGGCATGATTTAGATATGTTTTTTCCTTGTTTATACAAATGACAAGGCTTCATTATTTTCCATCAAGAAAATTCCTACTACTTTCAGTCTTTCTGCAGCTAAACGTGATTAAATTCATTTGCTTATCGGGAGGTTTGATTGAAGTTAAAATTATCTATATAAAACATTGACTTTTCCTGGAAAAGTAGTAAGTAAAGAATAATAATGAAGCCTTGCTATAATTGGTAAATGGTAAAACTCATCATATATCAAATAGTGAGTACACAACATTTTATATTTCGGACAAATTATATAAATAATAATCAACGATTCCACAATTTTATATATTATTAATCATGCATTACAGCCCAGGTGTATTTATCTTTATCTACCTTGACACTTTGACCACTCATGTCCATTTGCCCATGTATACTCATGGCTAACTGTCAACCTTAACCACTGATGTCCATATGCCCCCAGTGTATACTTATATAAACCTGCCCATCATGACCACTAATTTCCATCTGCCCACCGTGTATACCTATGTCTACCTGCCAACCTTTGTCACTCATGTCCATATACCTTGCATGTATACTCATGTCAACCTGCCAACCGTGACCAATCATATCTATCTGCCCACCGTGTATACTCATGTCTATCTGTCACCCGTGACCACTCATGTCCATTAAATATTTAACATCACATTTAAAACAATATTGAATGCAATAGTTTTTTTCATTCTTCCAAGGTATTGTATGATCAATTCTAAGTATGAAGAATAGAAATAGCATGTCCACCCCAAAGGGCTGGCACAGGGGAGTAGTTCTGTCCACTCCTAAGGGCAGGCACAGGGGAGTAGTTCTGCCCATTCAAAAGGGCGGGCACAATGGAGAAGATCTGGCCACTCCAAAGTGCAGGCACATGAAAAAAAATCTGCTCACTCCACTCCAAAGAGTGGTCAAAGGGGTGACGTTTTGCCCACTCCAATGGGCAAGCATAGGGTAGAGGTTCTGCCTACTCCCAAGGGTGAAGGGGAAACAAGGGTGAAGTTCTGCTCACTCCAAAGGGGGAGGGGGAACAGGGGAGAAGTTCTGCCCACTCCATAAACATTGTAAGGACATGTGAAAATGACAAAATTCATGTGAGCAGTTGAGTGCCATTACATATTTGTCACATGATTGCTGGTATACCAGTTCATTTTTCAAGAAAGATAAAATTACATCGAGCCTCAATTACCACTCAGAAGGCAGAGGATTGTGTGTAATTTTCCTGTTGTTTGCCAAAGGATTTATGGTAATTTTCTTGATGGCACACCAAAGGATTGTGTGTAATTTTCCTGTTGTTATGCCAAAGGATTGTGGGTAATTTTCTTAATGACACACCAAGGATGTAGGTAATTTATCTTGTTGGCCCACCAACAAATTGAGGGTAATTTTCTTGATTGCACACAAAAGGATTGTGGGTAATTTTCTTGATTGCACACCAAAGGATTGTGGGTAATTTTCTTGATGGCACACCAATGGATTGTGGGTAATTTATCTCACCAAAGTGACCATTCTTTAGTAAGTTATTTGCAAATTTCAAAATTTTGGGGTATATTTTTGAAAATACTACCCACAATGCATTTGATTCTGAAATTGTTTAATGATAAAATTAGAATCATAATTAAAAAAAAATACATTAAAATAACATGACATAAACAATCAAGGCTAACATTTGTGATAGATATTGATTTCTTTAAAAGTTAAATAAAACATATATATATAAAATGCAAATAAGAATGAAATTATTCTACAGTAGCTATACTTAAAATTTTTGGGTCTACCAGAATACTTAACAAAAAACAACATAATTTGTTCTTAACATATCACAAAATATTAAAATAGTACAAATTACAACTGTCTCCTAGCAACATAAAGATTACAGCAGGATCATTGAATCTATAATTGTCCTTAATAAGTACAAATAATCAAACAATAAATAATTATCAAGTAACATTTATGTCATTTATTTCTGGTTCAAGGTTCAAGTATAATTGATCCCTTGTCACACTAAATTTAAGTCTATGTATTCACAATTACTGGTTGATTGAAACAACTGACAAAAACAAATTAGGACCCAGGAATTTGGTTCAGAAAAAAGAACACCTTTACAAGCCACTAGGCATAGATGTAGCAAAATATTTTTGGCATATTTTGGACATTTTCAATAAATAAGTTGTCCTCATTTTGTCTTCAATTTGAAGACTCTCATGCCCCTTAATGCCACACTATTTGTCAGCACCAACATGTTTAAAAAGTGGATGGAAAAAAGAAATAAAGAGGACAAATGCCATACTTCATTATCATATATGAGGGTCTTGATGGGGGTCCTTCATTTCTCAATTCTTTAGGTCATCTTTCTGTATTCTTTATATGTTTTTCTTTTTTTTTTTATATTTGAGCACCCCATTATTCTCTATTCTTTATTTGTTTGCCCTATTTTTCTCTATTCTTTATATTTTTTGTCATTTATTCTGCACATTTTGCCCATTATTCTCTATTCTGTTAACCCCAATCATACCCTCATATATAAAATGTCAGAAAATAAAAAGTTTAAATATAAGGTGTAATTGTATATGAAACCAACTCATTTGCATGAGTAATATATTTCTGCTACTTTCTATGAAACAAAATTAACATGAATATTTCTTCTCTTATATACATAGTAAAACAAAATGACTGGGATGTCCGCTTAAGTGGATGTTTTAATCAGCAATGCACTGTAAAAGGCAGTTTCACCAAATGTTTTTTAAGCATTTATGTGAAAAAGATTTAGAATAACACACACTACTATTAAAAAAAACTTCTGGTAAAATAAGTTGGTTTGTGAAATGTCACAAAAAATTATAATCTGATAATTAACAACATATATATTTCATCAATTCTATTTACAGCAATCATTATACACTTAACAGTTTAATATTTTCTTTTATACAAAATATTTCAATTGGTCAACAAAATAAATAGATTACATTCATATAAATATAAATTATTTACAATTTAAATTTCAATAATTAAGTATTTATTTTTATTCTTATTCTTTTATTTAATTTTATATGGGAGAGGTCCTTCTGTTCTGTCCTATATATTTTTGACTTTTGTACCGGTATTTGTTTGTTTTATTTAATCTTATATTTGGAGTTGTTCTCCTGTTCTGTTCTTTATATTTCTGTATTCTTTCATTTGATTGTTTGATTGTTTGCTTTTTTTATTAGGAAGTGGGTCTCCTTTTCGGGGGAAAATCTTAAAATTTCATTTGTTGTACAATCCAATCTTCAATATAGTGGGTATAATCTCTAATCAGCAAAGTGTTTGTAAAAGGAATTTCTACCAAATGCATTTCAAGCAATCACGTGAAACAGATTAAAATAAATCTTGTTATTAAGAGGCTTACAATAGATTTATGAAAATGGCGGACAAAAACGTACCAGAGATCTATATAAGTTTAGTCCCTTAATTTAAGGTCTACCTCCTAACGTCTGTCTTCTAACCATTTACAAAACGTTTTAGAATGAGTTGTATTTAATTTGTTCTCAGTAGTTATTCTTAAATGGAAAAAAATTATATGACCCCGACAAGAAAATAAAAAATGATGTTCTTGTTAAAAACAATTAAAAAAAATAACTCACAGCTCCTGGCAAACTCTTATAAATACATGCATGTTTCACATAAATGCTCTAGAAAATTAAACATTTAATTTGACCATTTTATAAAGCATCACCAGTATTCTACAGATAGACTACCAAAAAACAAGATAAATAATAATTGTATGTTATCACAAAATAAATTTACACCACTGTATCCAAGTACCTATTAGTAAATGTTTCAATTACAGAAGAAATTATCTTAAAATGCACACCATTTCCTAATTTATTTTGACTTGAAATTCAACTTGAACAATGCTTTAGTTCCGTGTAAACACATGGAGTTGCTGTTCGGGTTTGATACCAAGAAAAAAAGGCGGGAAAAAGAATCACTCAAACTCAGGATAATGAATTGGTTGTTTCTGTATTTTTGTTTTTTCATTGCCACTCCATCTTTTTTTTTATCACCCAACCATACCACTATTTTAAAAATCCTATTCTACCACTACAGTAGATTAACTATGAATTTAAATAAATCATAAAATAAGATCAAAGATAAAATCTGCTTATTGCTTTCTACAAAATTGTAGCTCTTTTCATAGAAAATCTAACTATCAAAATATTGATGGTAAGTTATACTGAAAGGTTCATGATATACAAGTATTTGTTCTCGCTAGATTTTTGTAAAATTCATTACTGAACAGTTTCCAAAACCCAAATTTATAACTACGGAAAATCACAGTCAAAATATATAGCACTACTCTCTGTAAATTAACATCTAATTAGTAAACAAAAACTACCTGTTGAAACAATCTATGTAAATTAAATTTTTTAAGAGTCCATGACCAGTACACACATAAAAAACAGTATTTGCTACAAATACCCAATGAATGCCACTGCTTATTAATTTTATGCAAAATGGTTCTGGTATTCAGACATACCACCCCCAGTTTTAAAACAATAAACATACTCTTTACAACAACCCTACATTGTACAAATTACAAATGTGTCGAAAATAAAATATGTCTATCCTGTGTATTACAAAAGTCATCACATAGTGTTTTATGATCGCCATTTGAGCTTTCAGTAAGGTCATGGATATTGGAATTATCATCTATTACTACAAAACTATCATCCTGTCCACATATAGTGTCCTTGTATTTGCTATTTCCAATGAAGTCATTTTGTCTGACAAAGCCATCGTGTCTAACAGAGTCACTATTACAATATGTGTCATTGTTTTCTTGGGTTTGGTCAAATATATTAGAGTCTGTTTCTCTTAGGGAATTTTGGTCAAACTCTGTCAAATGTTCTAAGGTAGATAACTCTGTCAAATGTTCTAATTCATTATCCATCACATTTGGTTTTTTGTACATGTCTTTTTTTAAGGAAGGAAATTCTACATCAAGAAATATAGGTAATTTTACATTTTCAGATTTTGCCATTTCCTTTTTTACAAATTGTACCGTATCTGTTTTAGACATTGTTCCTGATTGAGAATTTTGACATTCTGGTTCTGTCAACACAACAGATCTGGGATTTGTCCATGCATCTTTTTTTGGAATGTTTGGTGTCTGCTCCTTGAGAGAACTGCCAGTGGATATTTGAAGTAATTCTGAATTTGTTTTAGGAACTGAATTACTACTAAACTTATGAACTGTACTGTGAGCAAATTGGTTCTTAAATGAATCGGGAGATATAACTGTGCTCTCACATTCAGAAACATCAGAGCCTTTACGACTTTCCGGAGACAGTTCCGAGTTATCGCCATCTGAATGACCTCGGTCTGTGGAATCAGAATTACTGCGTGCCAGTGTGTCTTCTGACTTGTCAGACAAATTATCATCATTTCCTGACAGCTTCACAAGTTCGTCTAACACAAAGAACGAGTCTTCTGGATTTTCATTGCTCTCAGTATTGCTAACCTGTCGAGACATTTCACACATGGCTGATTCTGTGGCAGATATTCCCGTCTCACTTGCACTATGTTCCTCAATACTTGGAGTGACCATGCGATGTGTAGGGATTGGTCCACCTTCTTCATAAAATATCTAAAAAATATCAATAAAAAAAAATTAAATTAAAAAACCACAAGGCATATCATTTACTGTTTTACGTATTTATTGTATTCTGGATATTTGAATTGGTTGTTAGTATCTAAGCCACTTTCAGCACTCTTGGCTAAATTATGCTGGCCATTTTTTATTAGTGGAGGAAACCAGAATACCCATCTTTGTCAGAGAAACTGGCAATCCCAATAAAATAAGATCGGAGTCAAAAGCACCTGCCAAAAGTTAGGTTCCAATTCGTTATTCCACTGTATTATAATAAGATCCGAGTCAAAAGCACCTGTCAAAAGTAAGGTTCCAACTCGTAATTCCACTGTAATACAATATTTAGAGAACTCAGCCTGCTCCAGTAATCGCATGAAACAAAACCATGTGTGAATAAAATACTTTTCTATGGACACAGAAAGAAAACTACTTAGAACTGTTCAATAAAAATGCATAGTTGCTAGCTCCTTCTTCATTTGGTCTCTAGTGGAATGTTGTCTAATTGGCAATCATACTATATCTTCTATTTTTATATTCATAGGAGCAAGGGAAGGAAGTTCAATATACCAACTATCAGTCACCGTCCAATATTTCTGCCTTGGGACATTCATGTCAGTTACCCTGTATCTGCCTGACTGAACTGTAATAAAAGAACAGAGTTCCAATGTCCCACACATTGCACATATTTTATCTATCCAAGGTACAAGGGCAATAACTAACAAGAATGTGTCAATAGTACACGGATGCCCTACTCGCACTATCATTTTTACACCGGATGATCGTGAGGGCATTCCAGTGTTTTGTCGCCGCAGACATTTCTACCCACGTGACTTGCGTTTTTGACTGATAACTGAACGTATTTTGTATAATTACGCGGATATTATCGAGTGCAAAATAACATTCCTTATCGCTTGTTATATATTAATTTCATCAATAAATATTCATGAAAATAATTTTTTAAGAACATAGATAAAGGATATGAAAATGTTTTGCCGTGAGAAATATATATTAATAACAAATCAAGAATACCGAAAATTTGTGTTAACGCATGCTGAAGAATATCTCAAGAACTTTTTGCAACAAACACAGGAAATTATGAATTCCTACTCAAATCCAATCTATTAGAAAAACGAATTATTACAGAAGAGTTTCCACCATGCACTTGCACTGCACTAGCATTAGAAAAGTAGAATAGAATGATATACAAATGGATGAAAATTATATATAACCGTTATACAAATATTAATATAATATGTAACAACAAACCAGAGTATACTGATAACAAATGATTATATCACTACAATATAATAGTTATTACAGTGAGGTTGAATTCCCTGTCATTTAATGATTTATTCATCATCCACACAGGAACTTGTCTCAGAAAAAATATATATCTATGTACCTAAACCTAACTTTCAGGTATAGAGATGTGATTTTTTTTCTGAGATAAGTGATTGTGACCATCCACCAGAACTTGCGGTCATCCAATGTTCAGTACTTCAGTACTTTGATTAATGTTCAGTGGACCGTGAAATTGGGGTCAAAACTCTAATTTGGCATTATAATTAGAAAGATCATATCATAGGGAACATGTGTACTAAGTTTCAAGTTGATTGGACTTCAACTTCATCAAAAACTACCTTGACCAAAAACTTTAACCTGAAGAGGGACAGACGGACGGACTGACAGACGGACGGACGAATGGACAAAAAGACCGAAAAACATAATGCCCCTAGGTGGGGCATAAAAAAAGAACTTTTTTATTTCTTTAAACTTCATATTAATATCTTAGAGAAATGTAGGCTATAGAGTAAATGCAATGTGATTTCCATTATAATTAATATTTCCAAGGCATAACTCAATAAAAATATTTGATCAGCACTTATTTTCGAATGTGTCAAAGACATTGCTGATATAAACCTATAAATTTCATAAGATTCTGGCAATAACTGTACACATGAGAGCGCTAACAATGCAATTTTCCATATAATTAATGTTTCCAAGGGGCATAACTCTTTTAAAAATAATTGATCACTGATTTTCGAACTTGTCCAAGACACTTATTACAGCCCTAGTTTTAAAACTTTCTTACCTTTCTGGCTTGGACCTGTTCTAAGGAAACACTTATTTCTGGAATGGTTGAAGGTGCATTTAACATCAGGGAGGCAAACTGGGAAAAAATCTGTGGTGCATGAGTAATTGGCTTTGTCTGAAAAAAAAACAATGTTTATTCACATACAATCTATAAGTGTTGGTCATCAACTATTTTGAGTCTTTAGTTTTGCTGATTCTGAATAAGTTATTATCCTATGTATCGTATCCTAATCGTCATAGTTTGCACTTTCACCCTAACAAGGTGTACGGTGAACTGTTGTTCACGAATGACAATCTGGCTATAAGTATTCCGTTAACAGGAAGTTTATGAGAGATTGACGTGAAAAGGCATCACAGCATTCTCATATGATAGCTCAGATTTGTAGGAACTGAGAAAAATGACACAAAATTTCAGATATTGTCATAACTGAAGGTCTGGATGGGGGGTCCTTTATTTCTTCATTATGTAAATGTTTAGACCATTTTTCTCTATTCTTTCTTTTTTTTTTTTGCTTTTTTTTCTCTTCTTCATTTTTTGTTGCCTATTTTTTTCTCTTCTTTATTTTTGGTTGCCTATTTTTCTCTATTCTTCATGTTTTTTTGCCTATTTTTCTCTATTCTTTCTTTTTTTTTTGCCTATTTTTCTCTATTCTTTATTTTAGGGGCCTGTTTTTCTCTATTCTTAATATTTTTTGTCATTTATTCTGCAATTTTTGCCTATTATACTCTATTCTGTTAACCCAATCCAGACCTTCATAGATTGTAAGAATACATATACATGTATATATTTAGTAAAAAAAAAGTTTAGAGCAATGAATTTGAACAAGCATCTGATAGACAAGGATGCTCACATGAAGCTTGATCACACATATCTGGATGTTCTGACTTGTAGTTCCTAAAAAAATATGATGGACATCTTAAAACACCAAAATATATTGTATCATCTTTAATTTCATCATATTTACCCCACCATATTTCTCCCCCTGCTTACTGGACATCTTTAGGGTAATTAAAACACCAGAATATATTGTTCCATACCCCCTGAGTTTCAATCATACTTACGACACTGAATTTCTTGCCCTTTTTACTCGGTCGTCTTTTGGTTGGACGTACACTGGAATATTCCGTATCTTCTGTTTTCTTCAGTAATATGTACTTGCCATCATCTAACTCATCAACTACTCCTGAAAAAACAAATTATTTTCATATTCACAATTTATCTAATCGTGTTTATCATCAAATTCTATTGTAAGAGTTTATTTCCTTGATGGACAGAAATTTACATTGAGATTTGTATATTGCAGTTTTCACACAGAAAACAGGAAAATTGCTTTTGAAAAGATTGATTTTCACTGGATACTCAAGATACTCAAAAAAGTCATATTATAGCTCAATTTTGTTTAAAATTTAACAAGCATTCTGTGAGTATTGCATGGCAATACATAGTCCCCTACCGGTTGAAAATTCATTGTATTGGAATAAACTTCTAACTTGATATATAACTTGTCATGGTGTAAACTATATAACAAATATCAAGTCAATATCTTGGAGCATGACGAAAAAAAAAAGTGTTGAAAACTTATTATTAAAGTGAATTTTGTAAGTCCAAGGACCATAACTCTGCACAAAATCATCAGACCGGAACACAACTCAAACTTGATCTGTAAGTTGTCATGATAAAACTATATACCAATTATCAAATCAATATCTTCAAGTATGACAAAAAAAAGTGTGAAAAACTGATTATTTTTGTGAATTTTCTAAGTCAAAGGAACACAACTCTGCACAAAACCATCAGACGGGAACAAAATTCGAACTTGATCTGTAATTTGTCATGATAAAACAATATGCCAAATATCAAATCAATATCTTGAAGGATGAAAAAAAAAAGTGTGGAAAACTGATTTGCCGGATTGACGTATGGACAGACGGAGTGCAAACCTGAAGTCCCCTTCAACTTCGTCAGTAGGGGACTAAAAACATGTGGTGAATTTCAACATTTGTACAAAGCCATCTTTGCATTAATTCATCTTAGAATGAAAGATTTACTATAATGATTAAGCATCTTTATAAACATAAAATAACATTGGCTTTATTATCCTATTGAAGCAATTAATTGTATATCTGACATGTTTTAAGGAAATTAACCAAATCAATACCAGTAGTCATTATACACTATTACATTAACAGAAGTATTTGGAGGAGAGATCTACCAGACGGACTGAACAGAAGGACACCACTGTATTGTACCTTATAGTATTTGGAGGAAAGATCTACCAGACGGACTAAACAGAAGGACACCACTATATAATACCTTATAGTATTTGGAGGAGAGATCTTCCAGAGGGACTGAACAGAAGGACATCACTGTATCATACCTTATAGTATTTGGAGGAGAGATCTACCAGACGGACTGAACAGAAGGACACCACTGTATCATACCTTATAGTATTTGGAGGAGAGATCTACCAGACGGACTGAACAGAAGGACACCACTGTATTGTACCTTATAGTCAACTAATATTTCATTTGTTTCTCAACTTAATTTTTTATCTTTATTTCAAATTTAATACTACCTATTCATTTATTTTTCGTGGTTACCAATTTTTGTGGATTGCATTAAACTTGCCTTTTGGTGGATATGTGATTTTGTGGTTTTTCATGGGTACCAATTTTCGTGGATTGAGGAAAACTTCCATTTTCATGGATATTTGAATTCGTGGCTTTGCTTAAGGTACCATATATTTCTAGGGAACATTTGTAATTCGTTGAACATTTAAAATTGTGGTTTCCCTGTACCCATGAAATCCACGAAAATTAGTATCCAACAAATAATAATGAATCCACAGTATTCTGCATACAACCTGATAGTAAATTTATATTTCATTGAACATTTAAATTCGTGGTTTACCTGAATCCACGTAAAGCACGAAAATTGACCCAATATTCCTATCTGTATTTTGACCTTTTTATTGTACCTGTTTTTTGACCCAATTCTCCTACCTGTTTTTTTACCCAATTCTCCTATCTGTTTTTTTACCTTTTTATTGTACCTGTTCTATGACCCAATTCTCCTACCTGTTTTTTTACCTTTTTATTGTACCTGTTCTTTGACCCAATTCTCCTACCTTTATTTTGACCTACTTATCTTACCTGTATTTTTAGATGGTTCCTCCACTTCATCCTCCATGACCTGGAACTTCTGCAGGTAATTAATCAATGTATTACATAGTTTGATTTCATCTTCATATGGCTCTTTTTGTAACCCATACTCTTCACTACAATATAAAAAAAAAATCAAAGCACTGTAAGCGCTGTAGGCAGTTAACCAAAAACCAAGGCAAACGTAATTATGAAAACTGTGGCAGTGTTGCTTCAATTTTTTTTTAAGATTTTAAAGAACAAACATTAAACATTTGTATATTGTACATTTATATTCATTAAATGAATTGGTTATTAAGGCAAATTAATTAATATTCCATCAAGGTTTTCAAAAGCAACTCAAATATCAATGTAAATGACCCCCATCTTCACCCACAAGTGCATGATGTTACTCCATACCAAGTAAGGAATAAAATGACAGGTGATTACAAAACAGTTGGTCAAACATTCTCGGGCTATACACTGCTTGAAAGATTTATATGTTTTCTTTAAAATGAGCCATAAATGAAAATTATTATAGGCCCAGAAATAATTTAATAAATAATTAAAGTAAATTCAATTAACCTAGACTCATTTTTCGCATCAATAAAATTTTATAATAAACAAGAAATAATTGTAACAGGATGCCGTTACGAAGTCTCCCAAACAAAGCCCCCATAATTCGTCATTCCCATGGTCTCCTGACATTGGGCAAAGTCTAGTTCATATTGGTTTGGTCCAGTAAAGTGATATGCATATGTGACACCTAGGAGATTGACCCTGTATGTCATTCAAATCTTTTTGAAATGATGAACAGGAATAAATATGGTTTAGGTGTGGGTATCTTGACTGTTTACAAGTTCTCAAACAGGAGGGGTAGGGTGACCCCAGGGACTCCCCCTATATTTCATTTGATTTGTTATATTGTCCCATACATGAATATATATGGTTTAGGGGTGGGGATCTTGACTGTTTACAAGTTCTTAAACAGGAGGGGGTGGGGTGTCCCCAGGGACTCCCCCTATATTTCATTTGATTTGTTTTATTGTCCCATACATGAATGTATATTGTTTAGGGGTGGGGATCACAACCATTTCCAAGTTCTCAAACAGGAGGGGTTGGGGTGACCCCAGGGACTCCCATATATTTCATTTGATTTGTTATATTGTCCCATACATGAATATATATGGTTTAGGGGTGGGGATCTCGACTGTTTACAAGTTCTTAAACAGGAGGGGGTGGGGTGTCCCCAGGGACTCCCCCTATATTTCATTTGATTTGTTTTATTGTCCCATACATGAATGTATATTGTTTAGGGGTGGGGATCACAACCATTTCCAAGTTCTCAAACAGGAGGGGTTGGGGTGACCCCAGGGACTCCCATATATTTCATTTGATTTGTTATATTGTCCCATACATGAATATATTTGGTTTAGGGGTGGGGATCTGGACTGTTTACAAGTTCTTAAACAGGAGGTGGTGGGGTGACCCCAGGGACTCCCCATATATTTCATTTGATTTTTTATATTGTCCCATACATGAATATATATGGTTTAGGGGTGGGGATCTCGACCATTTCCAAGTTCTCAAACAGGAGGGGGTGGGACGATACCGGGGACTCCCCAAAATTATTTTCATTTGATTTCTTTTATTGTCCCATACAAGTATATATATTGTTTAGGGTGGGGATCGCGATGGTTTACAAGATAAAAGTACATTTTCAAAACGAAGGGGGTTGGGATGACCCCCAGGGACTCACCCTATATTTTGGTTGATTTTTTTTATTGTCCTGTTCTCATTACTGAAGACTTCATGTGTCTATCACTTACTGTTTTCGAAAAATAGTCATTTGAAAATTTTAAAAAATAAAATCCCATAGGGTTCTACAGTAAATCCCTCCCCTCCAAATACCCCTAAATAGACCCCAATGCACAAACAAAAGATTGATGGCTCCGCTAGACATGTTAGTCTAATATTTTATGAAACCCTAAGTAAATCTGACAAACGGTCAAAGTTGTCTTCTTAGACAGTTTGAGTGGATTCGGTCTGACTTGTCTCGGGGACCAGTTGTCCACATTACTTAAAACATCCCATCAACGTTTAAGTGGTTCCCCATAAACTGACCTAATCACAAACTAATACATGTAAACTAAGCAAAGTTTCAAAGTCAATATACCTTGACTGAGGGGCGGGGCCAAATAATCTCCATGGTAATGAGATGTGCCAATGTTAATACAACTGCATACCAAATATCATTGACCTACATCTAGTGGTTCACCATGAACTAGACCTAATCACAAACTTATACATTGTTGATGCCGCCGCCGGAAACAGCATACCTATGTCTCGCTTTTTGACTCCGTCAAGGCGAGACAAAAATTATGAAAAGAAAAATTGGGGTTATAAGTCAAAATTTTTATTGGAACTACATGGACTACATAAACTAGAGGATTCTGAATATCTGACAAAAAATCAAAAACAAGAGTAGTGAACATCATTAATATGAAGCCATTATGTTCGGTAGTCCTTGGGCATTTTGAAAAAGTGTGACTAAAAACGTTTAATTCTTTCAACATATTGAGAGTTCATCAGAAAACAGGAAATGGTGCCTGACAGATCTGAAAACTGTCAAATATGAATTTCTTCTGTACAGTGATAGTAGAGAAAAGTGTGACATGATTATTTTGTTAGCAGAACAGACGAACAAAACTGACTGACAGATTTGTGAATGTAATATAGCCGCAATTGAAACAGTATTCGAAGGTAAAATAAAACAGTTTTTATCTTTTACTTTAATAGTGACCAATTACATTTTATACAACCGGTAATAAATCACTGTCAATTTATATAAGAAAAGAGTATATCTAAAATGGCTCATATTGTCTTTGAAAACTTTCATAATTTTTATACAGGAAACAGACATTAACCAGGCAAGAACTGGTTTTTTTTTGTTCATCCAGCATTGTCCAGCATTGCCCAGTAACCTGGTTTATACCAATATTGACCAGTCAAGGGTATAACTTAAATAAGTAATTAGAGAAAAATAACATACATGTGTTATTATAGATACTTTCAAGAGTTGTCTACTCTTTGTTTCTAAAATTTTCTCAATCTGTAGCAACATATGGTTGTTATTCGTTAAATAAATCATACATATTTTTATTTTTAGTGGGCACTTGTGATTTCTTGAAAATTTAGGCAGTAACTTAATACATAGCCTTGATAACTAATTCTACAATTTAATTATATCAATTTTGATCAAACATGCTAAATCAATGAGACAAGGCTATTTAGTGATAAACTTAGCTGTCATAACAAGCCTTAGTTATGACAGGATGCCGGTTCGTCTTTGTGTTTACAATGTCATAATGTGCTTGAGTTTATCTTCCCTTAGATTGTAATTTATTCTTTATCTTCACTTAGATTGTAATTTATCTTTTATCTTCACTTAGATTGTAATTTATTCTTTATCTTCCCTTAGATTGTAATTTATTTTTTATCTTCCCTTAGATTGTAATTTATTTTTTATCTTCCCTTAGATTGTAATTTATCCTTTATCTTCCCTTAGATTGTAATTTATCCTTTATCTTCCCTAAGATTGTAATTTATCCTTTATCTTCCCTTAGATTGTAATTTATCCTTTATCTTCCCTTAGATTGTAATTTATCCTTTATCTTCCCTTAGATTGTAATTTATCCTTTATCTTCCCTTAGATTGTAATTTATCCTTTATCTTCCCTAAGATTGTAATTTATCCTTTATCTTCCCTTAGATTGTAATTTATCCTTTATCTTCCATTAGATTGTAATTTATCCTTTATCTTCCCTTAGATTGTAATTTATCCTTTATCTTCCCTTAAATTGTAATTTATCCTTTATCTTCCCTTAAATTGTAATTTATCCTTTATCTTCCCATTGCTTGTAATTTATCTTTTATCTTCCATTAGATTGTAATTTATTTTTTATCTTCCCTTAGATTGCAATTTATCTTTTATCTTCCCTTAGATTGCAATTTATCTTTTATCTTCCCTTAGATTGCAATTTATCTTTTATCTTCCCTTAGATTGCAATTTATCTTTTATCTTCCCTTAGATTGTAATTATCTTTTATCTTCCCTTAGATTGCAATTTATTTTTTATCTTCCCTTAGATTGCAATTTATTTTTTATCTTCCCTTAGATTGCAATTTATCTTTTATCTTCCCTTAGATTGCAATTTATCTTTTATCTTCCCTTAGATTGTAATTTATCTTTTATCTACCCTAAGATTGCAATTTATCTTTTATCTTCCCTTAGATTGTAATTTATCCTTTATCTTCCCTTAGATTGTAATTTATCCAGAGCAAAGTAACATGTAAAAGAAATATGATATTAATGATTTAAGTACCCATACTTTCTAGTTAGAGTGATTGATTATTGGTGTTTGACGCCACTTTCAGTACTATTGGCTATACTGTGGCTACCAGTCTTATTGGTGAAGGAAGCTGAAGTGCGAGGAGAGAACCACCGACCTTCTGCAGGGAAACTGGCAATCCTAGTCAATTTAGATTGGTGTGGAACACACCTGCAACATGCAGGGTTCAAACTCACAACTTCATTGATAACAGGCTAGTAGTACAGTAGATGGACTACTTAGACCACTCACTAACTCTTTCTAATAAGAAGGTGGATTTATTTTTATTCCGATTTTTGTGGATTGAATAAAACTTTTGGATATTTGATTTCATGGTTTTGCCACAGTGTGCATACAAGCCTATAGGAAGTTTATACTTAGAACATCTAAATGAGGGGTTTGTTTTTACCAATGAAATTCCAAGAACATTGGAACCAAACAAATTATAATGAAACCGTAGTAGCCAATTCAACCCCTTCATATGTAATTGTTTCAGAAGTCAGTCAGGAACTTGACATGGGTTGATTTTAATCATAAGTTTTGCCTTTGTGATATTGAATAAGACACTGAGAACTGGAAAATGGAAAACTAGTCAGCACTTGGGTACCTTTCTAAAATTTATCTTTTCTAAATTTTGTAATGTATAAAGAAACTAAGGTTTCAACTCCCTCAGGCAAAGTTTGCTTTAGATGGATTTGGCTATTTTTTAGGTCCTTTTCAGTTAAATAGCTCATCAACTGTTTTGGTTCTTATACATCCTCAGCTTTCAAATATTCGACTGAGCGTTCCTGATGAGGGTAAATCCACAAAAGTGCTTCAGATGCATGAGATTTATAATGTGTTGTTTTAAGGTTTTCCTAATGTACTATAGGTATTCGACTTTACACAACATTGAACCCTGATAAGATATTTACATATCATTCTGGAAAGCCTCCATATGAGATTTGCTTTCTTCTTTCCTTTTAAAGCTGTCACGTTTCTTTTGTTTCTTCATTTCGTCTTTGACGTCATTATATTCTTTTTCATGCTGCTTGAATTCATGGATCATATGACGTTTTCTTGTGTACAACTTGTCAATCTCTGTGAATAAAAATGAAAACTTTCTCTACTTTTTTCAGGTTTCAATTCTTTTAAAAATTACAGTAAAATCTACGAAAAGATACTTCTCTAATATAGAATAATACAACATGCTTTAGACAGGTGCTTATGTCATGATGGAAAATCTCAAAACTTTTATTCAATTGCTTTAAAATGTACCATACCAAATGAAATATAAGAGACTAAATTAGTCAAGACAATAAAAATGCCCCTTTTTTTGTTTTGTTGACAAATTTCAAGCTGTAACTATCTAATTACACCTATAAATACAAAGATTTAACAAAAATACTACAGTGGCTTACCCCTTAAAATTATTTCTGGAACAACCCATAGCACTATGATAGTAATCATAAAGTGTTACAAAGCTTTCTCCTAAAAAGTGTAACAATACAACCGAACTCAGTCAAATTCAACAAGGGGAAAGTCCATAAAAACTGACAAAATCAAACGCTATCAAACATGTCAAAGTGAAAATTAACTACCATATCCCTGACTTGATACAGGCATTTTCTGAAGAAAATTGTGGGTAAAACATTGGTTTTATAGCTAGCTAAACCTCCAACTTGTATGAACCTACCTTTCTTCAATACATACAACTTGCTCTTTTTCTCTTCTAATGATTTCTTTGTTTCATCTTCTTTGTTCCTGAGCTGGTTCACATTCTTTTGATATCTCTATAAATATATATACAATTAATACTCTAGATCTCCTTTGATATCTATATTAATATATATACAATTAATACTCTAGATCTCTTTTGATATCTCTATAAATATATATACATGTAGTACAAATGTACTCTAAATATCTTTTGATATTTCTATAAATATATATACATAACTACTCTAAATATCAGCACAACAATGTTAAATCTGCAAATTTGCGGAAGCAAAAATAATTTTTGCTTCCCTCGCCGGGATTCGAACTCATGCTAATGTATATGTGTAAACTCTAAATATCTTTTGATATCTCTATAGATAAATACATGTAATACTCTAGATATCTTTTGATATCTCTATAGATATATGTACATGTAATACTCTAGATATTGGTTTCTTGTGACTTAAAGTTGCTTTCTCATTGATTTATACCCCATACATTATATTCATGAATAACATGCCGTTAAGTGTCAAACTTGATTCTGATACTTATTTTTTGGAAAAGCTACTGCAAATTCAGAAATTATAGCATGCATTTATTATTGTGATTGTTGCGCAATCAACACAAAATGTGAATCAAAATAATGCAATTTCAGGTTATTCTGCATACAAGTAAATCATGGTCAAAATCCTCAGATGGTATAAAATATTAAAAGTTTTCCTCATAAGGTGCACTAAGTTTCAAGTTGAAGTGATCACAAATTCATGATAAACTACCTAACTCCAGTACATACTAAAACCAGAATGTGCTCTCAGATTTGTACTTAGTGTCTTTTTGATTTTGGGATGTACAAGTAGTCGTCCACGTCCACTTTGTGTTTTTGTTATATGTATTTCTATTTGTATCCATCTGATGAGTTAAGCCTTTTTTCAACTGATTTTAATAATTTGTTCTTATGTTGTACTTTTACGCCACTGCCCAAGGTAAGGGGAGGGTTGAGAACTCACAAACATGTTTAACCCCACCACATTCTGTATGTGCCTATCCCAAGTCAGCAGCCTTTAGTTTAGTGGTTGTCATTGGTTCATGTCTGTCATATTTGTTTTTTGTAAACTGTTTTGTTATAAATGAGGCTGTTAGTTTTCTCAATTGAATTGTTTCATATTTTCATGTCGGGGCCTTTTATAGCCTACCACATGGTATAGATTTTTCTCATTGTTGAAGGTCGTACGGTTGCCTATAATTGCTTACATCCACTTCATTTGAACTTTAGTGGATAGTTGTCTAATTGGCAATCATACCATATCTCCTTATTTTATACAAGACACCATGATCATGATGATAGACACCATGCTTCACTCAGCAATTTGGTAAAACATTTTTAAAATTTACATTACTGTACTAGGTTTCAAGTAAAAGTGACCAAAACTTCATGGTAAACTATCTTCACCAAAAACTTCAATCTCAGAATGTACTTATATCATACTATAATGAATAGGGAATGTGTCCATGGGACACAGATGATGTCCCTGCTTGCATATAACGTAATAAAGGGATGTAACTCAAGAACAGTATAAGTGACTCTACCCAAATTCGTACTTGATCTGTGTTTTGTGGTAATAAGCATTGTGTATAAGTTTCATAATATTTTGTTGAGGCAAACTTAAGTGAGAGAACGGAAACGAAAAATTCAGCAATTTTTCCATTTGTAAAGGGGCATAAATCTAGAACACAAAAAGTGACACCACCCAAATTCGAAATATTTGTTAAAATAACGTTAACAATAAACATTTTACTCCATTTGACTCTAATTGTAGTTATAAAATGAGGTTTGATGAATGACGATAAAAAACATTAACGGTAGTGAAAAATGGACGTTTGACGCTTGACGCTAAAGGGCATTTCCACCCTCTATAATCACATTTCCATGTTCAGTGAACAATGAAATAAAGGTCAAAACCTTAATTTGTGTACTAAGTTTCAAGCACATGTAACCACATCTTCATAGTAAACCACCTTCACCAAAACTTTAACCAGATACGGGTGAGGACTAACGCAGATAGCATAATGTTCCCTGAGTGCTGTAGGTGGAGCATAAAAAGGCACATGAATTATATCACATGTAAACTCACATCTCTTTCTTCTCTCATTCTTCGCTGTCTGTCTCTTATTTCATCCACTTCTTTCTTTGCTGCTAAAAACTGACTGAAATAGATAACATGGTTCATTAAATCAGGCAAATCTAAAATTGAGAGGACGCAAACTTAGAATGAACCTTTTTCTTCTGTCTGCACCATTAGACACTAGTCTGATGCCCCAGACTAGTCAAATTTTATTCACACTAGTAAGTATTTGCATAAGAAAAATGTCTGAATATTGGTCTTAGGACTAGTAGTTGGAAAAGATTATGGTGCAGTCTGGTTCTTTGTAACTTATGTCTTTAAAATGTCAACTGAAAAAACGTTGAAATTAAAAATTTTCAAACAAATGTTTGACCATCACTGGGAAATGCTTGTAGAAATATGACTGATTGATTGTTGCTTGTTTAATGTCCAGTGGCCAATATCTATGCATATTCAGGATGAGACAAAATCAACAATTCCTACCATAGGTAGAATATTATGAAGGTTGGCCAGGATGGATCTGGACTGCCATTGGAAAATTTTATCTTTTGATCTTTCTTTAATCTTAAGAGACATACCTAAGATCAGTCTTTAGTCATTTGAGACATACCTGAGATCTTTCTTTGATCTTTTAAGACATACCTGAGATCTTTCTGATCTTTTGAGACATACCTGAGATCTTTCTTTGATCTTTTGAGACATACCTGAGATCTTTCTTTGATTTTTGAGACATACCTGAGATCTTTCTTGGATCTTTTGAGACATACCTGATATTTTTGTTTGATCTTTTAAGACATACCTGAGATATTTCTTTGATATTTTGAGACATCTCTGAGATGTCTTATATCCTTTGAGACAAACTTGGAGTTTTGTCCTGACATCCGTCTTATATCTTTTGAGACATACCTGAGATCTGTCTTTGATTTTGAGACATACACATGAGATCTGTCTTTGATTTTTGAGACATACCCGAGATCTGTCTTTGATCTTTTGAGACATACCTGAGATCTTTCTTTGATCTTTTGAGACATACCTGAGGTCTTTCTTTGATCTTTTGAGACATACATGAGATCTGTCTTTGATCTTTTTTTGTGACATACCTAAGGTCTTTCTTTGATCTTTTGAGACTGTCTATTTCTGCTACAATCTTCTTCTCCTCTGTCAGTTTGAAGTTCTGAATCTTTAACTGCCATTCTAATCGCCTGAATTGTAAAAGCAGAAAAAGTGTTATCTCAAGTACAAATCAAGAAAATATTCATACAATGCTAAATACCACTAAAGAGATCATGCTCCTAATATCTCCCTAACATAAAAGGGAAGATCATAATATTTGTATTAAGTATAATTATTTTTCTTTGACATATTGACCTCAAAACCAATAGTGATCTATAGTTCATTATATATGACTACATATCCAAGTAGGGTTGCAATCGAATATCAAATATTTGATTAAGCATCCAGAGTTACTTTTCCCGAAAATTATGGTCTATTTTTAGTATCTCTGACCCTGGTTTTTTATAGCTTGCTATGCTGTATGGGTTTTGTTTATTGTTGAAGGCAGTGCAGTGAACTATAGTTACTACCTTCTGAGTCATTTTGTCTCTGTAGGAATGTTGTCTCAGTGGCACATCTTTTTATTTTATATTACAATGCAACTTTCTACAATTTTTTATTTTTATAAAAGTTTGGCAAGAATTGGACATTTAGGAATGCTTTCAATGCAATTTTCTTTATATAATTCATATTTCCAAGGAGAGTAACTCCTTTAAAAATATTTGTTTTACACTGATTTTCAAACTTGTCAGAGACATTACTGATATAAATCTTAGATATAAACCCATGAAAATCTGGCAAGAATTGTTCATGTGAGAGTGCTTACAAGAACAGACAGACGGTCACCCAGTATTTTACTGTTCCCACCTCACCCCACCTTGTAGCATAGGGGACAAAAAACATGAACATTTATTAATACAATGTAACTAGAAATAAAATGCTTCGCTGGGCGCAGCTTGATACGACCGCAGAGGTCGAACCCTGAACAGTTGGGGCAAGTATGGACACAACATTCAAGCTTGATACAGCTCTGAATTTGGATTGTGATTCAATATTTGACAAAGCATAGGTTTCCGACACAGAAAGAATGTGGTCTAAGAACTTCAATTTTTTTAATTTACCTATTATGGTCCAATGTCCAAAATCAAAATACATGGTTAGATTCAGCATATCAAAGAACCCCATATATTCAATTTTTGTTCAAATCAAACAAAGTTTAATTTTGGACCCCAACTTGGACAAACTTGAAAACTGGTCCCATAATCAAAAATCTAAACACATGTTTAGATTTAGCATATCAAAGTACCCCAAGAATTCAATTTTTGTTAAAATCAAACTAAGTTTAATTTTGGACCCTTTGGACCTTAATGTAGACTAATTTAAACAAGAGTGCACACGCTGAAATGTCTCGCCTTCTTTACTAATCATTGATATTATGTTGATAGTCCTAAATATAAAGCTTTATTTCAACTGTCACATAAACTTAACATTAACCAAGTAAACTAAACATTGACCAATGAACCATGAAAATGAGGTCAAGGTCAGATGAACCATGCTAGGCAGGCATGTACAGCTAACAATTCTTCCATACAACAAATATAGTTGACCTATTGCTTATAGTTTAAGAAAAACAGACGAAAACACAAAAACTTAACACTGAGCAATGAACCTTGAAAATGAGGTCAAGGTCAAATAAAACCTGCGTGACTGACATATAGATCATAAAATATTTCCATACACCAACATAGTTGAACTATTGCATATAGTATTAGAAAAAAAGACCAAAACTCAAAAACTTAACTTTGACCACTGAACCATGAAAATGAGGTCAAGGTAAGATGACACCTGCCAGCTAGACATGTACACCTTACAATCATTCCATACACCAAATATAGCTGACCTATTGCATGCAGTATTAGAAAAAAAGACCAAAACTCAAAAACTTAACTTTGACCACTGAACCATGAAAATGAGGTCAAGGTCAGATGACACCTGCCAGCTAGACATGTACACCTTACAATCATTCCATACACCAATTATAGTAGACCTATTGCATACAGTATAAGAAAAACAGACCAAAACACAAAAACTTAACTATTACCACTGAACCATGAAAATGAGGTCAAGGTCAGATGACACCTGCCAGTTGGACATGTACACCTTACAGTCCTTCCATACACCGAATATACTAGACCTATTGCTTATAGTATCTGAGATATGGACTTGACCACGAAAACTTAACCTTGTTCACTGATCCATGAAATGAGGTCGAGGTCAAGTGAAAACTGTCTGACGGGCATGAGGACCTTGCAAGGTACGCACATACCAAATATAGTTATCCTATTACTTATAATAAGAGAGAATTTAACATTACAAAAAATCTGAACTTTTTTTTCAAGTAGTCACTGAACCATGAAAATGAGGTCAAGGACATTGGACATGTGACTGACTGAAACTTCGTAACATGAGGCATCCATATACAAAGTAGGAAGCATCCAGGTCTTCCATCTTCTAAAATATAAAGCTTTTAAGAAGTTAGCTAACGCCGCCGCCGCCGCCGCCGGATCGCTATCCCTATGTCGAGCTTTCTGCGACAAAAGTCGCAGGCTCGACAAAAACGGGACCCAAAATTAAAAATCTAAAAACACGGTTAGATTTGGCATATCAAAGAACCCCAATAATTCAATTTTTGATGAAATCAAACAAAGTTTAGTTTTGGACCCTTTTGACCTCAATATGAACCAATTTGATAGCCGGCCCACAAATAAAAAATCTAAATACATGGTAAGATTCAGCATATCAAAGAACCCCATATATTCATTTTTTGTTGAAATCAAACAAAGATTAATTTTGGACCCCAATTTGGACCAACTTGAAAACTGGGCCAAAAATTTAAAATCTAAATACATGTTTAGATTCAACATATCAAAGAACCCCATATATTCAATTTTTGTTGAAATCAAACAAAGTTTAATTTTGGACCCCAACTTGGACCAACTTGAAAACTGGGCCCATAATCAAAAATCTAAACACATGTATAGATTCAGCATATCAAAGAACCCCACAAATTCAATTTTTGTTAAAATCAAACTAAGTTTAATTTTGGACCCTTTGGACCTTAATGTAGACCAATTTAAAAAACGGGACCCAAAATTAAAAATCTAAATACACGGTTAGATTTGGCATATCAAAGAACCCAAATAATTCAATGTTTGATGAAATCAAACAAAGTTTAATTTTGGACCCTTTTGACCTCAATATGAACCAATTTGATAGCGGGCCCACAAATAAAAAATCTAAATACATGGTAAGATTCAGCATATCAAAGAACCCCATATATTCAATTTTTGTTGAAATCAAACAAAGTTTAATTTTGGACCCCAAATTGGACCAACTTGAAAACTGGGCCAAAAATCTAAAATCTAAATACATGTTTAGATTCAGCATATCAAAGAACCCCATATATTCAATTTTTGTTGAAATCAAACAAAGTTTAATTTTGGACCCCAATTTGGACCAACTTGAAAACTGGGCCAAAAATCAAAAATCTAAATACATGTTTAGATTCAGCATATGAAAGAACCCCATAAATTCAATTTTTGTTAAAATCAAACAAAGTTTAATTTTGGACCCTTTGGACCTTAATGTAGACCAATTTGAAAACTGGACCCAAAATTAAAAATCTAAATACACGGTTAGATTCGGCATAACAAATAAATAAATGTGGTCAAAGATTTTACAAATCTAATGCGCCATACTGGTCTTCCTTTATAAATATGCATTTCTTTAAACATAATTTAAAAGCAGTGTAAGGGAAGTAACCAAAACGTTGTATTTGGATTACCTCCCTTACACTGTTTTAAATTATCTTAATTGTTCATTAACCATTACTTTATACATAATTTAAAAGCAGTGTAAGGGAGATAATTTCAATGATGTATTTGATTTATCTCCCTTACACTGCTTTAAATTATGTTTTGTACTACAGTATTTGTCCATTAATGAGGACAACCTTGTTTTTCCCCCTTTTTTGCCCCTAATTCTTAAACGGTTTGAGCAATAACCCCCCAAAGCAAATCCTAACCATCCCTTTGTGGTATGGAAACTTGTAGTATAATTTCAGAAAGATCCATACACCGTTCCACAGTTATTGTCTGGAAACTAGAAAATGCTTATTTTTGGCCCCTTTTTGGCCCCTAATTCCTTAACTGTTGGTACCATAACCCCCAAAATCAATCCCCACCTTCCTTTTGTGGTATTGAACCTTATGGTAAAATTTCATAGAGATCCATTCACTTAAACTAAAGTTAGAGTGCGAAAACTAATGTGTCTTCGGACGACGACGACGCCAACGTCATACCAATATAGGACCACAAAAATTTTTTTGCGGTCGTATAAAAACTCAATAGGTCAAAGGTGAAGGATAGGGAATTACTGAATCTTCAATTTATTTAGGCTAATGATATATTGCAGATTTAAGTCTTGGAAAGCCAAAGTTGGTGGGAATGATAAGAGGTGCATTTTTGTTTCTTGTGGGTTTGCTGTCTAATGCTTGGGGAATGAGAAACCACCGTTTTCATGATAATGGTGTACAATGGAGTGTTCAGAATTTTCCTTGGTGTTCGGTATTTTTGTTATTTTACTTGTTGGATAAGAGATGTTTTCAGATTTCTTGTTGGTGTGCTGTCAGTCAGCCTATCAGTGTCTAATCACCTTATTGCTTCATCTATTTTCACTTCACTTCTGTAATGTAGTCTGGACTGTAACTGGTCTTGTATACCTTTCTATTAATAAAATCAAAATACTGAAGTACTGTTTATACAATGACAACATTTCATAAACAATAGATTTCATTATGTTCATAAATAACATTAATTGAAACAAATAAAAACAAGATAATGTGTCCATGGGACACAATGCCCTGCTTTAACTATCACATATCCATGTTCAGTGAAACCTGTTTTTTTCTCACTCTAGTTGTCCATTTGACCACTTGTAGCCATGTTGCTTCATTTGTCAGGATAACTAAATGATAGCTAAGTATAGAAAGGTAGTAAGCTTTAGTGCTAAAGTAAATGATATCTAAGTATAGATAGGTAGTCAGTTTTAGTGCTTAGTAAATGATATCTAAGTAAAGAAAGGTAGTCAGCTTTAGTGCTTAGTAAATGATATCTACGTATAGAAAGGTAGTCAGCTTTAGTGCTTAGTAAATGATATCTAAGTATACAAAGGTAGTCAGCTTTAGTGCTTAGTAAATGATATCTACGTATAGAAAGGTAGTCAGCTTAAGTGCTTAGTAAATGATATATAAGTAAAGATAGGTAGTCAGCTTTAGTGCTAAAGTAAATGATATCTAAGTATAGATAGGTAGTCAGCTTTAGTGCTTAGTAAATGATATCTAAGTAAAGATAGGTAGTAAGCTTTAGTGCTAAAGTAAATAATATCTAAGTATAGAAAGGTAGTGCTTAGTAAATGATATATAAGTAAAGAAAGGTAGTCAGCTTTAGTGCTTAGTAACTGATATCTAAGTATAGAAAGGTAGTCAGCTTAAGAGTAAATGATATATAAGTAAAGAAAGGTAGTAAGCTTTAGTGCTAAAGTAAATAATATCTAAGTATAGAAAGGTAGTGCTTAGTAAATGATATATAAGTAAAGAAAGGTAGTCAGCTTTAGTGCTTAGTAACTGATATCTAAGTATAGAAAGGTAGTCAGCTTTAGTGCTTAGTAAATGATATCTAAGTAAAGAAAGGTAGTCAGCTTTAGTGCTTAGTAAATGATATCTAAGTATAGAAAGGTAGTCAGCTTTAGTGCTTAGTAAATGATATATAAATATAGAAAGGTAGTCAGCTTTAGTGCTTAGTAAATAATATCTAAGTAAGGATAGGTAGTCAGCTTTAGTGCTTAGTAAATGATATATAAGTATAGAAAGGCAGTCAGCTTTAGTGCTTAGTAAATGATATATAAGTATAGAAAGGTAGTCAGCTTTAGTGCTTAGTAAATGAAATCTAAGTAAGGATAGGTAGTCAGCTTTAGTGCTTAGTAAATGATATATAAGTATAGAAAGGCAGTCAGCTTTAGTGCTTAGTAAATGATAGCTATGTATAGAAAGGTAGTCAGCTTTAGTGCTTAGTAAATGATATATAAGTATAGAAAGGTAGTCAGCTTTAGTGCTTAGTAACTGATATCTACGTATAGAAAGGCAGTCAGCTTTAGTGCTTAGTAAATGATAGCTATGTATAGAAAGGTAGTCAGCTTTAGTGCTTAGTAAATGATATATAAGTATAGAAAAGAAGTCAGCTTAAGTGCTTAGTAACTGATATCTACGTATAGAAAGGTAGTCAGCTTTAGTGCTTAGTAACTGATATCTAAGTAAAGAAAGGTAGTCAGCTTTAGTGCTTAGTAAATGATATATAAATATAGAAAGGTAGTCAGCTTTAGTGCTTAGTAAATGATATCTAAGTAAGGATAGGTAGTCAGCTTTAGTGCTTAGTAAATGATATATAAGTATAGAAAGGCAGTCAGCTTTAGTGCTTAGTAAATGATATATAAGTATAAAAAGGTAGTCAGCTTTAGTGCTTAGTAAATGATATCTAAGTAAGGATAGGTAGTCAGCTTTAGTGCTTAGTAAATGATATATAAGTATAGAAAGGCAGTCAGCTTTAGTGCTTAGTAAATGATAGCTATGTATAGAAAGGTAGTCAGCTTTAGTGCTTAGTAAATGATATATAAGTATAGAAAGGTAGTCAGCTTTAGTGCTTAGTAACTGATATCTACGTATAGAAAGGCAGTCAGCTTTAGTGCTTAGTAAATGATAGCTATGTATAGAAAGGTAGTCAGCTTTAGTGCTTAGTAAATGATATATAAGTATAGAAAAGAAGTCAGCTTGAGTGCTTAGTAACTGATATCTACGTATAGAAAGGTAGTCAGCTTTAGTGCTTAGTAACTGATATCTAAGTAAAGAAAGGTAGTCAGCTTTGGTGCTTAGTAAATGATATATAAGTATAGAAAGGTAGTTAGCTTTAGTGCTTAGTAAATGATATATAAGTATAGAAAGGCAGTCAGCTTTAGTGCTTAGTAAATGATAGCTATGTATAGAAAGGTAGTCAGCTTTCGTGCTTAGTAAATGATATATAAGTATAGAAAGGTAGTCAGCTTTAGTGCTTAGTAACTGATATCTATGTTTAGAAAGGTAGTCAGCTTTAGTGCTTAGTAACTGATATCTAAGTAAAGAAAGGTAGTCAGCTTTGGTGCTTAGTAAAAAGTAAAATCACAAAAATACTGAACTCCGAGGAAAATTCAATCGGAAAGTCCCTAATCACATGGCAAAATCAAATGACAAAACACATCAAATGAATGGACAACAACTGTCATATTCCTGACTTGGTACAGGCATTTTCAAATGTAGAAAATGGTGGATTGAACCTGGTTTTATAGCGCTAAACCTCTCACTTGTACGACAGTCTTATCAAATTCTGTTATATTTACAACGATGCGTGAACAAAACAGACATTATAAATAAAATAGTCAAAATATGGGTACATGATATATAAGTATAGAAAGGTAGTCAGCTTTAGTGCTTAGTAACTGATATCTACGTATAGAAAGGTAGTCAGCTTTAGTGCTTAGTAAATAATATCTAAGTGAAAAAAGGTAGTCAGCTTTAGTGCTTAGTTAATGATATCTAAGTATAGAAAGGCAGTCAGCTTTAGTGCTTATTAAATGATATCTAAGTATACAAAGGTAGTCAGCTTTAGTGCTTAGTAAATGATATCTAAGTAAAGAAAGGTAGTCAGCTTTAGTGCTTAGTAAATGATATCTAAGTATAGAAAGGCAGTCAGCTTTAGTGCTTAGTAAATGATATATAAGTATAGAAAGGTAGTCAGCTTTAGTGCTTAGTAAATGATATCTAAGTAAAGAAAGGTAGTCAGTTTTAGTGCTTAGTAAATGATATCTCAGTAAAGAAAGGTAGTCAGCTTTGGTGCTTAGTAAATGATATATAAGCATAGAAAGGTTGTCAGCTTTAGTGATTAGTAATGATATCTAAGTATAGAAAGGTAGTCAGCTTATATCTAAGTATAACAAGACCAACACTGGGTCTGGACCTGCGTCCATGTATGGAATTGATTGAGGTAACAAATATACCAGGGCATAACTGATCCTTCCCAGATCCAAATATTAAAATCATTCACTTCAATAGGAGCAAAGAAAAGTTTGACAAAAATTTTCCTTGAACAATGAGTAAAATTTTAAAGTATTGACAAACAGGAAGTGGCTATATGGTAGATGTAATAAAATGCTCCGCTGGGGCACAGCTTGATACGACCGCAGAGGTCGAACCCTGAACAGTTGGGGCAACTATGGACACAAAATTCAAGCTATAAACAGCACTGAATTTGGATTGTAATTAAATATTTGACACAGCATAGGTTTCTCACACAGAATGAAAGTGGTCTAAGAACTTAAAAAAATTTAATTTACCTATTCAAACCATATCATTATTATTTGCTTTTATATATAAATCAGAAATAATCAATTTAAAATGGAAAATTTTAAAGAAAAAAACTCATAAAAAAATCCCCCTCCCCCAAATTTTTTGAACCCCCTTATGATTCGTCACCCCCAAACTAAATCCAAGCTTTCCCTTTGTGGTATGGTACCTTGCAGTACAATTTCAGAGAGATCCATACACTTGAACACAAGTTATTGTCTGGAAACTAGAAAAATGCTTGTTTTTTTGCCCTTTTATGGCCCCTAATTACTAAAATTTTGAGGGAATTACCCCCAAAATCAATCCCAGCCTTCCCTTTGTGGTATGGTACCTTGCAGTACAATTTCAGAGAGATCCATACACTTACACACAAGTTATTGTCCTGAAACTAGAAAAATGCTTGTTTTTTTGCCCCTTTTATGGCCCCTAATTACTAAACATTTAGGGCAATAAACCCCAAACTCAAACCCAGCTTTCCCTTTGTGATATGGAACCTTGCAGTACAAATTCATAAAGATCCATACACTTACACACAAGTTATTGTCTTGAAACTAGAAAAATGCTTGTTTTTTTTGCCCTTTTATGGCCCCTAATTACTAAAATTTTGAGGGAATTACCCCCAAAATCAATCCCAGCCTTCCCTTTGTGGTATGGTACCTTGCAGTACAATTTCAGAGAGATCCATACACTTACACACAAGTTATTGTCCTGAAACTAGAAACATGCTTGTTTTTTTGCCCTTTTATGGCCCCTAATTACTAAAATTTTGAGGGAATTACCCCCAAAATCAATCCCAGCCTTCCCTTTTGTGGTATGGTACCTTGCAGTACAATTTCAGAGAGATCCATGCACTTACACACAAGTTATTGTCCTGAAACTAGAAAAATGCTTGTTTTTTTGCCCTTTTATGGCCCCTAATTACTAAAATTTTGAGGGAATTACCCCCAAAATCAATCCCAGCCTTCCCTTTGTGGTATGGTACCTTGCAGTACAATTTCAGAGAGATCCATACACTTACACACAAGTTATTGTCCTGAAACTAGAAAAATGCTTGTTTTTTTGCCCCTTTTATGGCCCCTAATTACTAAACATTTAGGGCAATAAACCCCAAACTCAAACCCAGCTTTCCCTTTGTGATATGGAACCTTGCAGTACAAATTCATAAAGATCCATACACTTACACACAAGTTATTGTCTTGAAACTAGAAAAATGCTTGTTTTTTTTGCCCTTTTATGGCCCCTAATTACTAAAATTTTGAGGGAATTACCCCCAAAATCAATCCCAGCCTTCCCTTTGTGGTATGGTACCTTGCAGTACAATTTCAGAGAGATCCATACACTTACACACAAGTTATTGTCCTGAAACTAGAAACATGCTTGTTTTTTTGCCCTTTTATGGCCCCTAATTACTAAAATTTTGAGGGAATTACCCCCAAAATCAATCCCAGCCTTCCCTTTTGTGGTATGGTACCTTGCAGTACAATTTCAGAGAGATCCATGCACTTACACACAAGTTATTGTCCTGAAACTAGAAAAATGCTTGTTTTTTTGCCCTTTTATGGCCCCTAATTACTAAAATTTTGAGGGAATTACCCCCAAAATCAATCCCAGCCTTCCCTTTGTGGTATGGTACCTTGCATTACAATTTCAGAGAGATCCATACACTTACACACAAGTTATTGTCTGGAAACTTGAAAAATGCTTATTTTTGGCCCCTTTTTGGCCCCTTATTCCTAAACTTTTTGGGCAATTACCCCCAAACTCAATTCCAGCTTTCCCTTTGTAATATGGAACCTTGTAGTACAATTTCATAAAGATCCATACACTTACACACAAGTTATTGTCATGAAACTAGAAAAATGCTTGTTTTTTGCCCCTTTTTGGCCCCTAATTCCTAAAATGTGGAGGTAATTACCCCCCAAAATCAATCCCAGCATTCCCTTTGTGATACAGAACCTTGTGGTACAATGTCAGAGAGATCCATACACTTACACACAAGTTATGTCTGGAAGTTACAAAAATGCTTATTTTTGGCCCCTAATTCCTTAACTGTTGGTACCATAACCCCCAAAATCAATCCCCACCTTCCTTTTGTGGTATTGAACCTTATGGTAAAATTTCATTGAGATCCATTCACTTAAACTAAAGTGCGAAAACTAATGTCTTCGGACAACAGCAACAACGACGAGGACGCCAACGTCATACCAATATACGACCACAAAATTTTTTTTGCGGTCGTATAAAAATTATATACTCACTACAACTCAACATTATCAAGCAGCAGACCAAATATCAAATTATTCCCTTCCATAGAAGCCAAGAAAACTATGACGAAAATTATCCTTGTACAATCAGTGTTGTAAAATTACAACTTATGGACAAACAGGAAATGGCTAAACAGAAGCTTACTCTTTGCAACACAACATTGTCAAGCTGCAGACCAAACATAAAATTATTCCCTATTATAGAAGCTGAAAAAACTTTGACTAAAGGTTTCCTTGTACCTTCTTCATTTTTTCAACCAAGCAAGTGTTCTCCCCACATATTTTATATAGAGGTACACAGGAAATTTAGAAAATAACACGCTTGATTCTAAAAATTATAGCATTTGATATAAGGTATATACACGTTCATCCCTACCATACAAAACTGCAAAATATTCTCACCTTCTTTGTGATCTGTTGAGAAAATGCCTTGAGATCTGTATCAATTTTCTTCAGTTTCTCAATCACAGCCAGTTTTTCTGCTCTGGTAGCCTTCAATTGATTCTGGAAGTTTTCTGCAGTAAGAGATCTCTGTTAACTTTGATAAGGAACATTTAAAATAAATTGCAAAAATAATAAAATGCTCCGCAGGGCGCAGCTTGATACGACTGCAGAGGTCGAACCCTGAACAGTTGGGGCAAGTATGGACACAACATTCAAGCTTGATACAGCTCTGAATTTGGATTGTGATTAAATATTTGACACACCATAGCTTTCTGACACAGAATGAATGTGGTCTAAGAACTTAAAAATTTTAAATTGGACATTCACCTATTATGGTCCAATATCCAAAATCTAAATACATGGTTAGATTCAGCATATCAAAGAACCCCAAGAATTCAATTTTTGATGAAATCAAACAAAGTTTTATTTTGGACCCTTTTGACCTCAATGTGGACAAAGTTGATAATGGGGCCCAAAAATCAAAAATCTAAATACATGGTTAGACTCAGCATATCAAAGAACCCCATATATTCAATTTTTGTTGAAATCAAACAAAGTTTAATTTTGGACCCCGATTTGGACCAACTTGAAAACTGGGCCCATAATCAAAAATCTAAATACATGTTTAGATTCAGCATATCAAAGAACCCTAAAAATTCATTTTTTGTTAAAATCAAACTAAGTTTAATTTTGGACCATTTGGACCTTAATGTAGACCAATTTGAAAACGGAACCAAAAATTAAGAATCTAAATACACGGTTAGATTCGGCATATCAAAGAACCCCAATAATTCAATTTTTGACGAAATCAAACAAAGTTTAATTTTGGACCCTTTGGACCTCAATGTGGACCAATTTAAAAACAGGGCCCAAAATCCAAAAACTTAATACACGGTTAGAATCAGCATATTAAAGAACCCCAAGAATTCAAGAATAAAACCCCATTGAAATTGGTCAAGAAATAAGCAATTTATACGAAGTATCTTCTTTTGCACAATACTGTGCAATTGAATATTTCTTGCTATTGCGCAATACTGTACAATTGACAATTTCTTGCTATTGCGCAATATTGTGCTACTGGATATTTCTTGCTATTGCACAATACTGTGCAATTGAAGATTTCTTGCTATTGCGCAATACTGTGCAATTGAAGATTTCTTGCTATTGTGCAATACTGTGCAATTGAAAATTTCTTGCTATTGCACAATACTTATTATATAATAATTTACACATCCTGTTTGGTGTGTATCTCCTACCATATCATTATTATTTGCTTTTAAATATAAAACAGAAATAACCAACTTAAAATGGAAAATTTTAAAAGAAAAAAAAAAGGAAAAAAAGAAAAAAAATGAAAAAAAAAAATCCCCCCCCAAATTTTTTGAACCCCCTTATGATTCATCACCCCCAAACTCAATCCCAGCCTTCCCTTTGTGATATGTAACCTTGTGGTACAATTTCATAGAGATCCATACACTTACACACAAGTAATTATCATGAAACTAGAAAAATGCTTGTTTTTTGCCCCTTTTTTGGCCCCTAATTCCCAATATTTTGAGGCAATTACCCCCAAACTCAATTCCAGCTTTCCCTTTGTGATATGGAACCTTGTAGTACAATTTCAGAAAGATCCATACACTTACACACAAGTTATTGTCATGAAACTAGAAAAATGCTTTTTTTTTGCCCCTAATTCCTAATATTTTGAGGCAATTACCCCCAAAATCAATCCCAGCATTCCCTTAGTGATATGGAACCTTATGGTACAATGTCATAGAGATCCATACACTCACACACAAGTTATGTCTGGAAGTTACAAAAATGCTTATTTTTGGCCCCTTTTTGGTCCCTAATTCCTTAACTGTTGGTACCATAACCCCCAAAATCAATCCCAACCTTCCTTTTGTGGTATTGAACCGTATGGTAAAATTTCATAGAGATCCATTCACTTAAACTAAAGTTAGAGTGCGAAAACCAATGTGTCTTTGGACGACGCCTGACGACGACGACAACAATGACGATGACAACGTCATACCAATATACGACTGCAAAAATTTTTTGCGGTCGTACAAAAAAATTGTTAATGTAATATTGTCAAGAGTATGGCACTAAATTATCAGGCATTATGGGCATCTTACCAATGTTGTAATTAGATCTTTGAATATAGTTTACATTGGCACTAATATCGATTTTGTCATCAGCAAATTAAAACATAACTAAATTTGTATTTTTTTCAAGTGGGATGTATAAAGACACACCCACGTTCGTTTAGATCTATAAAGAGGTTAAACTTCTAACTATCCTACTGTCTGTCGATACATTTATTTTTGGCATTGCACTAGTCATGTCTTCTTTGACTGTCCATGACGTTAAAATACTAAATCCCTGGGATGTGTTTTAGTTGATTTTAGTCTCTGATGCATGATTTTTTATTATTGATTGTTTTGGCTTTTAACTAGCTGTCAGTAACTGCGAGTACTCTCAAATCGTACTTTCTTGTTTATTTGACCTGTTGATACTAATTGTATTGCTTTTTTGTTATTTAATGTTATTCAGGGTTATATCTGGTCTATATACCAGCTTTGATAAGTGTTTGGTATAACTATAAATTTTCACTTCGTACTATGAACATCAAAATTATTTATTTTGTAATAATATTTCCTTTCTCTATTGGTACTGTACACGTATACCTAACAACAAAATTATTTTCATTTACCTGTGTTTATAGTTATTGCAAATGGATGGTATTTTTGTTCGAGCATATTGTTTTTCTTTAATTGTTTAACATTTCTTACCGATATAACATGTTACTTTTATTATTATTCCCTTAGTTTATTTATTTTGTATTCAAAATTATTTATTTTGTAAAAATATTTCCTTTCTCTATTGGTACTGTACAGGTATACCTAACAAAAAAATTATTTTCATTTACCTGTGTTTAAAGTTATTGCAAATGGATGGTATTTTTGTTCGAGCATATTGTTTTTCTTTAATTGTTTTACATTTCTTACCTATATAACATGTTACTTTTATTATTCTTCCCTTAGTTTATTTATTTTGTATTTACATTGTGTCATAGGTCAAATTTATTTGTTCAGTGTATGTTCAATGGTGTTAATATGTCCTTTGATTGAGTTAAGCTATTTCAGTTGATATTTTATAGTGTGTCTTTCTATGTTGTGATGTTATACTATTGTTTCAGAAAAAGGGTGAAGGTTTGGTACCATTAAAACGTTTAAACCCGCTGCATTTGTTTGCACCTGTCCTAAGTCAGGAATCTGATGTTCAGTAGTTGTCGTTTGTTGATGTGTTTCTCGTTTCTCGTTTTTTATATAGATTAGACCGTTGGTTTTCCCGATTGAATGGTTTTACACTAGTAATTTTTTGGGGCCCTTTATAGCTTACTGTTCGGTGTGAGCCAAGGCTCCGTGTTGAAGACCGTACTGTGACCTATAATGGTTTACTTTTATAAATTTTGACTTGGATGGAGAGTTGTCTCATTGGCACTCATACCACATCTTCTTATATCTATGTCACTTCCTGTCAAGAATAATATGGCAATAAATAATCAGGCATGTAATTTCTGTCAAGAAGAGTATGGTATTAAATAATCAGGCGTATAATTTTCTTTCCACAAGAGTATGGCACTAAATAATCAGGCGTGTAATTTCTGTCAAGAAGAGTATGGTATTAAATGGTCAGGGTGTAATTTCTGTCAAGAAAAGTATGGCACTAAATAATCAGGCATGTAACTTTCTGTCAAGAATAATATGGCACTAAATAATCAGGGATGTAATTTCTGTCAAGAAGAGTATGGTATTAAATAATCAGGCGTATAATTTTCTGTCAACAAGAGTATGGCACTAAATAATCAGGCATGTAATTTCTGTCAAGAAGAGTATGGTACTAAATAATCAGGGATGTAATTTCTGTCAAAAAGAGTATGGTATTAAATAATCAGGGATGTAATTTCTGTCAAGAAGAGTATGGTATTAAATAATCAGGGATGTAACTTCTGTCAAGAAGAGTATGGTATTAAATAATCAGGCGTATAATTTTCTGTAAACAAGAGTATGGCACTAAATAATCAGGAGTGTAATTTTCTGTCAAGAAGAGAATGGTATTAAATAATCAGTGATGTAATTAATGGTCTGTTAACAAAGGATACAAGTAGTGTTTCTTTCTCTTTAATGTTGTTCTGTATCCCTTCAACCTCATCTTCATGTTTTTTCTTATTGGGTGGTTTTACTCTCTTTAGATCTAACGATGAGTTAGAACTTCCTGTAAAGATAAAAGCAATGTATAGAAAGCCATATTCTAGCTTATGAAGTTCCCCAACTCTAATAGTCCAGAAGTCAGCACATGACCAATGATTTACTGGTCCGCAGATTACCATAATCATGATAACAACAATGTGGAAAAAGCCATATTCTAGCTTGAGAAGTTCCCCAACTCTAATGGTCTAGAGGTCAGCACATGACCAATGATTTACTGGTCCCCAGCTTACCATAATCATGATAAAAACAATGTGGAGAAAGCCATATTCTAACTGGGAAACTCTTATGGTCCAGAAATCAAAACAGGAACAAAGATTTACTGTTCAACAGCTAACCGTAATCATAATAAACATGAACTTGGTGTTATCACAACATAAAAGTTGTCTGTTCCATAATGGGGTCAATTCTATGGATCATTTTCAATCCATAAGCAGTCTTCACGATGAACTTTAAAATCTACAAGCCCGGAGCTCAATTTTTGGAAAATTTTAGTTAGATTCTGTTGGCCTGTAGATATGATTTTTACAGGCCCGAGAGCAGTTTTACAAGCCTGGGCTGCTGGGCCTGTGGTTCAGCGTGAAGACTGCATAAGTTAGAGTTACTAAATCTAATAACCTTGATGAGTTTAGCATTTATTTTTGTGGTGTTTAGTCCTTGAAATTTACAGATAAATTGCAGTCACCTAATAACAAAATTAAGTACTAAGTAGCCTCCTCTTTTTTTGCACAATCGCTCATGCAATGATATTTATCTCACATCAATTCAGGAGCTTTTAAAATTTTTTAATAATTACAAAAAAATTTACCCTTTCAAAATTTCAATCAATCAATTATGAATATTTTCCAATATCTTGCAGTTTTAACCAGTATTACTGTCTACTGAACATGAGTCTGGTCAAGACTGTTTTTTTTTTTCATTTCTATTTTGCCAATTAAAACCTAACATTGTTAATAAATGGGGAAGGTGTCCATGGGACACAGATGATGCCCCCACTTGCATATAACGTTATAAAGGGACATAACTTAAGAACAGTGTAAGTGACGCTACCCAAATTCAAACTTGATCTGAGTTTTGTAAGCATTGTGTATATGTTTCATAACATTTGGTTGTGGCAAACTTAAGTTTAAGAATGGAAACGAAAAGTTCAGCAATTATTCAATTTGTAAAGGGGTACAACTCTAGAATGGTAAAAGCGACGCCACTGAAATTTCAAATTTAATCTTTGTTTTGTGGTAATAGGATTGTGTAGAACTTTCTTAACATTTGGTTGAGGCAAACTAAAGTTAGACAATGGAAACCAATTTCGGGACATACAGACGGATAAGGGTAAAACTTAATGCCCCCTACGCTACGGCAGGAGCATATTTATTAAAATAAGTAAAATATAAATGGCTACGTGTTCTATGCTATAAAAAGGATATTCTGTATATTTCGATAGACAATATTTCATAGATCATGTAGATTGATAGTAATGAAATTTGTTCTTATTAAAGGGAGGTTATCCAAAGTCAATTTAAGCGTATTCAATTGAGGCAATATTTCATGTTTTCATGGTTATACAATACTTTTCAAAAAGAATATTTCATAGATTCCAGAAACACTCTTTATTTCATGCAGAAGGATTCCATCATTTTTGTCCATAGGGAAGTCATACTTTGATAAAGAAATATTTTTATGAACAGTATTTTAAAAAGAATTATTGTCTAAAAGAAGTTGACAAAAATTCATGGAGTTCACTACTTCATAATAAAATATTGTCCTTGACAGTATTTCGCAGAATGTCATGCATAATTCTTATCAAAAGGATAGCAGACCTGTCATGATGTAAAAATGATAAATGGATTTATTAGTGCTTCATACACAGCCTCACATCTTGCATTTACAATAAAGAATGGTAGTTCTAGTTTTTGACCTTTTAAAATTCCTTGACATCTTTTGATCATTTAGAATATAAAATTGTCACCTTAATGTGATAAAATAACATTAAAAGTTACAGTGAAAAACTATTTAAATCAAAACAAAATTTGATGTGCATCTGCCATGTCTGCAGGACCTTGAACTGCTGTTTACATTATGAAATTGTTATTGCATCTTCGTAGACAATAGAACATGTAGAAAGTCCAAGAAAACATGCTAAATAAAGTTTTTAGTTCAAAGATAATAGCAATTTTTTGGAAGCTGAATCCAGAGGCAAAGCATGTATAGAAAATACGCATCATGTTTATTTTGGGAACACCCATGTCGTGGCCATGCCTTTCAAAATCCATGACTTTGCTATTTTTGTTCTGGAATGTACCTGAAAAAATTGCTTCCTTACCTAAAATTTCTTTGTCAGCATCGTCCTTTGACTCTGCCGAGTCATCCATAGTTCTTGCATTTGTCCAGAAGAGACAGCTTGGTTACCCTGCCAACAGGTGCCTTTTACATTTTTGTAAATGTAAATACACGTCAACTTAGGACACCATTTTTCTGTTTGTGTCACATGATCCCGTTTGATCAATAAACCCAATAAAAAATTATATGCATCAATTTTTGGTTTTTGTTGTGTAATTAACTTTTTTAATTAACGACCAAAACGCCTGATTAATTATTATTACTCTGCAATTAACGTTTATTTTGATACGCTTGATTGGCAGCAGTGACATTATGCAAATGAGGGCACTTGCTTATCAAAGTAGTCATATTACCCCGCTGAAATTTTTAATTGAAATCAATATCAGTCTGTATATATATATATATATATATATATATCAATAAAAAGTTACCCTTACAAAACAGAAAAATTGAGCAAAAATCAAATAAGAAAAAATATCCATTTTGAATCAGCCAGTTTTAACAAAATGTATTGCACTCATTTGTATCGCGGTTATTTATGGCAAAAGCCGGCTGACTTTTCGAACCTGTTGTTTGGGCGGGAAGTGAAAGTGACGCCATTTTCTCTGTTTTCATGCCGATAAATGATGTGGAATGCCGTTGCATATTATTTAAATCACCCTCCTGATTGATCTTACAAATACTTTCGTGTTTGCTGTTTTCATAATTATAAATTGTTTAATTTGTAGAATTGTTGGTGAGTGAAAAAGAGTTGCATAAATTACCGTCTGCTGACAAACTGTATTTTAAGCGATCGATCCCATTAGGTGTGCGTGTAGATTTCTAAACGAACGAGTTAGGATGACAGCTACAAACCAATTAACTTTGTGCCAAAATTACAACCAAAAATATTGACAGTTAAGAAATATACGTGTGTTATCCTGATGCCCTCATGAATTCGTCAGAGAGAGTATCTTTTTTTACAGTTTTAACGAAGTAACCTATGAACCGACAGATGATTCTTTATACTGTTGCATACCGTGACCTCTATAGTTTCATATTATAAAAATGACTTTATTATAGCAAATTATAGCTGTCCAAAATTTCCTAGAAACTCAAGGTTCAAGAAAAAAAAAAATCGAATTTAGTCCTTACTTGGCCTGGCATCCTGACCCAAATATTATGCTTCGTCAATAGGGCCAGGCGCTCTACAATACAGTCCACATGACCAATTATCAGCGCTGAACAGGACTGAAATACTGAGCATGTGCGTGTTCACAAACAAGAAATATATGGACCCCATTGTTAACTTGATTAGGGAGGTCAGCCAAAATATGAAGTATAGAGAAAGTGCATAAAATTACATTATTATGGAAGAGCACAAAAAAAGAAATTCATTGGTGCCAAAATTTTGGGAATCGGTCAAGCGGTTCAAAAGTTATGACCATTTAGATTTCAAAATTTTGGCCGTTTTCCTTGCGAAGGCAAAAATATCATATTTTGGGCTATTTTTCAGGCCAAATATATCAAATGGGTTAGGAACTGCAAGCAATCTATATGCATTATTGCAATAAGACTCTTTTATGCTTTGATTTAAGCCACTATAGTCCTTTGTAACATCAATATTAAGAAAACTACAATATCTCAAACTTTGTAAAAAAAAACTTTGGACTTAGTTTTTTTTTGCTATGTGTCAAGGGCATCTTCGAATAAACTGCTATGTTAAGACATTGATATCTTGAAATGGAAAGCAGGCAGAGGTCTGGTTGTTTGCAGTTATGTAAAGACCTAAACAGTCAACAGAAATATATTAACAGTTGTATTGCCAACATATCTGAATTTTTTTTTAGCCGACTCAAAATCATGCCGGCAGGCCCCCCTTTTTTTAGGTAGTTTTTTTTGGGAAAAAAATACATTTTTGGTCAGACAATGCTGGAAAAAAATCCCTAATTTTTTCTACTACTTGTTTTGTATTGGTATTAAGTTGTTTCACAAATAAAATAAGCTCTGTAAGCTAATAAAAAAAAATTGAATTAGAAAATCAGCATTTTGACGTAAATTTTTGAGCTATTTTTCGCCAAAAAGACACTAAAATTTACACAAAAACTTAATTTCATAATTTGACAGTAATTTTTCACAGAAGTTAGTGACTGTTACTGTGACTTTACATGTAAAAGCACCTTTTTGTCATATATAAATAGAATTTAATGCAATACAAATTTAAAAAATGGTCAAAAATAAGAAATGTTTTGACAATTTTGAAAATCGCGGATTTTTTCAAATATTTGCGCAGTTATGCAAAAATTTAACAGAAAATTGAAGATTTTTACACATGTTTGGTATCATACTAAAGCTTACAATCTTAGCTTTAAGATGAACCTAATTTCATTGTATTTGACTGATTGATATTTATTCTAGATGGAATTTGGTTAGCCCTATACCTGCATGAAAAAAAACTGTAATTTTGAAAAATCCCAAATTTTGACCGAGAAAATAAAAATAATCCATTTAAACTCTAAGAGTTAAGTCATTGTTTAGTCAGACATTGCTATAATGATCTTTTCTCTTGGAAAATGTATTATTTACACTAAAATATTCTCATTATTCAAAAAAATTGGTAAATATTTTGCGAAAAACCTGTTATTCCTATAAAAAATGGATATGTCGAGAACTTATTATATATAAAGACCAAGATCAATGCAGTCTTTAAGTCTAATAATCCATTGGGATTTGCAATAGTGACTATCTGAACTGTTTTGGTATTCATTATAATAATGATACATTAACTATTCATCATTTGACTAAGTTTATTGAATGTTCTAAAGTATATATTTTCAGGTCCGAGCTGTTTCTTCACCAGAATTTACCATATCTACAATAGACAATATGTACATTATACAAATTAAATATTTTGTATTTGTTCAATTAACTTGAGAGTACCTGCAGTTTCTTACAATTCATATAAAATCTGGTTTACATGCAATCTGAAAAAAAAAGACTTTTTATTTTTGAGATTGGCTGCTGACAAAGTGGTTTTTCTGGATTTACCGTCATCAGAGATGCTCTATGTCAAAATAAACAAATAAAACTCAACTAGATATCATTGAGATGGGAGCCATCTCTGTGGGCCCCGCTGTGAATAATGTGTGGTAAAAAATTTGTATCTTTATCATTGGACATGGGGTTGTCAACTGAAACCAAAGTTTTTGACCTTGACCTTTGACCTAAGAAGTTGTACATAAATTATGACACACCCTCTGGTGTTGTTTTTTATACACATATCAAGTATAAACTTTGAAATCATAATGGTTCTCAAGATATAGAGGGGACACGATCTTTACCATAGGACATGGGGTTGTCAACTAAAACCAAAGTTTTGACCTTGACCTTTGACCTAGAGAGATGTACATACATTATGACACACCCTCTGGTGTTGGCTAATATACATGTCAAGTATAAACTTTGAAATCATAACAGTTCTCTAGATATAGAGCAGACACAATTTGTTAAGGACGGACGGACGGACGGACTGATCACTATAGGGCGTCCACCATTCGGCGGGGCCCTAATAAAGGTCAAATCAATTTGCTGCAACCATTCTACAAATAAATCATTACAATATGATAATTAGTACCCTGGATAAATTTCTACAAAAGAAGAAAAATAGGTTAAGAAACTAAAAGAAAACTAAAAGAATTAGTGCTGAAAGACAAGAAAACAATCATTAATCTTGCTGAAAAATAGTTTGTCTATAATAAAATCTACACATCTCCATTCTGGTATTCCTCTATATATAGTAGGCTTCTTGAAAACATTGCTGTTGCTGTCATTGACATCACCCCCCTTCTCAAAGTCGTATGCAATATATGACAACCCTGTATCTGCATCATGCCCTGTGTACTAAAACTCCTTCCCATCAGCCTCTCGACAAAATCTGTAGTCTACTCGTCTTACTACAATAAAAGCTGGATCCAGGGGCGCCTCTCCATGTCGTTGTTCCCTAGAGTGTGCCCTGTCCTAGTGGAAAACCTTAAGTTAATCAAAATAAATCTAGACTGTTAAAAGTAAGTTCTAAATCTTAAACAGAATGAAGAAATTTATTAAGGTCAACTCATATACATGTGTGTCCCAGTAATAACTTTGTTTGTGGAGATATCGTTGCTCATTTTTACACTGTATTTAATTCTTTTTTTTCCGTATCATATTATATTTCTGAATCTGTTCTCTATGCTTCTTCAAAAAATTTCTTATTTTTTGTAGTTTGGAAAAAAATGAAAACAACATGTTATAAATTTTGTGCGTCCAAAGTGCTTTTCTGGATTTACCTTCATCAGGAACATATTAAGATGCTTTTTAACTGTGATTCCCTATAGAGAACCCTTTATTTTACTTCTATTAAATGGTTTGACTGGTGGTATTATAGCACTATCTTTAAGCATTGTATAAATTATTTTTTTTTAAATTTAAAACATTGTGCAGAAGAAATTTATTTAGCTGAGCTGTAGAATTATATAATATTAAATTCAAATCATACACATACACATACATGTTCAGGATGTGCTTCATCCATTCTTTCTAACCAATTCACTGTATGGGTTTTGAGTCCAATATTGGTATTTCCCTCCAGGGCGTTGGTATAGTGACTCTCCACATGACTCTGATGAGACTGTCTAACTGGGAGAAGATCCTTTCAGGCAGATGGATGGACAGACAGTATCATTCCTATAAACACAACAAAACTTTATTGTATAATAGACTAACAAATTCAATCAAATTTCAAATAATCTGAATTTTTATTATTTTAATACAAAAATTGTTCAGAGGAAAACAGATTTTTAATCCTGATCATATTTGTAGATAGTCATAAGGTACATGTGTTATAAGTAACCACAGCATCTGCAATTCTGTTAATAACTTAACTGTCAGTTAATAGGCATCAATATCAAATTACATAATAAAGTAAAAGTGACAATTATTAAATTCAAAAGTCAAGGAATAAAATCAAAAGTTTGAATATAAATATAAATGAAAGATGCAAATATCAACTAAAATTCTTTATAAACAGTGTGCATATTTAAGAAAACATCTTTAATATTGTTTATTATGACCAATTAGTTAAAATAACATACTCATGCTACTGTTGAAAAATCATAAATATAAATTTTTAATGTATTATGTATAAAAGTGTGCAAATATTCTTCCAAACTGTCATATGTATACATTTTTGACAGAAAGCATTTTTGAAAAAGAAAATTTTAGTTCATTATGCCTAATCCATAAGTTTAGAATAAATATATAGTTGGTAATATACTAATCTATGGTTTAAACAACATATTCCTGTCTCAAAATGAAAAAAACAAATGTAATGTGTTCAAATTATACCAACTATAATCAACTGCAATGTAAAGCACCGAAAAATCCGAGTATTATCAATGAATAAAACCCGAGAAATTCCGAATGGATCACATTCCAACGTTAGGAGAATTTACCTCATTACATATTCATAGCTTGATAAAAAGGCCATGGGGAGCGTTTAAAAAAAATTGCTGGTAGAAAGTCCCTTTCAATTTATAAGTTTAATATATTTAAACAAAAAAATATATCCTGGAAATAATTTAAAGTTATTTTTGTTGACTTTTATGAAACAAGGAATTCCCCTCCCTGAAATATGGCAAATTTGCTAATATAAGATATAATAAAGGTACTTACCTTACGTGATTGGCCTCCGTGGCCTATTTCCAACGTTGTCTGTCCTCTCAGTAAGCAGTCCGTCCAAAAAATAGTCGGTAAAAGTCATTTTGTTACAAGTTTCATGTTTCATGTTAGACACAATGGCGGATACGTCACTTCCGGAAGTCAAGAACAGATAACTCTTTTCGCAGATTTTTTGCGTGAAAACCACGCCTTGCTCATACAAATATCCAATCAATTCCGCAAGCCGCTATTGTTTTTCATGTGAAACCATGGATACGTGTGGAAGAAGAGAGTTCTGGAATTTATGAATCCGAGTGTCAGTGGTGTTTACAAAGTCGTAAACGATTTTTTTTTCACATCTATTTCAAAGATTTTTCATATCTATACTGAAAATCGACCGTTAAGTATGACTGACAACCGGATCATAAAACTTGAATATATTTCCAAAATTTTAAGCCATCAAGGAAGAAAATCTGACGAGTAAAAGCTTGCGGAATGAATTTCAAAATCAGTAGTACCTTTGACACATAGTTTTTCCGGCGGCCATTTTTTTCAAAACAACTCCACTTCAAACATTTTTTTTATCGAACCAAATCACTGCAATACCCATAAAACTTATATATTTAGAAAGATAAATGTCTGAACTTTAATTACATATCAATTGTTTGCTCATACAATATATTTTTCACCTTTTTCAAAGCAATTGAACTTGGGTAAAATCCGATATTTTTGCCGTCGCAAGGAAATCATTACGTTACGATAATCGCATTGGCGACCTCCCTAACTTGATTCACGATCTTAACGTTTTTTTATTAGAATTGTTAAATTATTCAAAATTTGCATTTCATATGAAATTAAAAATAATTTTCATTTAACAGTGGCAATACAAATATTTCCTGCCATGTGTCAAGAAATGACGCTGTCCCACGATGCATCATTCTAACATCCAATTGACGAAACCATGTCGTCGTATTTTGCCTGGCTCTTCTGTCGAGCTGTGACTGTGAGCCAGGATCCCAGGCTACTACCACCTCTACAAAGTCGGTATGAAAAAGAGTAAAATCTTGGTGAATAAATGTCTGCTTATTAGCATCTATAGTAGCTTTCTTTACAACTAGACTCTTAAGTCATTGTGATTGTGTCAACACTCCAGTCGTGAAAGCCGAAAGCTACTAGTGGGGGGAATTAGCAACCATTTATTCACCAAAATTTTACTCTTTTTCATACCGATGAAATAAACAGAGAAAAGTGGAAAGACAGGGAAAATGGAAAACAACGGCAAAGAGAATTCCAGATATCTTGGCTTACAATTTAAAAAAATCCTGTCTGTTTTCCTACAGAAAGGCCATAATAAAATAGCGCACGTCCAAGAGTCCAAGTGCTGAAAGTGGCGTTGAACACCAATCAATCAATCACAAATACAGCAGGAGTGACAACAATAATTTTGTGATTGTGAATTTCTTTAAAAGAATTTAGACACACATTTATACAAAATTTGAGAGTGAGTAGGTTAAACATTGTTAAACAGATCTTGCACGTAGTAATTACACCTGAAAAAATTCCTAGAGCTAATTAAAAAACATTGTTTCTTTTTTCCGATGTGAATTATCTTTCAGATGCACTTCTGTGTTTTGATATTTGTTTTTATTTTGTCCTTTCAGATAAAAGACATTCATCATGTTTTATGCACATTTTGTATTGAGCAAGAAAGGACCGCTCGCTAGAATTTGGTTAGCTGCCCATTGGGACAAGAAACTTACGAAGGCTCATGTGTTTGAAACTAATATAGACAGCAGTGTGGAAGCTATCATGCAGCCTCAGGTCAGGCCATAGTTCAAATTGTGAAATTAATGTCTTTCAATATTTACCTAGAAAAGAATGTTACCTTGAAATTTATGTTTTCATGAACACAAACAGTACAATTCTAATGCAACATTGTTTGTAACGTTTCATTTTGATTGGATATGTCACCAATTTTCATGGCATCAATTCACAATTGATGCTATGAGAATGTTCGCGCAAGCGCAGAGGACATATGACAGATTTTTAAATAGCGATTTTGCTAGCGCTCATCATTTTTATACGACCGCAAACAAATTTTTGTGGTCGTATATTGGTATGACGTCGTCGTCGTCCAGCGTAGTCCGAAGACACATTGGTTTTCGCACTCTAACTTTAGTTTAAGTGAATGGATCTCTATGAAATTTTACCACAAGGTTCAATACCACAAAAGGAAGGTTGGGATTGATTTTGGGGGTTATGGTACCAACAGTAAAGGAATTAGGTGCCAAAAATAAGCATTTTTGTAACTTCCAGACATAACTTGTGTGTTAGTGTATGGATCTCTCTGACATTGTACCACAAGGTTCCATATCACAAAAGGAATGCTGGGATTGATTTTGGGGGTAATTGCCTTAAAATTTTAGGAATTAGGGGCAAAAAAAGGGGCAAAAAACAAGCATTTTTCTAGTTTCATAACAATAACTTGTGTGTAAGTGTATGGTTCTTTCTGAAATTGTTCTACAAGGTTCCATATCACAAAGGGAAAGCTGGAATTGAGTTTGGGGGTAATTGCCGAAACGTTTAGGAATTGGGGGCCAAAAATAAGCATTTTTCTAGTTTCCAGACAATAACTTGTGTTCAAGTGTATGGATCTCTCTGAAATTGTACTGCAAGGTACCATACCTCAAAGGGAAGGCTGGGATCGATGATGGGGGTAATTGCCTCAATATTTTAGGAATTAGGGGCCAAAAAGGGGCAAAAAACAAACATTTTTCTAGTTTCATGACAATAACTTGTGTGTAAGTGTATGGATCTTTCTGAAATTGTACTACAAGGTTCCATATCACAAAGGGAAAGCTGGGTTTGAGTTTGGGGGTAATTGCCCTAAACGTTTAGGAATTTGGGGCCAAAAAACACATTTTTCTAGTTTCCAGACAATAACTTGTGTTCAAGTGTATGGATCTCTCTGAAATTGTACTGCAAGGTACCATTCCACAAAGGGAAGGCTGGGATTGAGTTTGGGGGTGATGAATCATAATGGGGTTCAAAAAATTTGGGGGGGGGATTTTTTTTTTTCCTTTTTTTTTTTCTTTTAAAATTTTCCATTTTAAGTTGGTTATTTCTGATTTATATTTAAAAGCAAATAATAATGATATGGTAGGAGATACACACCAAACAGGATGTGTAAATTATTATATAATAAGTATTGTGCAATAGCAAGAAATTTTCAATTGCGCAGTATTGCACAATAGCAAGAAGTCTTCAATTGCACAGTATTGCGCAATAGCAAGAAATCTTCAATTGCACAGTATTGCGCAATAGCAAGAAATATCCAATAGCACAATATTGCGCAATAGCAAGAAATTGTCAATTGTAGTTGTACAGTATTGCGCAATAGCAAGAAATATTTAATTGCACAGTATTGTGCAAAAGAAGATACTTCGTATAAATTGCTTATTTCTTGACCAATTTCAATGGGGTTTTATTCTTGAATTCTTGGGTTTCTTTAATATGCTGAATCTAACCGTGTATTTAGTTTTTGGATTTTGGGCCCCGTTTTTAAATTGGTCCACATTGAGGTCCAAAGGGTCCAAAATTAAACTTTGTTTGATTTCATCAAAAATTGAATTATTGGGGTTCTTTGATATGCCGAATCTAACCATGTATTTAGATTCTTAATTTTTGGTTCCGTTTTCAACTTTGTCCACATTGAGGTCAAAAGGGTCCAAAATTAAACTTTGTTTGATTTCATCAAAAATTGAATTCTTGGGGTTCTTTGATATGCTGAATCTAACCATGTATTTAGATTTTGGATATTGGACCATAATAGGTGAATGTCCAATTTAAAATTTTTAAGTTCTTAGACCACATTCATTCTGTGTCAGAAACCTATGCTGTGTCAAATATTTAATCACAATCCAAATGCAAAGCTGTATCAAGCTTGAATGTTGTGTCCATACTTGCCCCAACTGTTCAGGGTTCGACCTCTGCGGTTGTATCAAGCTGCGCCCTGCGGAGCATTTTATTGTCATTTACGAAACGGTTTTCAAAATGACCAAAGTATTTCAAATCAATTTCATCACTTAAATTTGGAAAGTGTAAAAATATTTTCACATGAAAATACTATAATTCTACCTGTCTTCATGTTTCTGACAAGTTTATGACCCTCAGCTAATTATCATTTACAACAGGTGTTATAATTATGATTACAGTTAATCCGCTTATTGCCATCGTATGGGTCACTAATCCGTTTATTATTAATAAACCTCATTATTGACCATCATAATTATTTTCCCCAGTAAAATCAGTCAGTCGGCATTTCAATTTCAATATTTCCACAATTTGCAGTTCGTTTGTCGTAGTTTCTTCATTTGAACAAAATTGTTTTCCTCAGGACAGTTTGCATTTTAATTTCAAGATTGCTCAAACAATCACAATTTGCAGTTCGTTTGTCGTATTTTCGTCATATTTGATATAACTTTTCAACTTAAAAAAATAGAACTTTATTTAAAACGTTCAGAAATGTCTTCACGAATCAAACAGGTGCTTCCTTTACTATGTACTGCACATGTATGAAATTATAGACACTTAAAAACGTAAAATACGAAATCATTGAGTATCAAATTAAACAAAAGGAAGGTTGGGATTGATTTTGGGGGTTATAGTACCAACAGTTTAGAAATTAGGGGCCAAAAACAAGCATTTTTGTAGTTTCCGGACAATAACTTCTGTGTAAGTGTATGGATCTCTCTGACTTTGTACCACAAGGTTCCATATCACAAAGGGAAGGCTGGGATTGAGTTTGGGGGTAATTGCCCCAATCATGCAGGAATTATGGGCACAAAGGGGCCAAAAATAAGCATTTTTTTAGTTTCTAGACAATAACTTGTTCTTAAATGTATGGATCTCTCAAAAATTGTACTACAAGGTTCCATACTACAAAGAGAAGGCTGGGGATGAGTTTGCAGGTAATTGCTCCATTTGGGGGGGGAGGGGGGGGGGGGGGTTCTAATTGTTTTAAGGGGTTCATATTTTTTTTTCAAAATTTTTCAAATTTCAAATTTTTGAAGAGTTTCAAGAAGAAATCTTCAATTGCACAGTATTGCACAATAAATTTTTAAGATCTTTGGCCAGTATTGCGCAATAGATTTTTAAGATCGTTGACCACATTTATTTTGTGTCAGAAACCTATATTATTTCAAAGATTTGATCACAATCCAAATTCAGACAGTATCAAGCTTGAATATTGTGTCAAAATTTGTCCCAGCTGTTCGGGGTTCAACCTCTGCTGTCGTATCAGGCTGCGCTCAGCGAAGCATTTTATTTTAACAGGAATCAATTTGTAGGTCAGTCATTCCAAAGGTCCGTCAGACATGTGGCAATGTCCAGTAATAAAGGGTTTGGTCCAGTAAAATGTCATCAATTACTGGACCAAATGACCAGTGTAGATGTAAGAATTTTGTAATGATAATGTAAAAGACTGCTCAAACACTGACTGGTCCAGTAATGCTTGAACAGTTATTGGACCAAAAGACCACTGAGGTCCACAAAACCTTTGGAACCTCTGGTAGATGGATCTGGATTCATTCTGAATTTATTATCCACGTGTCACTTCCGGTTTTCATTTCATTTAAAAATCATAAGTAAAAGTGATCTATTCTTGATTAATTTACAATTTACATTCATTAGAATCGTTGCAATAAGGATTTGTACAAATCCTTGGGTCCAACTTTATAGAAATGAATTCCAAATATCGATTTAAACGTTTTTATAAGGATAATGATTATGCAGTGAAATAGTCGTTGCAAGTTCATTTATGCTGTTATTCCGGGTTAAAAAAAATGGAATCAAACTTTTGTTGATCAGGAATGTCCCCTGAAACTAACTGAAATAAAATTATGAACTAGATTTCTGGATCCTATATCATAATCTTAATACTTTAGCGCCACATCAGTAAAATCTATATTATCATGCAATAACTGCCTAGCATGCCTAAGTCTGACAAAGATGTATAGCTAGTAAAACACATTCTTGGTCCCTTTCTGTTACCCAAAATAAGGTTGATTTTCATCTCACGCAAAAGTAACTAAAGCCTTCAAAATCCTAGCTGAAACCCAGATTTTAAATGTATAATTTGACTATGTTTTTTGTCAGTTTCATTAGAATGGAGATAACAATATTGTATTTTAAGCTCCAATGGCATCAATTGGTGATTTGATGCTGTCTGAGCTTAAAATACAATACAGTTATCTCCTAAGTATAGTAATATTTCTAGAAATGTCCTAATCTTACCAGTACTTATACAGTATTTTAAATGATTAATTGTAATTTACAGGTAAGCTTTACTGACCTATAGAGATTTGCTATTGGTCTTCATAGAATACTGTAAATGCTGTCATTTTTGCATGCATGTATTATTGCAATTTCAGGAAATGTTGACACACAAATATATAGACCACTAAAATAACGAGGTCCAATTTGTTAGCCAGCATGACATAAAAACAACAGTCACAAATCAAAGATTTCAACTTTATATTTGACTAATATAGGACAAAGATATTGATTAAAAATTACACCATTCCAGGCCCTTTTGTTTTCCACATAATTAAGTCTAATAATATACCAATAATTAACAAGTTCTGGGGCGAATCCGATTCTGATACCAATAATATATATATATATGTAACATGTAGTTTCCATTTGTAGTAAAACTGTTATAAAAACCAGGTCTGGTTCAAACAGAAAGATTTTGAAAGCAGAGAAAACTGTGCACTTTCTAATCCGCATGACTTCAGATGACAATACGATTACTTTAAATCGAGGCTAAAAGTAAGCCGTAGATACTTTAATTCAGTCACAGACTGGATTGTATATGCCGCAAATGTGTTCTAGTAGCCTTTAAAATGCAAGTTTTTATTTTTACAGAAGTTTTTATAATAAACATCACATAATTTCTGAATTGACATTTCTATTTAATGATTGTATTTTCACAGGTTAAGTTGGCTTTACGGACCTCTGGACATTTACTGTTGGGTGTATGCAGAATCTACTCCAGGAAAGCCAAGTACCTGTTGGCGGACTGTAATGAAGCTTTTGTCAAGATTAAAATGGCTTTCCGACCAGGTGTTGTAGATCTCCCCGAGGAGAATCGTGAGGCAGCGGTAGCAGCCATTACTCTTCAGGAAAATTTCCATGACTTTGATACAACATTGGCTGATCTTAAGTAATTTGATTTAATGTAGAAACACTTAAAAATATCATCACAGGTTATTAATCTATATATAGCTGTAAATTATTACTGTAAAGTCAGAAATTATTGCGATTTTTGAAGAATGGACAAAAATGTTATATTTATTATTGCGTTTTCAAGAAAATCTGCATAAAGACATATGTATCAGATATCAGAATGCGAGTGCTTATTATTGCAATCCTCATCCAGTCGCATTATTCACAATAATTTCTGAATTTACAGTACCTCAATATAACAAGATGAGCAAACCTCAAATATTTTTAAGAATTTAATGCTTCTAATAATCATTTTATTGGGATTTAAATGTGTTGACAGAAGCAGAATCAATGCTTTTACAACCCTATACAATTATAAAAGAAGCATTCAATTCTTATAACATTTTTATTCTGCAACCATGAAAATGTCAAGCTTTTTGTTGGTTTGATTTAATACTGTCATGGAAAGCACATGCAGTAAAAGCTGTTGTATTTTATATGGAAATAGACCTTGATATTAAGGCGTCTCTCTATAGTTGTCATCCTATCAAAATTGCAGATTCTAATGAAACATAAAATTGAGAATGGAAATGGGGAATGTGTCAAAGAGACAACAACCCGACCATAGAACAGACAACAGCAGAAGGTCACCAACAGGTCTTCAATGCAGCGAGAAATTCCCGCACCCGGAGGCGTCCTTCAGCTGGCCCCTAAACAAATATATATACTAGTTCAGTGATAATGAACGCCATACTAAACTCCAAATTGTACACAAGAAACTAAAATTAAAAATAATACAAGACTAACAAAGGCTAGAGGCTCCTGACTTGGGACAGGCGCAAAAATGCAGCGGGGTTAAACATGTTTATGAGATCTCAACCCTCCCCCTATATCTCTGGCCAATGTAGAAAAGTAAACGCATAACAATACTCACATTAAAATTCAGTTCAAGAGAAGTCCGAGTCTGATGTCAGAAGATGTAACCAAAGAAAATAAACAAAATGACAATAATACATAAATAACAACAGACTACTAGCAGTTAACTGACATGCCAGCTCCAGACTTCAATTAAACTGATTGAAAGATTATGTCTTCATCACATGAATATCATATAATGTCATTATTTTAAAGTTGGACTTCGGTCATTTACAACTCTCTACTGTTTTACTTGCAAAATAATCTGTGTATATGAATAGTAAATTGTGCATTGCTAAAGACCTTCAGAACAAAAGATCAGTGTTCTGTAAATATTTGGTTTTAGAATGGTGTGGAAATGCCTTGGAAATATTAATTTAACGGAAACTTGCATCGTTAGTGCTCTCATGTGTACAATTCATGCCAGAATTTTAGGAAGCTTATATCATAGGTTTATATTAGCAATGTCTTGGACGAGTTCAAAAATCAGTGTTGATCAATTATCTTTAAAAGAGTTATGCCCTTGGAAACATTAATTATATTGAAAATTGCATTGATAGTGCTCTCATTTGTACAATTCTTGCCAGATTTTTTTAAACTTATACCATAGGTTTATATTAGCAATGTCTTGGACAAGTTCGACAATCAGTGCTGATCAAAAAGAGTTATGCCCCTTGGAAATATAAATTATATGGAGAATTGCATTGTTAGCGCTCTCATATGTACAATTTTGCCAGAAATTTATGAAACTTAAATCATGTGTTTATATTAGCAATGTCTTGGACGAATTTGAAAATCAGTGCCGATCAATTATCTTTAAAAGAGTTATGCCCCTTGGAAATATTGATTATATGGAACATTGCAATGTTATAGTTCTCATGTGTTCAATTCTTGCCAGAATTTTATGAAGCTTATATCATAGGTTTATATCAGCAATATCTTTGACACTTTCGAAAATAAGTTCTGGTCAAATATTTTTAACAAGTTATGCCCCTTGGAAAAACAAATTATAATGGAAATCACATTGCATTTGCTCTGAAGCCTTCATTTCTATTTAGATCTTAATAAAAGATTAAAAAAAAACAAAGCTTTTTTAGCTCACCTGGCCCGAAGGGCCAAGTGAGCTTTTCTCATCACTTGGCGTCCGGCGTCGGCGTTAACTTTTTACATTTTGAATTTCTTCTAGAGAACCACTGAATGGAATGAAACCAAACATGGCATGAATGTTCCTTATGAGATGCTGACCAAGTGTTGTTACTTTGTAGCCGATCCATCATCCAAGATGGCCGCCAGCGGGGGACCTAGTTTAACATAGGACCCTATGGGAAATGCATACAAATGACTTCTTTTAGAGAACCACTGAATGGAATGAAACCAAACATGGCATGAATGTTCCTTATGAGGTGCTCACCAAGTGTTGTTACTTTGTAGCCGATCCATTATCCAAGATGGCCGCCAGCGGGGGACTTAGTTTAACATAGGACCCTATGGGAAATGCATACAAATGACTTCTTTAAGAGAACCACTGAATGGAATAAAACCAAACATGGCATGAATGTTCCTTATGAGGTGCTGACCAAGTGTTGTTACTTTGTAGCCGATCCATCATCCAAGATGGCCGCCATCGGGGAACTTAGTTTAACATAGGACCCTATGGAAAATACATACAAATGTCTTCTTTTAGAGAACCACTGAATGGAATGAAACCAAACATGGCATGAATGTTCCTTATGAGATGCTGACCAAGTGTTGTTACTTTGTAGCCGATCCATCATCCAAGATGGCCGCCAGCGGGGGACTTAGTTTAACATAGGACCCTATGGGAAATACATAAAAATGTCTTCTTTTAGAGAACCACTGAATGGAATGGAACCAAACATGGCATGAATGTTCCTTATGAGATGCTGACCAAGTGTTGTTACTTTGCAGTTGGTCCATCATCCAAGATGGCCGCCAGCAGGGGACTTAGTTTAACATAGGACCCTATGGGAAATACATACAAATGTCTTCTTTTAGAAGAACCACTGAATGGAATGAAACCAAACATGGCATGAATGTTCCTTAAGAGGTTCTGACCAAGTGTTGTTACTTTGTAGCCGATCCATCATCCAAGATGGCCGCCAGCGGGGGACTTAGTTTAACATAGGACCCTATGGGAAATACATACAAATGTCTTCTTTTAGAGAACCACTGAATAGAATGAAACCAAACATGGCATGAATGTTCCTTATGAGGTGCTGACCAAGTGTTGTTACTTTGCAGTCGGTCCATCATCCAAGATGGCCGACAGCAGGGGACTTAGTTTAACAAAGGACCTATGGGAAATACATACAAATGTCTTCTTTTAGCGAACCACTGAATGGAATGAAACCAAACATGGCATGAATGTTCCTTATGAGATGCTGACCAAGTGTTGTTACTTTGTAGCCGATCCATCATCCAAGATGGCCGACAGCGGGGACTTAGTTTAACATAGGACCCTATGGGAAATACATACAATTGTCTTCTTTTAGAGAACCACTGAATGGAATTGAACCAAACATGGTATGAATGTTCCTAATGAGTTGCTGACCAAGTGTTGTTACTTTGCAGTCGATCCATCATCCAAGATGGCCGCCAGCAGGGGACTTAGTTTAACATAGGACCCTATGGGAAATGCATACAAATGACTTCTTTTAGAGAACCACTGAATGGAATGAAACCAAACATGGCATGAATGTTCCTTATGAGGTGCTCACCAAGTGTTGTTACTTTGTAGCGGATCCATCATCCAAGATGGCCGCCAGCGGGGGACTTAGTTTAACATAGGACCCTATGGGAAATGCATACAAATGACTTCTTTTAGAGAACCACTGAATGGAATAAAACCAAACATGGCATGAATGTTTCTTATGAGGTGCTGACCAAGTGTTGTTACTTTGTAGCTGATCCATCATCCAAGATGGCCGCCATCGGGGAACTTAGTTTAACATAGGACCCTATGGGAAATACATACACATGTCTTCTTTTAGAGTACCACTGAATGGAATGAAACCAAACATGGCATGAATGTTCCTTATGAAGTGCTGACCAAGTGTTGCTACTTTGTTAACGATTTACTGTTCAAGATGGCCACCAGGATATTTTATTAAATAACAGGACCAATATTAATCAAAATTTGGCCTCAATCATTATTTGGGTATCTGTTATGATTTTTATCTATCTTTACATGATTTCTAAAACCAAAGTAGAGTCAGGTGAGCGACACAGGCTCTTGAGAGCCTCTAGTTTTAGTTATTGCCCCTTGTATCTTGGATAGAAAAAAATATGTGCAACGCGGGGGACATTGGAACTCTATTCTTTTATATTCATATAGGGATAGGAATTTAACCCTTGAAAACCTGACAGATAAATACAAATATGTATTAGAATGATATGTACCCTAACAAATTATAGAAACTGATATGTAAATAAAATTTTTAATACAAGTAAGTGACCAAATTAAATATGCTTCAGTAATTATTGATTTTAATTTTTCAGTGATTTTGATGTACAAGCCCAGTTTTCTGTGAATCAGAGCCGACCAGAAGAAATCACAATGAGAGAAGACCTGTCCAGCATTACTTTTGTGGGGGATGATGGATTTGGTAAGAAAAGGTCAAAGAAAAAAGGGGGTGTCAGACAGAACTTGCTGATATAAGGATGAATGCTAAAGATTGTGAAAAAACCTAAATTACTATTGCAGATTTGGGTTTGTAAATTTCACAAATCTTTCCAACAGCTAGATGAATTTCAAGTTTTTTTAAGTGTTTAGAGCTATTTTCCTAATGCTTGTAGATTGAGACTCTGGTTGACTTGCTTGCTTTGTTTGTATAAATGTTTCTCAAGCATTGTAAATAAGATTGACATCTGCAATCAATAGATAGGATATAATGTATACAAGCCGAAGCCCCGCCTATCTATTGATTGCAGATGTCAATCTTAATCACAATGCTTGAGTTAACGTTTATACAAACAAAGCAAGCAAGCCAACCAAGCATTAGGAAATTAGCTTCAATAGAATAGAATGACAAACTTTCAATAGAGCCATATGTAATTTGACTCAAGATAACAAAACTATAAACTTTAATTTAAACCTAATCAAAGGAATAATATCAAGCATATAATCAACAGAGAGAGAAAACTTGATTCTCACACCCACTTATAAAGCAGTTGTACAATACACATTAAAAATAGATTGGATTTGAGGCGTGCAGCTGCATAAAGTGAGATAACTCTAATTTGATTTTGATATCTATACTAAACAATTATTATACAGTTGAATATTAAAACTCAACAGAATAATATTTCTTTATTAAAGGGTAATAAAAGTTATATTTGAAGACTCCTTAGAAAAATAAATTATTTCTTATCCAATTTTGGGATAAAAACGATAAAATATTTCCTGTCTTATCAATTGTGGAACAAAATCTTCTCAATGCAGGTAATCGAAAATACGAGGGACTTTTTATCAGTTACTGGACGTGTGATGTATGGTTTCAAAACAAACAATGCAAGACACTACATAATTTGACCCTTATCAACATTTATATAGAAAACATCACGTTCACAATTCAAAATTTTAAAAAAGTTTTGAAATTTTATTTTTTAATATCACCATTCTAAATTTTAGAAATTTTGTGAAATTTTGAAAAATTCACCAAATGATTAAATCAAACTTTGAAAATACAACACTTAACATGCCGTTTTGTTTATTTTGCTTTTTGAAAGTTTGATTTTTTGTCACGGCTGCGACAGGTTTGCATTTCCGACGACAGCGTCAATAATTGTTAAGTTTTCTGATTAACTTAGTTTGATAGGAACTACTTGTGATAGATCAATGATATTTTGTATGAAGATGCATTACTATAGTACAAATCAGTTAGACGACTATTTCAAGGCCCTGCCTCCTAGGTCATGGTCCAGTGACTCAATCAATTAACAATTTTCGATGTTGAGTTTTCTGATTAAGTTAGTTTGATAGAAACTACTTACAATAAACAATATTTTCTATAAAGTTACATTGTTGTCTGTACATCTCAGTTTGTCACCCATTTCGGGCCCTACCCACTAGTTTTTCCAGTGACTGAATTAATTAGGGCCCCGTTGAGTGGCGGACGCCCTATAGTGATCAGTCTGTCCGTCCGTCCGTAACAAATTGTGTCCACTCTATATCTAGAGAACCGTTATGATTTCAAAGTTTATACTTGACATGTATATTAACCAACACCAGAGGGTGTGTCATAATGTATGTACAACTTCCTAGGTCAAAGGTCAAGGTCAAAAACTTAAGTTTTAGTTGACAACCCCATGTCCTATGGTAAAGATCGTGTCCCCTCTATATCTTGAGAACCGTTATGATTTCAGAGTTTATACTTGACATGTATATAAACCAACACCAGAGGGTGTGTCATAATTTATGTACAACTTCCTAGGTCAAAGGTCAAGGTCATAAACTTCGGTTTCAGTTGACAACCCCATGTCCTATGGTAAAGATTGGGTCTGCTCTATATCTTGAGAACCGTTATGATTTCAAAGTTTATACTTGACATGTATATAAACCAACACCAGAGGGTGTGTCATAATTTATGTACAACTTCCTAGGTCTACGGTCAAGGTCATAAACTTCAGTTTCAGTTGACAACCCCATGTCAAATGATAAAGATACAAATTTTTTACCACACATTATTCACAGCGGGGCCCACAGAGATAGATCCTGTCTCAATGATATCTAGTTAGCAATGTTGCTGTCCATCAGATTGTCTTTTTCTGAATTTTGTGCTGACAGGCGAGACATATCTCTGTGTCAACAGTTTATTTTATTAAGATATTAAAATAGAAATCAGGCAAAATGAGAACATGCATATCATTATTGCGTTTGGGGTACCTGTAAAGTGTGAAATAAAAACGAAATGAAATGAACAGTAAATTTTACTAAAAGTTAATGTATAAAATAAATCAAGAGGCAGACAGTTGTTAGGGGTGAAAAATTGAATAACAAAATAAATGTTTCTCAAAAGCAGAGAATTAATTTTAAAATAAGAAACATGGCTCTGATTTATATGATCATTCTTAGTTAAGAATAAAAAGCATGAAACATATTTAATCATTTTTAATTGCAAAAAAAAAAAATAATTTGAAGAAGAGGTTGTATTTCTTTAAAATTGGAATTTTGATATTTTAAACTTTATACAGTCCGGGGTACTACTTAAACAAGTTGTTTCAGAATCACTTCTTCAAGTGATTTTGGCTGTGAAATATTAAAATTTTTCACAAAAATAGACACAGACTTTTTAAAATCACTGAAACAAGTAATTTGAGAAGTTAAAATGTAATCACTTCAACACATGTTTATAACATTTTCTTTATATTTTTCCCACAAGCTTGCCTTTTTTATTGGTAAAAAGACAAGAATTCCATTGAAAAAACAACTATGTACATGCAGAAATTGTCTTTTGCTTGATTAGCCTGTCAGTTTTTACAGATTATTTAAAATATGCAAAAACTGGAATAATTTGTAGATCAGGACATAACCTTGAAGTAAATCATTATAACTCTAAAGAAAACCAATCAGGTTACCTAATATTGTTGACCTTTGTCTGATAGTAAGAGTAGTTAATGAATATTTGATTATCTAAAAATTCCCAAGGGTTCTTTTAAAAGCTTTAGCGCACAAACTTACTGTCCAAGCGCACTGGTGAAATTGATATACAAAAGAAAGGGATAATAGTTCTATGTAGGAAAATTATAGAAAAGTTTGTCAAAATATGGAAAATCAATGAAATTAGCATTTATAGATCAAAGAAAACACCAAAATCACTTAAATAGGTAATAACTGAATTTTATCAAATCACTGAAATAGGTGATAATGAAATCACTTGTTTAAGTAGTACCCCTGACTGTTATAACTTTGATTAAAATTTCAAAAAAAAAATAATTTTGGATTGCTCAGTGATGGACCACTATTTCTATCTTGTACATTGGTAAGAAACAGATCATTCCGACACCTGTTTAAATTATCCTCCCCTTATTATTCTATTGTTTGGTCTGAGGTCTCCAAGTATATCAAATTTAGATTGATCATTGTAGCAATATTATTGCATTGTTAAACATTTTCCTGCAATTTCAAAAATTGGGACCTCAAATACTGTCATAGGTCCTCATAGTTTTAGCTGAATATTGATGTTTTCCTAGAAATAGACATTTTTAACAAAATTTAACAATTTGAGATTGTTTACAATGCATATGCTTATAAACAATTAGTTTTATTATCTGATTTTAATACACCAATCCTGTGTGACAGCTTCAGTAACAAGGATCTGACAACATTCCTTTTTAACAGGATTTCTGAAGGAAAATCAGTTATTGATTTGGGAATGTACAGCGGCACGGGGGGTGGCTGTCAAACAGTGTCCGTGCATTTTTACTCATGAACCATTCAACCAAAGCTTTTCAAATTTTGATATGTTGTTACTGTTGACAAAATGAAGGTCAAGTTCAATATTGACGATTTTCACTTTCACCGTTGAAAAGATTGAAAAATGGTCTTTCCAGTCGTGTCCCTGCTTTAACTCATGAACCATTCAACCAAAGCTTTTCAAATTTTAATATGTTGTTACTGATGACAAATGGATGTTTAGTTCAATATTGATGATTGTCACTTTTATCGCGCAGGAGTTTTGGTCCTTGTGATATTGAAAAATGCCAAGACACAAATATATGTTAAAAAATCTGTCTTGTGACATTCTGTTTTGAAGACCTTCAAAGGATTTGCACATAGGTACATACCTTTAAATGTTTTAAGGCTGGAATTTCATTGGTTGAAGCAATGATTATCATATTAAAAGTTAAATGGAGTATTGACAGTTACTAGTTACAGCTACAATGATCAATCTAAATTGATATAAGACATCACTATAAACATTCAGTCCTCCATGAAACCTAAATTTATACTGACCCTTCATTTTTTTTAATGCAAATTTGAATTCCTGTAGGTCAAAAACAGTTTTGCAAGAAGGTGCAGACATAGTATATACAAAAGAGATTAAACAGATCGGTTTATTATTATAATTTGCACAACAATTACACAATATATTTAATTTCACTAGATATAATGGATACCTTCGGAGATGAGAATTTTATGTCTGCACTCTGTGATTCACACAGTCTATCTTGTGCATTGGCCGGTCTGAATTTCATCTCCGAAGTAATGCTAACATTAGCATGTCTATCTTCCATCCCATGCTACTGCACTATAGATAAGTGTGTGTCACAGTGTCAGAGCTTTATTGGTAAGAAACAGTTCATTCTGACACCTGTTTAAATTATCCTCACCCTTATTGTTCTATTGTTTGGACTGATGTCCCCAAATTTAGATTGATCATTGTAGCAATACTATTGCATTGATAAAAGATTTTCCTGCAATTTCAAAAATTGGGACCTCAAATACTATTCATAGTTTTAGTTAGATATTGATGTTTTCCTAGAAGTAGAATTTATAACAAAATTTAACAATTTAAGATTGTTTACAATGCTTTTAAACAATTAGGAGATAACTGTATTGTATTTTAAGCTCTGACAGCATCAATTGGTGATTTGATGGTCGCAAATTAAGTTTACTGGTGACGCCTTAGAGGAGCCAGTAAACAGGTATTTGCGACAATCAAATCACCAATTGATTCCGTCTGAGCTTAAAATACAATATTGTTATCTCCATTCTAATGAAAATAACAGAAAACAACATCAAATCATACATTTAGAATTTGTCATACTTCGTCTGTGCATGCGCGAACATTTTCATAGCATCAATTGTGAATTGATGCCATGAAAATTGGTGACGTTATTTAATCAAAATGAACGTTACAAACGATGTTGCATTAGAATTAGTTTTATTATCTGATTGCACTACACAAATCCTGTGTATAAGCTGTAGTAACAAAGATCTGACAACATTCCTTTTTACATTGTGCGAGACATTCAAAGGATTTCCATTTACAAAATGTTTTAGAGCTAATATCCTATTGCTTGTAGATTAAGACTTTGGTTGGCTTGCTTGCTTTGTTTGTATAAACATTTGCTCAAAGCATTGTAATTAAGATTGACTTCTGTAAACAATATAGATTGTGGGGAGTTAAACCTTACTAACGTTTGCAGATGTTCATCTTAATTACAATGCTTGAGCAAACATTTATACAAACAAAGCAAGCTAGCCAACCTAATTTTAATTTACAAGCATTAGGAAAATAGCTCTTAAGTTGGAATTTCATTGGTTGAAGCAATGATTATCACAATAGAAAGTAAAATGGAGCATTGACAGTTACATGTAGCTAACGGGGTATCCTGATCTGATATCCCAGAAGGGATCCAAATCCCCAGGAGCAATTAGTGAAAAGTTTGCAACAGTGGGTAGGTAAAATCTATGGAATCTGATCCTGATTGTACTTAATCACATTTACAAACTTTTAAATAATTGTTCCTCTTTGGATTGGGATACCCAGTTTGTGTAAGCAAAGCATGGTTACAGGATTTTCCTTTTAAATCAGATTGTTACTATTTTGATATTTTAAAATCAGTTATATTTTCATATAACATTTTCATATTGGCTAGTTGTTGGTGGAGGAATTTGGAATGCATTACAGCCGATTCCAACAAGTGTGTACCTAAAGGTAGAATCTTTGGTTAGCTTTCTTGCTTGCTCAACCATGAAATCATTATTAGGTAAGGTACATCCAGCCTTTGGGTGGAGTCAATAGTTAAGCAGAGAACCAATCAGAATTAAGTGGCAGAATATAAACATTGTAAAACTAGTTTTACAAGTCAGTTTAAAAATAAGTTTTCAATCTTAATTTAAAATTTAGTGATAATTATAAGATAATTCACAAGCATGTTGTAGGTGTGTTTGATTTGCCAATTTTATTTTGATAAATGGTGAAAAAATAACTGAAAGCTGAAATTCCTAAAAAAAAATCTTCTTCGTCAGACATTACAAATAATAATATATATTATTTGTCTGTTGAATTTGTTACATCAAGTTAATAAAATGTAGTTGGATATGATTGACAAATGCTGACCGTATTCACTTTTACGCATACACATATGTTTACATTACACCCGGACAGGTAAAAAAGATTGGAAGGTGTCCAAAAGTACAGATGACCTGATTATTCAATCTAGGTCAGATTAAATCTAAATGAAGTAGAGACATAAAAATTGTTCTTCATGGCTGCATTATTTATCTAAAACTAATAAGTAAGGTAATGTTAACGGACCAAGTAGATGTTAATAAACTCTGCAATATTTTCAATTCCAACTGAAACTGCAGTTGTTGTTTTTTTTCGTTGCATTTTTAACTAAATAAATGGTCCACAAGTCAACCGTGCATGATATTAAGTAGTATGATAATTTTTCTTTCCTGTATGAATATAAAAGATTTTATTTCTAAAGACATATATATGAAAAACCTTGAGCATAACAATGTTTCATGCGTGGGGAATACACCAAAAGACACTAATTAACTAAACTGCCTATTCACGGAGTAAATATTTAAAAAAAAAAAAAACGTTACTCCGCTTCAAATTTATTGTAATAAAAAGATTTTGTTTAATTCAATCATAGACTAAGAAATGAAATTTCATTTGCAAAGTAGTCTAGGTAAACCTTTAAATAATTAATTAACAGGCCATTGCTATGAATGTTTTCATTGGATGACAAAATGGCGCTTTGCTCCTCCCAATTTATAGGTAATATTCATTTCATGGTTGAGTTAGCAAGGAAGCTAACCAAAAATTCTACCTTTAGCTACACACTCATTGGAATCGGCTGTAACTGAGACCTGACTTAGGCATTACTACATGGTATTATATGCTCATACTTGATGGTCTAACAGTGAATCATCGCTATTTACTTTCGACACCATTTTGTCTTTGGTGGATATTCGTCTCATTGGCAGTCATACTCTATCTTATTTGTACAAATCTTCTGAATGCAACTTGCCCACGTTTTAAATTTCCTTTTTCTTTTCTGTATAGAAGTCATGTGACCTGACTGATAAAAAATCATGGGTAAAACTTAAGACATTTTGATATAAAAAAAAAAAAGACAGCTTTTTTTGATTTTCAGCATATCAGATTCAGAGCATTAAAAGAATAAAACAATTTTTATTTTTGAGTGCTTTTTTGAATTTTTGCTATACAGTTTTGAGGGGATTTTTCTGTCAGGATATTGTCATAGAGTTAATCTTTGAAGGAACTTTCAAAAATATTGAATATATATATTAGTTACAATTAAAATGCAATTTTTATGTTGTATTTATTTTCATTGGCTAAAATTTAACTTCAAATCTACAGTTGACATGTCATAACTAAGGAATGAGCCGCCATATTGACTTGCATGGATCAACAAATGTTAGATGACAATATATAAAAATTGCTGTTTTAATAGGACTTTATCCAAGTTTGATCTCATTACAGGTGATATTGGTTTTGATGACAGGGAAATCCTTCGTGACGCCACATCATTTGAGGAATCTCTCTACAAACAGCCAGATCATGAACCTCTTGTTGAAGAAAAAACCCTCAACGAGAATGCTAATGAGAAACCAATGGACGTAGATAATGAAATTCAAGCACCAATGGATGATGATCTTAGTCCTGTTGATGGAGGATTTATGGGTAAGGGCGTTTCTGGAATGAAAATGTTTGAGGATGTGAATGTCACTTTGATTTTAAAAACTATGCATTACACAGAAATAGAAAAAATGATTACGGACAATAGAACTACACCACATCCTTGGTTGTCTAGAATAAATGTTTATAAATCACAGTTAATCAATTTGATCGTACAAGTTTACCAACAAAAAGGTCTTATGTCCAGCTAAGCAACGATAAAAGTGACCACAAAATAGGGACCATAAACAAAGCACACAACTCGACATCAAACATACTACAATCAAAAACAATTCAATGATGAAAATTAACTTGTCTATCTTGGAGAAAAATTCTGTCATACTACTAATGAATAAGTGCTCAATTTGAAGTTGTCCAGAATTTGACACCAATAGAGATTTTACATGTACAAATTAACTTTTTATACATTTTAGTAAAAAAATCTAGAAAGAGAAAACACTGTAAGTGGGTCAGCTGTTGAATTGTTTTTATGTTAATTATTAAAGCTTAGGTTATTCCAGAAATTAATCCCCTACTGAGATGGAACCTAGGCTTTAAAAAAATATCTTCACTGTGACCTGCTGGGGGATGGGGTGGGGGGGGGGGGGAGTATGGCCAAACCAAATATCATTATCTGGTTCCATAAATTTGATACCCATGTTTCCGTCAAGGGTATTTTGTTAAAGATGGGGTTTTTTTTTTCAGTGCTATGTTTAGGGCTATTCCATTAAAATGTATGTGGGAGGGTAGGAAGGGACTTTCAAAATATCCCTACAACCAAGAACCATTTTTTAGATAATTTTGCATAATGGTAATAGACGCATACTTAAAAAAGACCCATGACCCACATTCAATATTTGAACTTCCCTTCCTACCCTCCCACATACATTTTAATGGAATAGCCCTTATCACAACATTGTCATTTTTTCTTCTTCTGCTTTCCAGACATCTTATTTTATTTATAACAGGCAAAGGCTTTATTTTACCATAACTGGGTTCTGTTTAGTTATAATTGATTGAAGCTCTTGCACACCATTGATCAATATTTCTGGAATAACTTTTGTGAATATTGCTACGACTTTGTTTATATCTTTCAATGAATCCGTATAAAGATGTAAGCGCTGTCAATTATTACTTTTATTTTTTAATTTAAGTATTTTTTCTTTTGCAAACATTACAAGTGAAATGAGATCATAGAAATATTTAGTTTTTGTCGAGCCTGCGACTTTTGTCGCAGAAAGCTCGACATAGGGATAGTGATCCGGCGGCGTTAGCTAACTTCTTAAAAGCTTTATATTTTAGAAGGTGGAAGGTCTGGATGCTTCATACTTTGTATATGGATGCCTCATGTTACGAAGTTTCCGTCAGTCACATGTCCAATGTCCTTGACCTCATTTTCATGGTTCAGTGACTACTTGAAAAAAAAGTTCAGATTTTTTGTAATGTTAGATTCTCTCTTATAATAAGTAATAGGATAACTATATTTGGTATGTGCGTACCTTGCAAGGTCCTCATGCCCGTCAGACAGTTTTCACTTGACCTCGACCTCATTTCATGGATCAGTGAACAAGGTTAAGTTTTGGTGTCAAGTCCATATCTCAGATACTATAAGCAATAGGTCTAGTATATTCGGTGTATGGAAGGACTGTAAGGTGTACATGTCCAACTGGCAGGTGTCATCTGACCTTGACCTCATTTTCATGGTTCAGTGGTTATAGTTAAGTTTTTGTGTTTTGGTCTGTTTTTCTTATACTGTATGCCATAGGTCTACTATGTTTGGTGTATGGAATGATTGTAAGGTGTACATGTCTAGCGGGCAGGTGTCATCTGACCTTGACCTCATTTTCATGGTTCAGTGGTCAAAGTTAAGTTTTTGAGTTTTGGTCTTTTTTTCTAATACTATGTGCAAAAGTTCAACTATATTTGGTATGTGCGTACCTTGCAAGGTCCTCATGCCCTTCAGACAGTTTTCACTTGACCTCGACCTCATTTCATGGATCAGTGAACAAGGTTAAGTTTTGGTGGTCAAGTCCATATCTCAGATACTATAAGCAATAGGTCTAGTATATTCGGTGTATGGAAGGACTGTAAGGTGTACATGTCCAACTGGCAGGTGTCATCTGACCTTGACCTCATTTTCATGGTTCAGTGGTTATAGTTAAGTTTTTGTGTTTTGGTCTGTTTTTCTTATACTGTATGCCATAGGTCTACTATATTTGGTGTATGGAATGATTGTAAGGTGTACATGTCTAGCGGGCAGGTGTCATCTGACCTTGACCTCATTTTCATGGTTCAGTGGTCAAAGTTAAGTTTTTGAGTTTTGGTCTTTTTTTCTAATACTATGTGCAATAGTTCAACTATATTTGGTATGTGCGTACCTTGCAAGGTCCTCATGCCTGTCAGACAGTTTTCACTTGACCTCGACCTCATTTCATGGATCAATGAACAAGGTTAAGTTTTGGTGGTCAAGTCTATATCTCAGATACTATAAGCAATAGGTCTAGTATATTCGGTGTATGGAAGGACTGTAAGGTGTACATGTCCAACTGGCAGGTGTCATCTGACCTTGACCTCATTTTCATGGTTCAGTGGTTATAGTTAAGTTTTTGTGTTTTGGTCTGTTTTTCTTATACTATATGCAATAGTTCAACTATATTTGGTGTATGGAAATATTTTATGATCTATTTGGCAGTCACGCAGGTTTTATTTGACCTTGACCTCATTTTCAAGGTTCATTGCTCAGTGTTAAGTTTTTGTGTTTTGGTCTGTTTTTCTTAAACTATAAGCAATAAGTCAACTCTATTTGTTGTATGGAAGAATTGTTAGCTGTACATGCCTGCCTAGAATGGTTCATCTGACCTTGACCTCATTTTCATGGTTCATTGGTCAATGTTTAGTTTACTTGGTTAATGTTAAGTTTATGTGACAGTTGTAATAAAGCTTTATATTTAGGACTATCAACATAATATCAATGATTAGTAAAGAAGGCGAGACATTTCAGTGTGTGCACTCTTGTTAAAACCAGCATAGAATTTTTTAGGTGAGAATGGTTTATTTTTCAATAATTTTTCATAAGTTTTTGTGATATTAGAAAAAAAGAGAAAATTTCAAGACTTGTTAGTTTTCTAGAGAAAAAAAAACGTGTTCCTTGTAACCAGCATCCCATTAGAATTTATACAAATCTGTAGATCAAAAACATATCTTTTGTATAAAAAACTATGAAATTGAAATTTGTTAAGAAGAAAAATATATTTGCTTTTGTTCCTGTTTATTTCCAAATATAATGAATTTTGTGTCATTTTACATCAAAATTATAAACCTGTTTTTGGAGCAGAATCCTAATTTCAAACCCACTTCTATTTGGTGTAATTACACCAGCTGAATTACACCTGTAATATAAAATATTCTGGATTTTGATTGGTTGATAGCCTGTGTATTTTAAAGTACATGTATCCTCAATATAATGTCAGGGTTGTTAGGCAGTTAAGCTGCCTTATGCTAGCACCCTAGATTTGTGTTCTTCCTAACGAATGCTGAAAAAAGTGCCATTGTTGTAATCTAGCAGGCTAATATGTTATATATAACTAATTGGACATTTTTTTCATTCTTTTAATTCTGGAATACAAAAAATATGACCAGAATAACCTTAAATGATCGTCGAACGACGCATAATATTTGAAGTTGCACATAGGAAATAGTGCTCAATAGAAATCCGTACGTAGTTTATTATCCCCTGTGCTTTTGGCTAAGATGGCAAAGAACAATTGTATGAAATATTTCATCGCCGAAAATCTGTAATTACAAGTCGTTTATATTTCCCAAATGGCAAATTGCGCAGGAATATTGTTCATGTACACCAAATCTCTATGATAGAGGGAATAAAGTTATATATAGTACACATGTAGTCTAAGTTGGCGGTAATTTTAACTTGCACGAAACGTAAGTTCGTTTGATTCTGATGATATAAAGTCCGATTAAGCGAAAGTACTCTTAATCATGATATTCTTTTAGTTTAAGACGATTGTGATTATTTAATTGATTTCAATTAAATGTATGCACATTTAAATTCCTTTCTTTTATTAAATTATTCCGTTTATCACTGAACTTGTTGTTATTTTATGAATGAAAAACCGGAAATCGACGTAATCAATGTCCACCAATCAGGTCGATGTTTTAAGAAATGCGGAATAACTCGTCCCAGAGACAAGTCGGACCGGGCCACTCGGACCGTCTAAGAAAACAACTCGGACCCCTTGTCAGATTAACTTAGGGTTTCATAAAATGTAAGACTAACATGTCTAGCGGAGCCATCAATCTTTCGTTTGTGCATTGGGAACTATTTAGGGGTATTTTGAGGGGCCTAAAGAAGGGAGGGGTTTACTGTAGAACCCTATGGGATTTTATTTTCAAATGACTATTTATACTCGAAAACAGTAAGTGATAGACACGCGTGGTCTTCAGTAATGAGAACAGGACAATGAAACAAATCAAATAAAATATAGGGTGAGTCATCCCTTCAATTTGAAAATGTTCTTTTATCTTGTAAACGGTCGCGATCCCCACCCCTAAACCATATATATACTTGTATGGGACAATAAAACAAATCAAATGAAAATTTGGGGGAATCCCTGGGGTCACCCCACCCCCTCCTGTTTGAGAACTTGGAAACGGTCGAGATCCCCACCCCTAAACCATATATATTAATATATAGGACAATATAACAAATCAAATGAAATATAGGGGGAGTCCCTGGGGTCACCCCACCCCCTCTTGTTTGAGAACTTGGAAACGGTCGAGATCCCCACCCCTAAACCATATATATTGATGTATGGGACAATATAACAAATCAAATGAAATATAGGGGGAGTCCCTGGGGTCACCCCACCCCCTATTGTTTGAGAACTTGTAAACGGTTGAAATCCCCACTCCTAAACCATATATATTCATGTATGGGACAATATAACAAATCAAATGAAATATAGGGGGAGTCCCTGGGGTCAACCCACCCCCTCCTGTTTGAGAACTTGTAAACGGTCCCCACTCCTAAACCATATTTATTCCTGTTTGTCATTTCAAAATAATTTGAATGATATACAGGGTCAATCTCCTAGGCGTCACATTATGTGACATATGCATATCACTTTACTAGACCAAACCAATGTGTACTGGACTTTGCCCAATGTCAGGCGACCATGGGAATGACAAATTATGGGAGCTTTGTTTGGGAGACTTCGTAACAGCATCCTGTTACAATTATTTCTTGTTTATTATAAAATTGTATTGATGCAAAAAATGAGTCTAGGTAAATTGAATTTACTTTAATTATTTTTTGAATTATTTCTGGGCCTATAAAAATTTGCATTTATGGCTCATTTTAAAGAAACGTATAAATCTTTCAAGCAGTGTAAAGCCCAAGAATGTTTGACCAATTGTTTTATTTGACCGGAGAACCTGAGATCACCCCCAGTTTTTGGTGGGGTTCGTGTTGCTTAGTCTTCAGTTTTCTATGTTGTGTCATCTGTACTATTATTTGTCTGTTTGTCTTTTTATTTTTGGCCATGGCGTTGTCAGTTTGTTTTCAATCTATGAGGTTGACTGTCCCTCTGGTATCTTTCGTCCCTCTTTTATAATCACCTGTCATTTTATTCCAAACTTGGTATGGAGTGATATCACGGACTTGGGGTGAAGGTGGGGGTCATTTACATTTACTATGGTCAGGGCAGTCAGACCTCACCTTTGATCCCTGTAGTAGTAAACATTTGTCTGATTTGTGTCTCATAACTTTTGTACTGTAGAACCCAAACTCAGTGTTCCTTCCAGGGAAGCAAGTCCATTCATACAATTACGTCAACTTGTACCACTAAAAGTCAACTGGTACCAACGTTAACTACCAACTAGAACACCTGCAATCATTGCGTACTTGTACCACTGCAGACTCACCATTAAAAATATACATTGATATATGCGTTGCTTTAGAAAACCTTAATAAAATATTAATTAATTTGCCTTAATAATCAATTCATCAAATAAACATAAATGTAGAATATACGAATGTTTAATGTTTGTTCTTTCAAATCTGAAAAAAAAATTTGAAGCAACACTGCCACAGTTTTCATAATTACGTTTGCCTTGGTTTTTGGTTAACTGCCTGCAGCGCTTACAGTGCTTTGATTTTTTTTACCTTTCACAGAGACATTTGATCGTGTGTGTTTATTTAATGTAGATGTTTTAAAGTGCCGTCTTGATCAGGAAAAAAATAGGAAATAATCATTTAAATGCTGAACTGAATCATCTCAACAGATACATTATGTTCAAAAAGTTTGTTTATTTTGTTGTTGAAAAATGAAAGTCTTGCAGAAATTTCTTTCAACTAGTTCAATGGAAATTAAACCATCTCTAGACTGGTATTTTTTGCATCTCTCCTAAACATGATATATTGGTTTCAAATTCACTTGTAATTTTGCATTTGCATTAGTTGAAATTTACATGCAAACCTAGTGTCATCTGAAATAACTATATACACCATCGGTTTGTCAGTATGTTTGTTTGTTTGTTTGTTCAGATGATGATGACGACGATGATGATGATGGAGGAGGATTTGGGGGTGGAGTTGATCAAGAATTCTTTGGTAAGGTTTCTAGTCCAGTTGTTGTAACTAGCTAGTATATTTGTTGTATACAAGATTTTTGTAGGGTCCAGTTTCCAAATATCAAATCTGGAAATTTTTTGTCTTCACATCTTTGAGATGCTGATAGACTTTCTTTACAGAGAGACCTAATGGGTAACTTTTTAAACCATGGACAAAAAATTGGGAAATTAATAGTCTGGGTTTTGTTTATGTCATATATTTACATGCATCCAGAAAAAAATGTTGATTAATAAAAAAAAATTTTAGAGTTTTTTCTGCAAATATATAGAAATCAACCTGATAATAGCATATAGGCTAAAATCTGGAAAATATCAGTGAACAAGGAATAATGATACACAATTTCTAGAACTTTGTCTGTTTTACGGAACTACCAATTGAGCACAAAAATCACCATAAATAGATTTAGTAGTTCAAGACAGAGCTGTGTCTTTTAACAGTCTATTTGTTAGTATTGTACATTTTTTCATCATTAAGAGATTCTGTTGATCCTATAGATTAAACATTATTTTGAACTTCGGGAGTTTGTTTAGTGAGAAATTTAACATTTATTTAACCAGGTGACGATGACTTTATGAATTCGGGAGGATTGTTTGAGGATGCCCCTGTGGCCGACGTGTCAATGCCACAAGCACCTGAGGCAGAAACAACCATATCAAAACCAACAGGTAATGTTTCTATCTTTGACTGCTAGATGTACCAACACAAACATTTGTTTGGACATTGAGATGCTTAGGCCATGAAAAGTATCAAACAAAACTTCATTTTTCTTTCTGTGTGGTAATTATTGCACCCGCCAATGAAATTTATGCCTCCCAATTTATTTAAGGGTGTATGGTAACCAGAAAAATCTTAAGGATCCTGAACATAACAACCTATATGATAACATTACAGAAATCAACACCACATAGTATTGTACAAGTGTCTATAAATATACATCAATCCATAAGTTTTAACATTGTAGAGTAGAATATCTCCTCACTTTATCTATTGTGAACAATTATGGTTGAAAAGGAGTAGGGGCAATAAGGCCCATATTTGGCCCAAATGTTAACTAGTGCAAATTGAAAAGTTACCATGCATATTCCTAAATATGTCCAAATTACATTGGGATACAAGGTGTTCAGAAAATAAAACAAATGTTACATAAAACAAGTTACCATGGCAACACACTATGACAAATCATGTAATTTAACTTGTTTTGGGTCAATTTTGCACACTCAAAAAACACTTTATATTTGGTTAGAATATATCAACAGGTAGATTATTGTTTTGTTTCTTCCCCTGTCCATGATGTTTCCTCAAAGCAAACAATGACGGAAAACTGCATCAACTTAGCAGAGCAGTTTTATTTGTTTTCATGAAATTTGTACATTTTATGACGTAATCATGACATCATTACGTCAAAATGCCTGTGTTTGTCATTTATATTTCTTGAATTTATGCATTTCCAAATATTATGTGTAGGTTTGAAATAGTTCTCAAATACTTTATTTTTCTTGGTCCATAATGACCATGATCCTTTTAGAAAAGAATACATCTATATTTGTAAACTTTTTAGAAGAGAATAGGTCTACATCTGTTAACTGATTACCAATTATGATTGAATTTTTTAGAAGAGGATACGTCCAAGATACCCGAAGAGTTAGAACCAGCAGCACCACAGACGACATCCATGGCCAGTATTGTAGGTCCGGTAGGGGAACAAACAACACTCATTAATAATGAAGAAGAGGCTTTTGCCTTACCTCCCTTGGATGCCACTATATTCCCAGGTAGGTGGAGTAATTTCCATCCATTGTTAGCCTTAATATGCTTGAAATATTTCCCACTGGACAAGTATTTAGTGCTTACTGATAAATGATAAAGGAGACTTGAGAAATACCTCTCTTGTAGTGATTGTCACGAATGTTGGCCAAAGGTGACTAGTAAGTTTACTAGGTGAGTCAAACTTAGAACATGCCTACCATTTGGCTACAGAAAATTCTAGAGGCAATCAGGGTTCGACACTAACGCTAGTTCGCTAGCCCGAGGCTAGTAAAAACTCGGGAGGGCTAGTAAAGTTTTCATCACAGTAGTCCGACGGGCTAGTCAAAATTTTTTTTTAAACTAGGAATTTCACAAAATTTTAATTGTCAACAAATCCCAGATTTACTGCTGACCTTTGCTGTCTTTATTTTACAGTTTATTCACGTATATTTTGATTGTCAGACATTTTTAACATCAAAGGTACTTTTTGGGGAGGGGAAAGAAACGGATACAATGATGGTACTTAATACATTGGAAACCAAGTTTGTTACAAACACTGTGATGATTCTAATCAGAAAAAAACCTGGATCTCAAAAGTGCTTTTAGAATATCAAAATAATAACATGAATACAAAATTTACTTACATTACTACGGACACCATCACTGTTTGGGAAAAATGTACAACTTATTGGGAGGAATTTTAAGCCATTTTTTTTAGTAATTGGGAATTTCTCTAGGGGAAAAAGCTGTATTTCGAATGTAATTTGAGGCAAACAATATCATTGAATTATTGTCATATATACAAAATTATAGGTCTCTGGTAAAAATATACAGATTTTTAGGAATAAAATCTTGTCCTGCAAAATAAAATAAACTGACAAACAACAAGGGAAAATAAGGAGTCCATGAAGAATTATGACAAAAAACAACAAGGGCAAACCTTTCCTCTTTTGAGTTTTGTGGGTGTATTTTTAAATCCCTTACTTATCCATCTTCATTAAAGACACTAGTAATAATGATAAGTAAAAGAGGATGATGATGATGAAGTAATGATTTAAAAGGGTCTTCAAAATAAGTTGAAAACATTCTTAAAGGGAAAATTCGTGATTTTTTACTTATCATCTTATTATGTTCATAATACCATAAAAAACATATTCACCAAGTTTTATCTGGATATGAAAACTAATAAAGAAGAAAATTGGGAATTATTAATTTTATTTTTTCGAACTTCCTGACTTCTGTGACGTAGTTTAAGTCTTTTTGCATGCCGGGAGTGGAATTAATCTCATTTAAGTCTTGTTCGTTAATCATCTAATAACGCGATTTAAAGCGCATCGACGACTTTTGGCGTAGCTATTAACCAACTAATAATTAAGAAAGTAAAGTGATCAGCCGTGCAACTTTTAAAAATAAAATGTACGATTTATATTTTAAGGATTTCTGATATGAGTATAGTCATTATAGTAATAAAAGTAAATCATACAATAGAATATTTTTATGAATTTTTTTTCCGACAGATATTTTCAACAAACATATTTAACTGATAGTGTATTAAAAATGCATGTTTGTATTCTCACCTTTTACTTCAGTCTAGCAAACATTTTCCGCTAGTACCGTGTAAATACAATGTGTATTGAACTGTGACACTTAGTGACTACCTGTTGAATGCGTGGTTAAATTCAAGGTATTTAAAGGTTTGCATTCTGTAATTCTAATCTTTTGATCTTCACTCAGTGAATTTTAGCCGTCACGGTTCACCGTTCCAGGTGTGAACATCATTTCGTATGAATGATAAACGGGAGTGATAGTTTGAGACAGAGAATAAAAAAAGAAATATAATTATTTTGAGGTAGTAATATGGTGGCACAATAACTGGATAGCCATGGTATATTTTTATATTTTCCGTAAGCTCAGTTTAAAATGAATTATGACTGCTGAATATTTTTGTAACAATGAAATACTGAATTATTTTAATTGAATAAATAATAATGGCATTCTAAACACGAGTGTATGAACTAAAAATTGTACTATTTTAAATTAGAATCGGTAACCTTGAATATTTGAAATAGATAATTACCAATTGCAATTAAATAATTTGGTCCGTCCAAAGCGATCTTTATTTACATATTCAGGAATTAATGTCCTTATCAAAATATTTTAAATCTCACAACGTATAAATACTTCAGCCATTTGAAGAAAGATAATTAAAAAGTTGACAGGAAATTTAAGGTCAACTTTGTCTTATTGGAATGAGATCGAATAATTAAGAACAAAAATTATTTTCCGGTTTGAAAAACATAAAAAAAAATGATAAAAGAGAAATGTGGGTTTGAGACAGAAAAAAATTATTATTTGGGGAGGAATATGGTGGCAAAATACCTGAATCGCCGTTATATATATTTTTTATATTTTGCGTTAGCTCAGTTTTTAAATAGATGGGTGAGTACTTTGTTGTAACATCGGAATTCTGAATAACTTTCAATGAAATAATTTTATAAATAAAAATGGCCCATGAAAACGAGCGTATAAACTAAAAACTGTGCTATTTTGAATTATCATCGGTAACCTTGAATATTTAAATGTGCAGAGAAAATTATCAGTTACATTAATATAGTTTGGTCCGTCCAAAGCGATCTACATTTACCTAATCGGGAATGTCCTTATTAAAATATTCTACATCTCACAACAAATACTTTAGCTATTTGACCAACGATGTTTAAAATTTTTTTACAGAATCAATCTAACGTCAACTTGCCTTTATTGAATGGAGACAGACCGGCGGAATCAATGTTCAATGTGCTTTATATCTTGTACCTTTGTAAGACTTATCATTCATTCATAAACCATGTCTATACCGCAGACATATATATATACATATAATTATATGTCTGTCTTAACTGACAAGAATACTCCTGGTTTTACACTTGTAATTTGTTGGGGCCCTTTATAGCTTAATTGCTGTTCGGTGTGAGCCAAGGCTCCGTGTTGAAGACCGTACTTTGACCTATAATGGTTTACTTTTATAAATTGTGACTTGGATGGAGAGTTGTCTCATTTGCACTCATACCACATCTTCTTATATCTATAAGCAGTATTATCTTTAAATTTCTGTGATTTAATACCAAGAAAGAAAAAATCCCGAAATTAATTTGATACTTTGATACTCAATATTTTTCCTGGAAAATATTCACATCCTCATTCGGTCTGAAAATAAGATAAGAAACTGGTATACAGAACATGCAGAAGTGTGAATGTCATAAAACCTTGTTATATCAGAAACCATTATAAATGTGAACCTGTATACGTAAGACCTCATGGGACGATGTACCTAACCACATACAGGTAATATACAAGTAGCTCTGTTATACCCGGAAATGTCAAGGTTAATCACTACCGATACAGAATGTACCAATGCAAAGTAAATTCTGATGATTGTGAAGCATGACCATTCATGATTTTAGAGGAGTATTAGGTGGGGGATTGTCGGAATGATTTAAATTCTGACTAGATTTTTTCTGAATTTAAATCACTGAACTAAAAAAAAAAGAAAGGAGAAAACAACGTCCAAGAACAGAATTCTTCTTGTAAATTCATAAATACAACGTTCTTATTTTGTAACTTTCGATAGACTTGACCTCCAACCCCCCCCCCCCCCCCCCCCCCCCTCAAACCTGGGAACATTATATCTAACAATGTTTATGTTCCTGCCCAAATAAAAAAAAAAAGAAAGAGATGAACCACTAGAGATGAACGGTAAGTCACATCAGATTCAGATATTTATATAGTTGATTGTCGTTAACTAGAGATGTATAGTTACATGTCTCTGCGTTAACTGATAAGAATAACAGGAAAGTATAAACTTGAAATAGATTTATGATGAATAATATGCAACTGCGGCACCCCTTTTTATCAAAGCGTACATGCATGTATTTTAATGACTGTCCGTTATTTCGATCATAATGACAATTGTACGTGAAATCCTATAGTTGGTGAGACATTTTTTTTTACCAGATATGCGACTTTTCGTATTTATATTTTCTCTTATATTACTCTTATTTAATATTTTATGCATAAGTGCAATAGTGGGAATGGTTTATTCCCCCACAAGCTAACGTAATAAATTAATCAACCCTCAAGCTGATCAGACGTTAATACAACTACTATCAGTCTATCCGGAGTGAAGTTTCTTTATTTCTTCAAATAAACTTTTGGGGATCATTAGTGTACGTCCAGTGGCATATATATTACATGCATGTCGGAACAGGAAAATTGGCATAAGGTTCTATTAGAACCATGTTCACATTAATATACATTATACCCAACAATTGTGATGATGACAAATTTCTTCAACTGTTCGAGAACAATCTAATTGAAATATAAATCTGTGATTTTACTATGGCCATAACTTCGATGAACCAAAGCAAGTTAGATATCGACCTGTATTTAAATCAAATTGGTTCTAGATGTTCTTTCTTATATTAAATATACAATTTTAAATTGCGACTATCTATAGTTCCGTAACTTTCTATCTAGGCGTATAAACCAATGATCGACAAGTGCGTATTTTTTAAATCAATAGTTTTTCATGTTTCAAAATGTCCATCATTATTGACAACGAGTATATACTTACATTTTCCCCAATTTACCCTTGGAAAAATATGTAAATAGATTTTTATTTTATCAAATCTTTTTTTTGGAATTATTTAGATTTTCATAAATATCATTCTTTACACTAGAAATGTTATTTATAAACAAGCGTATGAGTTTAGTAATGACTAGTATATCACTATCGGACACGCAAGACAAAGATGTATATTACGCCTGATAGTTTTAAAATGGAAAGTTACAAGTTATCGGCCGTGTACACTAATCAATACCCTCAGAAGTGAAGCGATGCATGAACATGCTTTATGTAATTGTGTAATAAGAGTTTTTAAACCCGACAGGAAATAGCTTGAATACCTGGACGTGTCACCTCACAATACCTCAGGGAATAATTCCTTTAGCCATGCTGGTTATCAGATAAGAGAAGGTCCGAATTTATTTAAATAAGTTTATTACATAAAAGAATTATAATAAATTAGATTTTCGAAAACGATTTTACACGGAACACTTATTTATGACTTTGAACTTTGACTTTTTAACTAATTCCCATATAAATTTCTTGTTTCAAAAACTTCGTAAAGAAAAAACAGTTTTAAAACGACAGACCATAGTTATTTAAAAAAATAATTACATTTTCCGTATCAAGTTAGTTAGTCGGATAAATGCGACTACGTTAGGTTACTGCTGGTTTTGGTCCTTTGTGGTTTATAGATATATCGGGGTTTCTAAACCGAGAAGATGTCAAAATGGCCGCACGCAGAGAATTGATACTCTAAATTTAAAATCGATGGTGGTCTCTTATCTAGCAGAATAAAACTTTAATATTTATGAATTTGTGCTTTTTTATACAGAATGGACATAATATCAATTTTTTATTTTTTTGCGAAGTTTCCCTTTAATATAGATGATTAAAATGTAAAAAAAAATATTTTTTGTATTTTTTATTAGCAAACCAGTGAAATTTCATGAAACAAAACATGTTCAAAAATCCCTCTGGAAATTCTCCAGAACACAGGATTTAGCTTCATTTGTATCAAAATTTTCTGGGGGGGGGATGCCCCCAAACCCTCCTAGCACTTGGAGGGCTAGTGAATTGACAAGAGGACTAGTAGAATAATAATTTCACTAGCCCTGCAGGCTAGTACATACATTTAGTTAGTGTCAAACCCTGGCAATGTCAAAATAAATGGTTGAATGTCTAGATTCTGACAGGTGGGTTATTTCTTCTGTTGAATCCAATTTGAGTAAATTATGTGCTGTTATAATCATCGCTTTGCCCGACCCTAAAAAGCGAAAACAAGTCACCCTGTGGTGAATGAAAAATTGCTGTTTCATCGACTTGATAAAAATTGAATATTGCTGTTGACAAAAGTGACTGGAAGCAAGTATCGTAAACAACAGGGCGACTTGTTTTTTCTTTTGAGGGTCGGGCAAAGCGAAGTGATTGACGGGAAAGCGACTTCTTCGCCCCTAGTCGCCTGGTAGCGTGAGCCCTGATTCAAAGAATAAAAATGAATCAACACTATCTATGTAAATCTAATTTTGAATCTCCTTCTTACTCCTAAGCCCATAAAAAAGAATATGGGTGTTTTCCCTAACCATACCTACCCAGAAAATTTTTGCCTCCTCAAAATCTTTTTGATGTCCTGATGTGATTTTTTTTTTAAAATCAGATAGGATATGAAGACTAAAGAGCACCTGACACTTCAATTTCTCTTTGCCAATAAAAAAGAAAATGCCTACATACCTATAAGTACCTACCCACTGTCTCTACCTTTGGGTAGGCTTTGGGCTAACCTTAATATTATGTGTGGCCTAAACAATACTTTTAAAGATGTTATTTTATTTTTAGGAACAGAAGGCAAAAGGCGAAGAAAGAGAAAACTGATTGTAGATGAACAAAAGGGGTTCCCTGGTGAAACAATGAAATTACAATTATCAGATACATCAGATATCATCAGTACATTAGATCTGGCTCCACCAACCAAAAAACTCATGCATTGGAAGGAAACAGGGGGCGTGGAGAAACTTTTCTCATTACCTGGTAGAAATATTGTCTCTAAAGTAACTTCTAAGGTGAGGAACGATAATTCAGGTGTTTTCATGAAACAGAAGTCCGTTCATAACATAAGTTCTAAGTGGAAGAAATGTTCTGTATGGTTTTTTCCACTGGAACAAATATAACTGCTTTTGTTCCTTGTGGAATAAAGGTATAGAATATTTCTGCTATCGGGATCAGATATGACATTGGCAGCCTAAATTTCCCACAATATTCATCCCATACGATCTCTTACTAAAGGACCTACCTATTGTATTTATTGCTAATTTGTTCTCAACCTGAACATTATGACATATTTGCAACTGGACACTTAAGCAGCCAATAATCAATCATTCATATCACTTTGTGCCTTGTCGTTCATATGATTATCATAAAATTTTATAGAAATATATAAGAAAATATTATAATTAATAAATCACAAATTACGAAAATCTTAATGCCTTTTTACTGGTTACATCAAAAGGAGGTTGGTTATACTAGATTTTTATGAAGTTGTTGAGCTGATTGATGAGTATATTCCATATCTTATTTTATTCATGATTATTTTGTAGCTATTTTCAAGAAACTTGATAACCAAACAAGTAAAGGATGACGAACCCGAACAAGAAGACTTCTTACAGTTAGAGGAAGAAGAAATTGCTAGGAACGACAAATCTCAAGGTATGTATCCACTTTGATACAGTAAAACCTGCCTATATGTAACCCCTTGACAGGAACGACAAATCTCAAGGTATGTATCCACTTTGATACAGTAAAACCTGTCTATATATAACCTCTTGACAGGAACGACAAATCTCAAGGTATGTATCCACTTCGATACAGTAAAACCTGTCTATATATAATCCCTTGACAGGAACGACAAATCTCAAGGTATGTATCCACTTTGATACAGTAAAACCTGTCTATATATAACCTCTTGACAGGAACGACAAATCTCAAGGTATGTATCCACTTTGATACAGTAAAACCTGTCTATATATAACCCCTTGACAGGAACGACAAATCTCAAGGTATGTATCCACTTTGATACAGTAAAACCTGTATATATAACCCCTTGACAGGAACGACAAATCTCGAGGTATGTTTCCACTTGGATACAGTAAAACCTGTCTATATATAACCCCTTGACAGGAACGACAAATCTCAAGGTTTGTATCCACTTTGATACAGGTGTTCAGTTTATACAGGTTCAAAATATACACTGTTCAACTTACAAATAAAATTGAGAATGGAAATGGGGAATGTGTCAAAGAGAGGACAACCCGACCAAAGAGCAGAAAACAGCCGAAGCCCACCAATTGGTCTTCAATGCAGTGAGAAACTCCCGTAATGTATGCTAGTAATGTTTAAGATAAAATGAATTGATCAAATATGTTCAATTAGTAACCAAACATTGATTCAATTGTAAAAACTTATCTAGAGTAGCTGACTCAGCTTACACATTTATAGCCAAAATGGGAACCCTGCATATATATGAACTTGGTTGTACATAATAATATTTGTATTTCAGATAAATCACGAGCAAGAGAAGAATTCAGTACAATAATGGAAGAACCGTCAATACTAGACACATCCACCAAATCCAATTTACCCGATCGCCATTCTATACAGCCTGCTGTTGATCGACAATCAATACAACCAACTCTCCAAGATACCACCAACCCTCAGGACTTGCTGGTCAATACCTTTACAGAGGAAGTGCCTCAACCTCAGTTAGACGTGTCAGAACCACAACTACCGCAGCCTCAGTTTGATCAGTATGAAGATCCCCCATCAATAGCACCATTCTCTGTACCACCCCCATCAGTACCTCCCCCATCGGTACCCCCACAGGCTGAAGTTCCAGTAAGTATTGTTTATCATACTATCACAGTCTGGTATTATTACTGTAAATTAGAAATTATTGCCAATTTTGAAGAAAGGACTGAATTGGGAGATAAATTATATAATTTCAGGAAAGTCTTGATTTTAATGTCGCAAATATCTGTTAAAACTAGCTCAGCTGGGCCAACATTAAAAATATTTGTGTTTCCCCTTCCCGACTGAGGTTTTCAGGGTATGGGTGGGTAGGTAGGCAAATTATCTTATTTTATTCCTTGATATGGTTTTCTATAGTGAATTTGTACAAAATTCAACAGGTTGGGCACAAGTCAGGAAAAGTGGGGTTTCCCCTGTATTCAGGGTGCACCACAGTTTTCTGGTATACCAGTATACAGGGACTTTCTTTTTTCTTAATTCAATTTATGGTATGAAATCTACAAAAGCACACCTTTTACGTGTGATAACAATGTTTTATGATCGCAAGTGTTGTTGTTAGTAAAAAAATCAAGCAGATTTCAAGTCTAATTTTATGCATAACTCACAACAAAAAAATTCCTTTGTTCACCAATTTATACCTTGATCATTATGACTGAGATGACAAAAAGATACGTTAATCACTTGGGCATTAAAATTCAATGAATAGAAATTTTCAATAGAAGTAAACATAATTCAGTTATGGTCAGTTACATATGGAGCATGCAGCTTGGTCAATTGATTCCTAAACAAAAGATTTGTATGTTTTTTTAGTTCTAGAAAAAACATGGCTTCACTTATTCATGTTTTGCTGTTCCTTGAATACTTTTAGTTTTAGTATTTACAAATTCTACTGATGGAGCTAAAACATGTCCTTTTGTAAATTTCATGCCATAAATTGAAAGAGAAAAAGGTAGTCTCTGTAAACTGGTTTTTTTTAACACCAGAAAATGGGGATGTTCCCTGAAACAGGGAATATCCCACTTTTCCTGACTTGTGCTCAACCTGTTAAAAGAAGATTGATGTTAAAGCATGACTCAGACCATTTTTACTCAGAAATTTTATCCTTTGTACAGGAACATAGGTTAAAGACCAAGCAAATCAAGATGCACTCAGTTTTTATTTATTAAAGATCTCCCTTGCACTTGCAGACACACAAATCGTGTGACCATCTATTTTGTTTGTTTTTCTTGATTCCGAATCATTCAGACGCTTCAATGCAAAAATGCCTTGAATTAAAATGCTCATGGAGTACAGAATCAGGAAGGTATCACCAAAAACCAAAATAGCAACAAAAAAATAATGGACAAGAACAGCCAATAAAATTTTTCAGGTCGGTCGTGGGAGGGGAAACAAACAATATTTTATTTTTGGCCCTAGGTAAACTCAATTTGTGACAGTAAATTCAATATTTTACGAAGGCCAAGCTTTAAATACAATACAGTTATCTCCTAAATTTACAGTACTCTTAACACAATTTGGTTGGAATATGGGCCCTTGTCCCAATGAAAATTATTGTTAGAATTACACTTGGACTATATTTGTTGTAAAAAGTAAAATAACAAAAATACCAAACTCCTAGGAAAATTCAAATCAGAAAGTCCCTTATCAAATGTCAAAATCAAAAGCTAGTATATTTATTCTAATGTGTACAGGTCACTCCTTCAGAGTTCATTTGACCTTCATGGATTCCCGACTGTTTAGTGTATGTGGTATCAGTTCTAAGACCCCTATCTTGGAGGAATTCATCATAAGAGTCTATAATTATCCTTAAAAAAAAGGCAGAAAATACCAAGATTAAATTTAAGTCGATGAGTTGACAATGCCATGGGAAAAAAGAAAATACACAGACAAATAAGTTAACAAAATTCCAGATAAAATGAACACCACCAAGGCACCTTTAATTAAAGTGAGATAACCACCTGTACTGGCAAAATAATTTTACCAGACAAATAAGTTTCCACAACTTTGGAAATTTGTAATTTATCATGTTTATAGTATTTAATATACTATGCATGTTGTTTAACTTTTTGTACTTAATATACTCTAAAACTTACTACATAAGTTAGCAGGTCCTGAGTCTTATTTGTATCACTAAAATTTAACATCTTTTAACAATTTTTATATTATATTTTACAGGCTTTCAGAACAGATGAAGACCTAGAAAACGAACTTATGCCAGAAAATGAAGAACAGGAAGAGAAGAGACTTACAAAACGTACACATCAAATGCAGCATGCTTTAGAATTAGCATTTAGATACAATAATAGACTCAGTTTTGCTGAAATGTCACGTAATTTATACAAAAAACAATCAGCATCCCGGTTTTATACTTTGTTGGTTCTTAAGAAGTTTCAGGCTGTCGAAGTTAGTCAACAGAAAGAGTTTGGGGACATTTGGATCAGTAAAGGACCACAGTTTGGCCTGGTGTCATGAGTGGACTTTTAGTGAACTGAGGACTAGGACAATGTCTAAAAAAAACCTGTTTATGTTGTTAAAAAGGAGAAAATATAGGCAACTATTGTATTTTGACAGGTCTGGAAGATGTTAAAAAGAAGTAATGATTATGATCTTTATGTGTAGAAATATCTGGATTCTTATCAAGTTTTATGTCTATGATTCTGTACAAAGTTTATCATACAACTGTCATTGATACTGGCAACATATGTGTCAGTAGAATAGTCTGTGAAAGTGAATCTTTGATATAAAAGTGTCAACAGTTTTATTTTCAAAACCAGGTTTAAGGATCTAACAATCAACATACTGTGGATTCATTTATTTTGATGATGAAAGGAAAATTAGCTTTTTCAAGAGGTACTTAATTTCCTGGTTTCATTTTTACTCCTTTCAAATTTATTAAAAAACATTATTTGTATTGTGGTTTTCCCCACCTTCATGATAGAGACCTATAAAAGTCCTGAAAATTGTTATCACAGTTGGATAAATCCACAGCAAACAGAAAATACATCAAATGCAATCAGCAATGTTAGAATTTTATGTAAATTTTGAAACATTTGAAATATTTTAGAGTTGTGAAAAGAATACTATTTTTTTATGGTTTTATTTTAAACTATTTGATTTTATGTAACTTACATTCATACATCCTACATTGCTTGGCTCGGAGGGTTCATGTCAGGATTAATATCATGAAATATTTTTGCAACATATTTAAGGGTGTACACTCAACTTATATCTTTGAATGAACATATGTCTGCCACCATTTTACAGATAACAAGGAATAACTTAAACAACTAATATCTAGCTGCTGCAGAGCTCATATTTTGATGCTTTAGTTTGTTTTTTGGCTTTATGACTCATCAATTCTGAAATTAAAAGCTTTCATGTAGGATTTGGTAAAATTTCTTAAAAATACGGTAATAAAATTCAAATTAAATAAAAATCTGAAAGAAAAGTAATGCCAGCGAAAAATTTAATGTCATTGTTTTTTTAGGGAAATCAGAAATAAAAAGTTCTATATCTTTAAAAGTCTGGAGTGGCCTAATTCTTTAAATAACTGTGTACCTGTAATATGATGTAAGAATTTATAATTGATGTAAGGGGCTGTAATTATGTATGATATAGATTACACTTGTTCTGATGATACAAATATATAATTATGAATGATGTAAGTGACCTTGTTTCTAATGATATAAGGAACTTTGTGTGTCTGGTGTAAGGGCTTTTTCATAAAATTGAATGTACTAGGGTCAGAAGGTATTAATTTTGTCCATTGCAGTAATAGTATGTGAACAACTTCATCATTGAACTAATGAAGAAATCCACACCATAAGGGGTAATGTGATCATTTAAAAGGCCCAGGATTTTAGTATAAATAAATAATTAACTTTGGTCAAAGTTAATTGGCCGACTGTAGGGACATACATAGTGGATATATTTGTATCTTTCTTGTCATAATACACTGATGTCATCTATCTTCAGATACCACACTTTAACCAATTATAAGCATTTTATTAGAAATCTTAACTTACATTTTTTGTTAAGGTCTAAGTTTTATTGGAATAAACATGACCTGTTTTCCATATAGGTAAAAATTAAAGTGTAAATTGGTCATCTTCTTGTGATGTTACACAAAGAAAGAGATTTGCTAAAATCCTGTATGTGTATTGACCTTCTGACCTCTATTACAGTCTATTTATATGGACTAGCGATATTATTGTCCTTGTTAATTATGCTGTACCATTGTTGATAAAGGCAGCTTTACGTGTTCTGTCGTATATAGTTTATTCTGTTATTTATTGTAATACATTGTGTGTTTTTAGTGTTAATCGTAGGCTCATTTCAATTTTTCAAAACCTTTCAGCATGTTAAATGAAAACCAAACCATAATTTATTCTCACTTGCATATATCTTGGGATATAGAACACTCGTATAAATTGATGTCTGTTTTTCGACTTTAAAAACACTTGATACATTTTGCCTGCTATTTTTTTAAAGCAGGGGAAAGGGGGATTAGATGCTTTTTCAATGGACTATTGTACAGGAATTTCTTGCATGTGACATTTGTCAGTTGTAAAAAACATGCATAATTTGGAAATTGGATGTACTGAAATTTCCACAAAATATGATGTTACCATAAGAAAATTATTCTATGAAACATTCAACGATGGTTTAATGACTGCATAATTGTAAATGCTTAGTTTACTAAATCAATTTTATACCTGTTACTAGGGAATTACAACACATCTAATATAAAAAAGAGATATTTTTATTTGTTTCAAAGCTCCAAAGTAGAAACTTTAATACCTGTCATATTAATAGTGATTTATAAGAGTTATTTCCCTTGTTTGTTGAACAAATTGTGATTACAAGGAAGATAGCTTTTGGTCACTCTTATTTATTAATTTTATAAAAAAGGTTTTTTCTCAAATACTGTATGTATATTTTCTTATAATACACAAGATAAAAGAACAAAATTTGATATTTCAAATGTATGAAATAACTTTTAATAGTAACATAAAGAGAAGTCCTCTGAAATCAGTGTATATGATGTGTTCACATAAGTTTTAATTGTTTTAGGTCATTGAAGTTTTGCTTTTAAAAAGTTTCCATTTTAAAGACAACTGTTAAAATTGACAAACACATTTTTATAGTCATATCATCTATATCAATCATTCATTATCATTCATATTTTATAATAAAACATGTTTTAAGACTTTAGAAGTTGTTTTAATGAAGAAGAAAAGAATAATACTGTCTGTAACTTTTGTTACGTATTTCAGAGTTGCTGCATTTAAGGTGGTACATAACACTACAGGGAGATAACTCTGTAAAAATCAGTTGAACGTTTTAATCACATTCTGTTGTTAAGGAAATATGTAGCTTTTCAATGATCAAAATTAGTGTTTGTCAAACTGCTATATATCCAAAGAAATTTTTCCGATAAAGTGATTGGTTCAAGTTGGTACCACCTTAAGAAGAAATATACCCAAACTCTTTAAGAGTTTTGGTTATATGACAATCACCTGGTCGGTTTTGCCAACAAATTATTTCCTCATACTCATGTTGGGTATATCAAAAGTCAGACTTTTTATTGATCAGAAGCTTGACACTGGTTAGTAACTCTGTCAGACACGTACTTCCTCTTTTCCAAAAGTTTAACCATAAGTGCCAATCATTTAAATTTTTCCATAAGTGCTACCAATTCCTGCAGAAATTACAGTGTTAAAATCAAGTCTACTTGTTACGCAATTTAGGAAATTCCTACTTTTGAACAGTTCCCATTTAAGCATTTTAAAGCTTCATTGCTAAAACATAGATGTCACCCACCCATATTTAGTTGTGATTTGGAAGTGCCTTCCGTGGATCTCATGTATGTTTTTATGGAACAGCCCTAATAGTAAATGAACAGTGCAAGTGTTATATTCAATTTCATGTTTTTTCTACAGAAAAACTCAAGCTTCTATAGCGAGAGAAAAGGACACTCTGACAAGGATTTTGTCATGAATATTTTATGGAGTTCTGTGCCCCAACAAAAAAGGCCTCCCTTTGTATCTAACTTTTGTATGCTATTTGATCTGAGCATGGAAGTAATATTTAAAAGGAAAAACAACGACTAATTAGCATGTATTAACAGCCTGCAGAGCTCTGTACTAAAGTCATATGATTTTATCCAATTATAGTCTCAGCGGCAAGACCCCTTTGGTTACTATCTGTGATACCGCGGTTCTAAAATGGCATCTGGAATTTCTTATCAGTCACGTGATTTTATCGAGTCCGGTAATTATAAAGCACCTGTGTGAATCCGAGGTTTATTAATAAGAAGGTGGCGCTGTATCATATAAAACCTCTACCTTCAGAAAGAAGTCTTATGATGTAAAAAACTTGAAAAACGGACGAGAATTGTCCAACCTACAACAGTTTAGCATTGAAAATTGTACTTAATTTAGCATATTTTTGCTTTTTACCGTTTGTTTTAAACTGTTCTAAAAGTATTTTCCGGTTAAAAGCGGATCCCGAGTAAAACAGTTAAATACCGATGAATCGATCAGGTTTCACATGATGTTGAACAAAATAATGTAGACAGATGTAGACATAGAATATTTTACTGTTGAAATGTGCCAAGTTTATCGAGATTTATAAAAAATATTTACTTTCAAGTAATTGATTACGTTATTGAAACTGGACAATTAAAATCGGGATCATAAGTTCGTAAACATGTTAAATTTATATCTATTTTAAAAAGTGTTTACAATTGAATACTAAAGTACTAATATTAATGTAGCACGTTACAGCAAAAAGAAAATCAACCATTAAACGAGCTTGACGCTATCTGTCTAACCGCAAATTTATTTTATATGAATTTGTTTATGTACAAATTAAAGAATAGAAACGTTTAAAATTGTGAATATTTAATTTGCCTGGTATACACGGAAGACTTGGATTATTCGTATTTAATAAAAGGGGGTCGAAAAATATTTTTTGTACAATCATCTTCTTAACTTTCAGAAATGGCTTCTTAATTAACTGGTTTTAAGTATTAAAATTGAAAATGATCCACCCCTTTTCTTAAATTCAATATGTGATAACTGTCGGCCTAAACTATTAAGATCGAAAAAGACATAAATAGGAAAAATAGACTAAAATTAACATTGAACGACTGACTCTATTCGGTAGCGTACAGCAGCGGAATGTAACGAGTGAACTATTCGGGTTACTTCGTACGTACATACGACAACAACTGGTCTATTCGTAATTTTCCGGGAACACGAAAATGACCGAAAAGTGTCAGTGATTTGATCTATCACATGCCGAGAGTCAATTACCATGCCATATATTAAACCAATTAACGAGTTATCGAAAGATGGGCGGTAACGCAGATGAAACCTTTGAAGTGACGACGTTGTTATTCCTTTCAATATTACTTCCATGATCTGAGAATTTACAATGTTGAGTTTCATGTCTGCCAGGAATTGTTCTCATCTATGAAGATACTGAAATTTTTGTTGTTTTGAGGAAAGATGCAAAATGTGAGACAGGGATGCAAATTCAGAAGCAAAAGTATAAACTATTTGTATCATAATTTCTATACAGATATATCATGTTACAAAGCTTCGGTTTGTCTCCCATCAATTTTCTTTGACCTAGTTTTCGTGGCGCAGCAACTGCATAGAAAAACTAGTTTTTCAGTAGTCTCGTCTGTTTCTCGGATACTATAAGCAATGGCAACTACATTTGGTGTATGGAATGATTGTAAGGCATACATGTCTGTCTGGCAGTTCATCTTACCTTGACCACATTTTCTGAACTTGGCAACACTCATCCTTGGAGAATCTAGTTTGATTTTGTCCAGTCATCCGGCTAGCCAATATGGCCACAATGGCTATAAATCGAACATGGGTGTTATATGGTCTGTCTCTCAGATACTATGATTAATAGTTCCAACTATATGTGTAGTACAGAATACATGTATTTTGTAGATATAAGAAGATGTGGTATGAGTGCCAATGAGACAACTCTCCATCCAAGTCAAAATTTATAAAAGTAAACCATTATAGGTCAAAGTACGGTCTTCAACACTGAGCCTTGTTTGTCTGGATGGATTTATCTGACATGGACTTCATTTCCATAGGTCATTGGTCAACGTTAAGTTTTCGTAGCTTAATAGAAACTCAAAGGACATAGCTATCCATCCATGACACAAAATCAGTACATGCACAGCAAAAAACACAAAAAGCAAAGGAACATCGCTTTTATTGATGTTCTCGATCATCTCAAAGTCACAGTGAGACCTTCAACACGGAGCAAAAAAAAAAAACACCTCACTGCAAATTTAAAATGGTCCCGGCTAGAGCGGAATTTAGGCCATTTATTGGATACTTTAAACAATATGTCGACTATATTTGATGTATGGAAGATTGTTAAGTGTGCATGTCCACCTGGAAGGATTCATCTGACCAAATTTACATGGAAGATTGATACATTTAGTTTACGTTATATTTGTAGTAAACACTTGATCTTAAACTGAGACATTCAACACAAATTGAATCGTGATCAGTAAAGCAAGTGAGACATTTCAGCGTGTGCAATCTTGTTTTAGATTTTTATGCCCCACTTGGGGGCATTATGTTTTTCGGTCTGTGCGTCCGTTCGTCCGTCTGTCCTGCTTCAGGTTAAAGTTTTTGGTCAAGGTAGTTTTTGATGAAGTTGAAATTGAGTCCAATCAACTTGAAACTTAGTACACATGTTCCCTATGATATGATATTTCTAATTTTAATGCTAAATTAGAGTTTTGACCTCAATTTCACGGTCCACTGAACATAGAAAATGATGATGCTTGTGGGGCATCCGTGTACTATGGACACATTCTTGTTTGGCTATAATCTTGACAAAAAATAGGTAAACAGAAATTTTATGTTTAAAATTGATCAGCTAAGATTTATGAAAAGTTTAATATCCGAAATTGTCATTCAACTCCTTATAAGAGTTATAGCTTTTCACTGACGATTTTTACCCGTTTTTGGCGAAAACTATAGAAGATCCAGAGAAACTTTAAACAGTGAAATACGTTAGCTTCTTTATTGTTATTGCATTTCAAGGACAATGTCAACCCACATTTTCAGTCTCAGCGAAAAATAGTAGATAGAAACTGTAAACAGGAAAATAAGCACAATAAATTCCGATAAGTCAAATAACGGTAATCAATAGTCAATGCTTTGAGGAGTACTCGATAAGTCAAATAACGGCAAGAAATAGTCAATGCTTTGAGGAGCACTCGATAAGTCAAATAACGACAAGCAATAGTCAATGCTTTGAGGAGCACTCGATAAGTAAAATAACGGCAATCAATTGTCAATGATTTGAGGAGTACTCGACAAGTCAAATAACGGCAATCAATAGTCGATGCTTTGAGGAGTACTCAATAAGTTAAATAACGGAAATCAGATAGCCAATGATTTGAGGAGTACTCGATAAGTTAAAAAACGGAAATCAATAGTCAATATCTTGAGTAGTACTCGATAAGTTAAATAACGGCAATCAATAGTCAATGCTTTGAGGAGTACTCGATAAGTCAAATTACGGTCAATGCTTTGAGGAGTATTCGATAAGTCAAATACATGTCAATGCTTTGAGGAGTACTCGATAAGTCAAATAACGGAAATCATTAGTCAATGCTTTCAGGAGTACTCGATAAGTCAAATAACGCCAATCAATAGTCAATGCTTTGAGGACTACTCGATAAGTCAAATAACAGAAATCATTAGTCAATGCTTTGAGGAGTTATTGTCCTTCAGTAACAATGTTTATTCACTTTGCGATAGAAAGAGAGAAACCGTAAACAGCAAAATAAGCGCAATAAGTTCCGGTAACTAGTAGTCAAATGAAGGAAATCATTAGTCAATGTTTAGAAGAGTTATTACCCTCCAATTACAATGTTTTGAAGAGTTATTACCCTCCAATTACAATGTTTTGCCGTTTGGGGGCGAAAAGTATGGTATATAGAGAGAAAGTATGGTAGATAGAGAGAAACTGTCAACAACAAAATGAGCCCTACAAAATAAGTCAAATAACGCCAATCACCTGTCAACTCCAGGTTTTACATATTTTTTTTTTTTTTTTTGGTTATTGTCTAAAAAGAGCTACTGTATATACAGAAAACTTTATGATAGCAAAAATAATCTGCAAGACAAGGTCTGTGAATAAGTTAGCGTCACAAAAATCTTCATTCAGCTCCCTATAACAGTTATTGTACGGTATAGTACTACGAATTGAGGACAAGTCAAAGAAAGTAGTACATATTTCAAAAGAAATAGGAAATATAAATACTAAATATACTTGCCTGGTGGATTGGATATATTCTTAATTTATGTTATGATCCGTGTGGTGAAGGATTGATTTTTATTTAACCCCCTGGAGGCAGAATTTATAGATAGGTTCTACACATAGATGTAACTTTGAAAATATCTAAATTATTTGGGTAATTTTGGTATGAAATGAAAGCTTACAGACCCGGGATAACTGTTCAATCCTTGTTTGTTTTGAATGATAAGAAATTGTAGAAAACTGAAATAGTAGGGCACATTTTTCCCGTTTTTCAGATCAGAAGTACCAGTTTATGCATCTTCAAACTTCTTGGGACCTGTGCGTTAATGTATATTGAATTTTTCAGCACAAGACAGTCTAAGGTATTGTTTTGACATGAAATGACTGTCACTTTATTTTAACATATTAAGACAAAATGACTAATAAATGAAAATATCACTTTATAAGTTTTATGCGTCCGAAGCGCTTAACTGAATGCATGCTGGAAATTGCAAAATTTAACTATAAAAAACAATGGGGCCATGCGTTATTGGATATACTGAAAAGGTCAAGAAATTTTACATCCGTAAAACAAATTATTTTATTTTTAAGGTGGTACCAAACAGCTCGACTAAAATTAATTTGGCTCGTTTAATTTTCATAAAATTTTGACAAAATATTTACTTTGACCCTTTGACAAAAATATAAAAATTTCAAAAAACTTGAACCACACACTTTATCGGAAAAATTTCATTGGATATATAGCAGTTTGACAAACACTATAAATTTTGATCATTGAGAAGCTTAATATTTCGTTAACAATAGAACGTGATTAGAACGTTCAGCTGATTTTTTCAGAGTTATCTCCCTGTAGTGTTATGTACCACCTTATAGGTTAAAAGGAAGTAATTAAAGATGACTGGCGCCACCTAGATTTCACACCCAAGATAATAAGCAGGAGTAAATTTATTTTCTGCTGCCCTGGTAATTAAAAATAAAAATTGAAATAGTGAGAAATGAGTGTTGGCCATTGGTGTAGAAATAGCGAGAAATTTCGAGGAAACTCTCTGTGACGAGCAACATATTCTGTGCCAAATTAAGCAAGGGGTGTTCTTGGTTTATACTATTTCGAAAATTCCGGAACCGTTGAGTACCCTTAAAAATGCCATTTTTCTATCAAAAAAGCTGCGGCACGATATGTGTTTTGTAGTTTGATTTACACCCAAAGGTGTTGATAATTCAGAATTTGACATTTTTATCAACGGATCTTTTATAGCGAAAACGCAGGACCCAAAAAGGCTACCATTGTCGCCTATGTAAATAATTACTTCATTGTAACCTAAAGTATAAATAATAAAATATGTTTTTCTTCACAACGAAGTTCATTTTTTGGGGTAAAGATTTCCTTATGTGGCTTACTTGATAGTTATCAATCGTCCAGACTGCGTAACTCTTTTTGACATGACAAAATCATAGTGCACTGTTCACATCATCCTGTACATTGAGGGCGTGGATGGGGTTTTATAGAATAGAGAATGATGGGCAAAAAATATAAAGAATAGACAAAAATAGACAAAAAAAAAGAATAGAGAATAACGAGGTGCTAAAATATATAGAATGGAAAAAAAAAGAGAATAATGGGCAAATAGTATAAAGAATAGAGAAAAATTGCCTAAAATATTAAAGAATACAGAAATGAGGGACCCCCATCAAGACCCTCATACATCCAATCCATAAACATTAGGTATGATTAATGCACTTATTTAGCCTCTGAAATTGCAAAATTAGTAAACTTATTCAAGCCTTCTAAACTTATGTTAATTCTATTGATAAATGAATAGGTTTATATCATATGGAAGCTTGAGTGCAGAAATGTCACTTGTAATGTCACTTTGACGTCATAAACATGTCGTAATTTACATATTTTACCTAAAATAGCCATGTAAATAAAATTGAGAATGGAAATGGGGAATGTGTCAAAGAGACAACAACCCGACCATAGAGCAGACAACAGCCGAAGGCCACCAATGGGTCTTCAATGCAGCGAGAAACTCCCGCACCCGGAGGCGTCCTTCAGCTGACCCCTAAACAAATATGTATACTAGTTCAGTGATAATGGACGTCATACTAAACTCCAAATTATACACAAGAAACTAAAATTAAAAATGATACAAGACTAACAAAGGCCAGAGGCTCCTGACTAGGGACAGGCGCAAAAATGCGGCGGGGTTAAACATGTTTTTTTGAGATCTCAACCCTCCCCCTATACTTCTGGCCAATGTAGAAAAAACAAACGTACAACAGTACGCACAGTAAAACTCAGTTTAAGAGAAGTCCGAGTCCGATGTCAGAATAGAAAACAAAAGAAATAAACAAAATGACAATAATACATAAATAACAACAGACTACTAGCAGTTACTGACATGCCAGCTCCAGACCTCAATTAAACTGATTGAAAGATTATGTCTTCATCATATGAATATCAGGCACAATCCCTCCTGTTAGGGGTTTAGTATTATACCATCATAAAATATATGAGAAGAACATAACCCGTGTCATGCCAACAACTGGTTTTAGAATAAATATGTTTGATTCCGATGCAAAGACCCTATAAGTGAATCAATATTAAAGCCAAAATATGCAATCTTTAATGACCTGACAACAGTATCGTAATTATATCCCTTCTTAATAAGTCTGTTTAAAGGTTTTGTTAGCTTTTGAGGTGAATACTGACATTTTTGTGCTTTGTAAAGAATATTACCATAAAAGATTGGATGTGAAATACCCGAACGTATAAGATGTCTGCATGTTGAGTTATATTTACGAATGATGTCCTTATACCGATGATAAAATTTAGTAAATGTTTTGACTAGTTTATGATTTCGAAAACCCTAGTGTAATAATTTTTCAGTAATACATAAATTTCTCCCGCTAAAATCTAATACGTTGTTACATACACGAGCGAATCGTACAAGTTGAGATATATAAACACCATAAGATGGTGACAAGGGAACGTCACCATCTAAAAATGGATAAATAACGATAGGAAATGAAAAATCATCTCTTTTGTCATAAATTTTTGTATTAAGCTTCCCGTTAATGATATAGATATCGAGATCGAGGAAAGGACAGTGGTCATTGTTAGTATTAGCTTTATTTAAAGTAAGGTCAACAGGATAAATTTCTTTAGTATACATACTGAAGTCGTCATTATTGAGAGCCAATATATCATCCAAATATCTAAAAGTATTGTTAAATTTTTGTATCAGATGTTGTTTCGATGGGTCTTTGCTGATTTTAGTCATAAACTGTAACTCATAGCAATACAAAAACAGGTCCGCAATAAGTGGTGCACAGTTAGTCCCCATTGGAATTCCGATAACTTGACGATATACGGAATCTCCAAAGCGAACAAAAATGTTATCAAGTAAAAATTCAAGGGCAGATATAGTATGAAAGCATGTCCAATTCTTAAAAAACGTATATGAGCAACAACTTTACCCAAAAAGATATTATGCACACATCAAAATCTGTGTATAATACACTTTATAACAAAACATCTTTTTTGGTAAAGTTGTTGCTAACAGATCTTGCCAAATTCTCAAAATATAGCTTTTTTAAAATTTTGTGCTGTTTTTCACTAAATGAAAGTAGTTTGAAGTCCCATTGTCAATATATAAGACAACGTTTAAAAATATAAATACTGATGTCCGACTGACTAATGCGTTATTTGGTAGATAGAATGTTATTGGTATATTTTTTATAATACTTTTTGATTTTTTAATTTTTAAGGAGCAAACACGTGGCCTTATCATACCTTCTCCATTATCAATGAAATTTCTTAACAGATATTCGTGTTACATGATGTGTATGAGTATATAACCATACTGTCAAGAAAAATACCTAAATTGTGCATGGCGCATGAATCTAGTATCTGTACGAAAATTACCAATGGTGTCAGACAATGTTAAAGTAATAGTAAAATTGGAGTTATCATCCTTTGTCCTATTCAAAGTATTAATCTCCCAATGCTTAATGGGCCTCTAGCCTGTCAACATTGAGGTTGCGAGTGCGAGCCCAACACGTGGCAGGTGCGTTCGACTCCAATCTTAATTGAATAGGATTGCCAGTTTTCCTGCCGAAAGTCGGTGGTTCTCACCGGGCGTCCCCGCTTCCACCACTAATAAAAACTGACCGCCTCGAAAAAGCCATTAGTGCTGATCGTGGAGTTGAAACACAAAAAAAAAATCAATCAATCCAATTGTTAATACAAAGCAATGTTTAATTTTTAGTTCCCACTACAAAATGAATGCAATCATTACCCTTCACTGCTCACAAGCACTTTGATTAGATTGAACTATAAAAATAAGATGATGTGGGATGATTTCTTTAGAGACAACTCTCCAGGAGAGACCAAATGAAGTCCATCTTGCTATCTAAAACAGTCCAACCTTTCTTAACCTAAGATAAACCGAGACGTCAAAACGAAAATTATAAGATTTAATCCACTGTAAAGACTCTTATTGAATAAAACAACTATGAGAAAGATGTATATATATATGTCTCAGTGGCGACTTTATTTTGCTGATATCTACACAGGTGTTGCTGATGTTTTCTCAGATATGTTGATGTTTACACAAGTTTTGCTGATGTTCACACATATGTTTACTGATGTTTACACAAGTTTTGCTGATGTTCACACATATATTTACTGGTGTTTACACAGATTTGTCAACACTATGTATAGGCATAGTTTGTTGTTTTTTCTCTCGTTTGACAGTAAATTTTATGAGAGGATTCTTTTTACCACCGGGATAAAATTCATCCACTTTTATATTCTTTCCAAAAATATGTTTCATTGAATTTTTCATTGACGGTAAATGCGAATGATCTGGTGTAAGGCCAATGTTTTTCTGTCCCTCGGGATTTGTAGAATTTGCCTTTTCCTGTCCGGGGCGTAATTTGAAATAAGAAAAAGTTGGTTTTGATATGCGATCTAAGATCCACGATTCGTCTAATTCATTAATTTTACTTAGACGTGACATTCGGAGTTCAACAAGAGCTTTCAAGTAAGCTTTCTTGTGAATGTTCGGATCTATACCGTTTTCGTACATATTTTCTGTTGATGTCCAAAGGTCGTGATCCTGAACCTTGCGAACTTCGTCATGTTCACCATCGTCTAATTTTTCGTCAAAAAATTTTGATTGGTTAACTAGAATTTCTCGCGAACGGTCGTCATCCTCAAATTTGACCCTTTTTTCTTCGCTGTGGTGTGACTGCTTAGAGTTTGTACCACCCCGGAAGCTCATATTAGATGTTCGTTTGCTGGTTTTCATTATCGGCTTTCCACAGTGTGGACAGTTACCCTGATGAGAAGAAGACCTAGCGTGAACGCACCATTTTTCGTGATCTCCAATTTTCAGACATTCTTCACATTTGACTTTAGTATAATCAATATCCTGACAGTTGCACCAGTAATTGGCCATGCTGCTTGCTGCTAATTTCTGTAGGATAAATGACGAAGACGATTGGGATAAGGCTCTAGAGTCTTCGGAATTCTTTCGAGAAATTTGCGATCCTATAAGGGCCAACTCTTGATCCGATAATTTAGAATTAATACGCGAACGAGCTGGTGTTTGCACTGAATTTTCCCGTGATGCAATAGAAAAGCCATCATGGGGCAAGGATTCATTATCGGACCGATGGTGGTATTTAAGGTGTCCCTCGTCTTCATTTCCGGAATCAGAAGATCTTTTCGCACCTTTTGGTCTAGAAATACGAGAAGATGCTGGAGAGACAACGCTTTCTGAATACGGCCTATGAGATTCTTGTGTTTTTTCCTCTTCATGACCACTAAAACTTTTTGGTCTAATTTCCGAATCAATATTTTCTTTGTCTTCCTCGTCGTCATTTTCACTATCAAAGGTTTCGTCTTCTGGTTCATTGCGCAAGTAGCCATCAGCTTCCAACCATGAACGATCGCTAATAGTTGGGTTTATCTTGTACGCTTCATTAGATCGTTTTGAGCTATTTTTACCGCTATTTTTCCAGTTTTGAGACGAACCCGCATTTCGACTGTTATTTCGCCAATTTTCGTTTGGATTCGACTGTCGACTGCTGTAATGGCTTTTTTGGTCGGATATTCTGCTATTCCGACTGCTGCGTAGACTAGCTTGACCGGAAATTTTACCTTCATCGGCAAATATTGAAGGCAACTGAAATTTTGCTGATTCCCCAACGTGACTTTCCAATTGCACACCGTTTAGAACGGAAGTATCAAAATGAGTTTGTCCGTAAATTGGGACCGGTGAAAACTGTTTCCCTTCTCTTCGGGATTTAACACGGACGCTGACGCTCAACTTTAATTCTTCGTCCGATAATTGTTTATTAAAATTAAAGACATCTTCCGGATGGTCGCCATCTCTACTTTCGATTAAGGTCGGATACGGGGTTTTAGGATGGTGATTACATTTGTGGAAGAATCCTTTACGAAAGAGATAAGCATGAGGATGTTGATATTTCCCATCGAGATCTAAATGACTACAAATGTAGCAGACATTTTGTGGGAGTGGCTTCCTGCGTATCTGAAAGACCAATTAAGACAAATATTAGCAATGTAAAAACACACAATTAAGTCATGATAGACATTACACATCAAGAGTTATATTTCTGACAGATCTAATACGCAGCGATCATAATATTATAATATTAATAAAAATAATAATAATATCCTTATTTAGAGAGAATAACTCATTTGGATTACATCAATTCTCAATAATAATACGCAGCGATCTTACGCGTAGCGATCGTATACGTAGCGATCGTATACGCAGCTATTTACATACTATCTTATGTCCTTTTTTGTGTAATCTTGAAGTATATACAATTTATTAATCTTGAAGTACTATAATTTATTAATCTTTAATTATTTACAAATTAATAATCATCTATATTATTAGTACATGTACACCTATGCAACTAAGTTGTATCTAAGATTGAAATAGAACAGAGAATGGAAAAGGGTGAGGGGCTGTGAGACAAAAGAGACAACATCCTGGCGCAAAATCAGAAAACAGCCCAAGTCCACCAATGGGTCTTCAACCCAATTAATAATAATAATGATAGTATTAATAAAGTATTTGACATATTTACCCTGGGTAGATGTAAATCCTCTGAATTTTGTGGTTTTATTCTATTTCCAAAAACACAATTATCCCTTTCAAATTGAAAGTTTTTACTCCGTTCAAGACCAAAATATCCTTCGAAAACCATGTTTATTTAAGTGAGATATTTTAAGTAACCATGATTTCACAGAGATTTTAACAATCGGTTACCGTATTGAGATGGTTGGTAACAGATAGAGAATTTGAACAGTGTCCACACCTTTTGGCAACATTTCCAAAACGAGGTTATTTAAGGTATATATGTATTAGACCAGATGAATTGACTATTTTGGCTCATTCCGTACGTGCCAAAAGAAATTACAATCGAATTTTAAAAAGAGATAAATAATTTTTAAATCAATAGAATGATAGTATATTTCTTAATAATTGATTTTCGTTCAAGTGTTGATAAAACAAAACCGTCGTTTAATGTAGTTTTAAATCTAACCCCCTAATTCTACCTCTAGCATTCTATCATTTGACAGGTTTTGTTTCTGGAAAAATGGTCTTAAATATAATACGCAGCAAACTTATCAGCCTATCACGATTTTGAATACACAATATCAGGGGCATCTCTGTACTGTAAACCCGTATCACAGTCTCTATAACGGTATTAAAAGATGACCCGCTATAACGGGTCGCCTTCTTAAAAGGTTTTATTCAGGTCTTTATCGCAGAGTCATCATCATACACGCCACTTAATAACAAAGAATTTAAAGATAATAGATAAAGAGCTTTTAATACAGACATGATGTATTGTTTCTCAAGGATTTGTCATCTTTGTAACGGTCATGTTTTAATACGAAATAGAAATAGTTTAAACATGAATATGGACCGTGTACAATGATATACGTACTTACATATTAGCATGTAAAACTTCTTTGTCTCTCATTTGAAGAATGGCGAAGTACTCGAATGTATTGTTTCTTAAGAAATTGTCATTTTTAACGGTCGTGTTTACAAAAAAAAACAAGCAGAATTTAAACATAATATAGACCGTGTATAATATATAATATACGTTCATCATATTGCAGAGGCGGATTTAGGGGGGTGGGGGTGATGGGGGGGGGGGGGGGGGGGGGCAGGGGGCCTGCTCCTCAGTTGTTGAAAAAATTTGGTTGATTATATAGGGAATCAATGAAGCATGACTGGAGCGGGCCCCATCTTAGGCAGTCAGTGGGCCCCACTTATAAAAATTTCTGGATCCGCCACTGAATAGTAACCGACCGTGCAAGGGCTGTATAGCCAGTCAAGGTCGTTAAAAACTTCCATTTGTTGCTGTATAGCATGTAAAAAAATTTGGCTCTCTTTTGAAGAATGTATTGCTTCTTTTACGACCACGTTTACAAAACAAAGAATTTCAACATCAATACGGACCGTATACATGGTGTACAATTGTATATAGATGCTGTGTACTTTGCCTCTCTTTTGGCGAATAGTGTTACACTCTCAAAAGTATTGTTTATTGAGAAATAGCCAATAATTTAATGAAAAGAAACAAAGACGGACGTAAAGCTTTTTAGCTTATCTTAAATTTGATGGTTGGCGTGGCGCTTTGAATATTAAGCTTGAGATACCCCGCCATATCAAATTTCTGCTTCTAGATTTATCTAAAATTAAAACAAAAGAAACGAAAATAAACGAAACAAAAATAACATATATATAAGACGGCAGGTTAAAATTAACCCAAAACAATCAGTAGAAAACGATAGCCAACATGGCCAATGCGAATATGCCTTTTTTCTACATTTAAAAACCAAATACTTTTTGTAATTCAGATGGTAAAAATTAAACATGAGAATTCGGGGTCAAATAAGTGAACAAGAATTTGACATTTTTTGTCCTTTTAATAGCAATTAAATTTCAAATCGGCATTGATGATCATATGATCAATAATTATTGTGCATGCATTCGTCTGTGGCGAAAATCGATCAAATATATATTATATTTCTAACATAGTGTAACGTGCGTATACTTAGTAACGGGGTCCTATTCCAAGTAAAAAGACATTTCATATAGTCAAGTAAACTTCAATTTAATAAAGGAACTGATTTGCTTTATGATGGAAGAATGGGGATCTGTTGCATATTTACGGGGAGCCGTTTGGGAGAATTATGATCTGTTGCAACTTTACGGGGTACCGTTGCTCGTATCGTTGAGTAGAATTATGATCTTTTGCATATTTGCGGGGAGCCGTTGAGGAGAATTATGATCTGTTGCATACTTACGGGGTACCGTTGGGGAGAATCAACATCATTGACGTTTATCAAAACTTTCAACCGACGCTGTGTTTTTCTGACGTCATATAGATCTACGTTTTCACCGGAAACTGCTGCCATTAAAGTAAGTTCCTGAGTACCTTGAATATAAAAATAAAAATCTCTTACCTCAGGAGGCAAACTGTTAACAATGTCAACAACTTCCTGTACACTGACGTAATATGTCTTACGACGTCGTCCTAAACCAAGATAAACACTCATTTTTGTCTCTATGACAACCGGTAAAATTTTTCTTTTACGATATGAAGTTTTAAAATATTTTCAAGGAAAAAATATTGACGCATATATTCACTGCTAATGCTGTTTTCTATGGAAACGGAACAATTTCTTAGATATACTAGTTGTTCCAACGGAATTGTTGATATTTAGGGTGTGTTCGAATTTAATGAATATTCGTGCACTTAATCTTATATCATGCCACGAAGAAGAGATTCTAGTACTCAATTCAATGTAAGTTTGACATCAAGAAAAAATTCATCTCATCCTTTATAAATTCCACACAGAGTAAGCAAACTAGATTATTGAGAATAAGACTCGTGTTTGAATAATTATTCTGTAAGATAAACAATATTAAGCATATTTCCCTCCGTCTGTAAACATTTTCATTGTTGTCGAACTTTAAAATCCATCAAGACCTATACTAATTAGCATGTTTCGTATTAAAATGAAACTTTGGACTGATTGCTTAACTCAGGCTAATATATAACACTGAGTTATAACAAATATTATTATAATGTATAAAATTTGACATTCGTGGTAAAGGGTCACTGGATCTTTACAGAGATAGAAGATCTATTACAGTTTATCAATAGATATCAAGTTATGATTCTTTACCAACCTGGATCAATTTCCAAATCTTAGTATGTATAAAATGTAATTGATTTATTACGTAACGTTATATATAAAAGGATGGATTGAGGTTTATCAAGGTTCGTTCGATCGATCGTTCGTTCGTTCGTTCGCGCGCTCTTTCTCTCTCTCCATCTTATCCTCCAATCCTTTCTTTTCTCCGTCTTATCAAACGTTTTGCTTATCAATTTTGGCTTCTAGTTTCATTTCAACTGAACTTCATTAAATCCTAAATTTTTCATCCACTTTTTCTTTTTTCGGATGTTTTTCCAGTTTTATTGACATTCCTTGTGAAATTCATCTTTCCCTATGACACTTATGTGTGTGTGTGTGGGGGGGGGGGGGGGGTCGGTTCGCCTTACCTTTCTAAGAACGTCAATCTTTTTTTCTGTTTTCATCCCTCTATATTTCTCTGTTTATATTGTACATTGTATCCCACTCCCTATATCCTTACAACTTAGTTATTTTTATATCCCACAACTTATGATGTGTTATATCTCTTTTTCGTGCATTTTTTTTTTATATCCTTCTATTTTTGTTTTCAGAGTATTTATATCCTTTAAGATGTCCCCTTTTTACTCTCTCTCTCGTTGTGTCCCTCCGATAGTCTAAAAACAGTCTTTTCAATATGGCGCAATGGATTTTTCGGGATTATCTAATCTTATTTCTTATTTCCTTTTTTGATGCTCATTGAGATAAGAAACTGTTTTCCTCCTTTTACACATTTTCTTCTTTAGACCCTTACTCTTCTAATATCTACTTTTTTTATTATTTTAATCATTATTTTTTTTTTAAATTTCAAACCCCTTTTCTCTCGTATGCGCTATTTGTTTCTGAATCTTTACTCTCAACAGTGCATCATTGAAAATACCGATTTGATTTTGCATCGTTGAGACCCCCTCCTAAGAACCCCCTCCTATTGATCGGACTGCATTAACTTATGACAACAAAATACCGAGGACAAACAATATTTATTTAAAACACGACAATAACTTGTCAAATAAAGATTAATATCAATTTAAACAAACAAATATTTAAATAACGTCCATCACATAATCAAACTGTTTCGATTTAAATACCTTAAAGTGCAACACAACTGTTTTTTTGTAAACAATTGAGACATTTTTATCAACATTAATTGATATTTTCTTATCACGATTAAGTCGCAATAAACATATCTGTAAGTTTATTGGAAAATATAGAAATATTGATTTTTTAAACACATGTTTTTGTTGTCTTATGAAAGTAAGTAGATGTGGTAAGATTGTCAATGACAAAATTATACACCGGAGACCTAAGCAACTATATATGTCACCGTGTGGCCTTCAACAATGAACAAAAACATACCGTATAGTAAGGGGACGATCAATTGATATTCTTGGGGGGAGGGCACAGGATGATTTTTTATTGATATGATTTGCCGCGTGGAAATTGATTTCAACTAACTATTATCCGCTTTTTGTGTTTCAGAATATTCATTATCACCCTGTCTTTGCCATTTTTTTTATGTTCAGCTCTTATCAGGCTAGGAGATATTCATGTTTAACCCTTCCCTCCGACAACCAAAGACAATCAAATAGTCGTCTCCTAAGCCATAAAGGCCCCGAACAAAAAATCGCGAGACAATTCAAACGTGAAAAACAAAGGCCTGATTTATGATCAAGCAATCTATTGTTCATATATATGAGACAACGATCAAATGAAATGGTCCATGTTCATGAGACAACTTTTAGATGAAATTGTTCATGTAAAAAGGTAAAAATCCCATGCAAGTGTTCACATACAACGATCACATAAGTGGTTAATATACACGAGAAAACTATCAAATTAGATGGTTCACGTTTATGAGACAACTATAAAATGAAATTGTTAAATTAAACAACAATTATATGAAATGGTCCATGTACATCAGACAAAGATCAATTGAAATTGTTAAGTGAGACAACAATTATATGAAATGGTTGATGTACAGAAGACAACGGTCAAAGATATACTAGTAGTTTATGTACTTGAGATAACAACCCCGTGTAAGTGTTCACACACAATCTACCACGATCACATGAAAAGGTTCATATACATAATACAACAATCAAAGGAAATGGTTCATGTTCACGAGAAAGCAATGATATGAAATTGTTAATGAACCTGAATAGACGAACATATGAAATGGTCCATGCAAGTGTTTACATGCAAATAGTATCAATCACATGCAATGGTTCATATATAAATACAACGGTCACATGAAATAGTTCATGTACACGAGACTAGTATATGTACTTAAGATAAAAATTCCATGCAAGTGTTCACATACAAACAACATCGATCACATCACGTGGGTCATATACATGAGACAACGATAACAGGATATGGGTCATGCACATCAGACAACGATCAGATGCATTGGTTCATATACACGAGAAAACTATCAAATGAAATGGTTCACGTTCATGAGACAACGATCAAATGAAATTGTTAAGTAAGACATCCATTATATGAAATGGTCCATGTACATCAGACATTGGTTAATGTACATGAGATAACGAGCACATGAAATGGTTAATGTACAGGAGACAACGGTCAAAGATATACTAGAAGTATATGTCTTTGTGATAAAAAAAAATTCCCATGCAAGTGTCCACATTCAATCTGCGTCGATGACATGAAGTGGTTCGTATACATGAGACAACAATCAAAGGAAATGGTTCATGTACACAAAAGAACGATGAAATGAAATGGTTAATGAACCTGGAAAGACGAACAGATGAAATGGTTTATGCAAGTCTTCACATACAAATACCATCGATTACAAGAAATGGTTCATAATGACATGACATGTGTGTTTCATTATAATACGTTATTTCGATTGGCTTACAGCAATCTCGCGTCATTTTGAAATTCACCTTCATTTCAAAATGAAATGTAACATTCATGATGACACGAGCTTCCACAATAAAGTGCAGAGGTAAATAAAAGAAAAACTTGATAGAAATCGTGTTTTCATGATCCTAGCAAAAACATGTAATAATAAGTGTTGAATGTTACTTTTAGTAATTTCATAGGGTTGTAAAAGCGTTGACCGTGCGCACATTTTTAGAATGAGGCGCTTTTCATAAAAAATGTACTTCGATCAACGCTTTTCATATAAAATGTACTTCGGTCAACGCTTTTACACCCCAATAAATTTACAAATGGGAGCATTCAATTCTTAAATAAACACGACACTAGTATAGGTACATAAGATAAAAATCCCATGCAAGTGTTCACATAGAACCAACATCGATCACATTAAGTGGTTCATATATACTGGCACTAGACAACGGTCGCATGAAATAGACATCTATCAAATGAAATGGTTGATGAACAGGAGACAACGGTCAACGATATACTACATTGTAGTAGTATTTGTCATTGAGATAAAAATCGCATGCAAGTGTTCACACACAATCTGCCACGATCACATGAAAAGGTTCATATAAATAATACAACAATCAAAGGAAATGGTTCATGTTCACGAGAAAGCGATGCAATGAAATGGTTAATGAACATGAAAAGACGACCTATGAAATGGTTTATGCAAGTGTTTACATACAAATAGTATCAATCACGTGCAATGGTTCATATACATGAGACAACGGTCACATGAAACATTTCATGTACACGAGACTAGTATATGTACTTAAGATAGAAATTCCATGCAAGTGTTCACATACAACCAACATCGATCACACGATGTGGGTCATATACATGAGACAACGATAAAAGGAAATGGTTCATGTACATGAGAGAGCGATGCAATGAAATGGTTAATGAACCTGGATAGACGAACAGATGAAATGGTTCATGAACCTGGAAAGACGAACAGATGAAATAGTGAATGAACCTGGAAAGACGAACACATGAAAGGCGAGAAAACGATCAAATGGAATTGTTTATGTACATCAGACAACGATCAAAATAAGTGGTCCATGAACATGCAACGACGAACAAATGAAATTTTCATGTACATGAAAATAGATCAAACTAACTGGTTAATGAATCTGCAGAAACGAGCAACTGAAATGGTTCATGTACATAACACAACGATCAAATGGTTCATGTACATAACACAACGATCAAATGGTTTATGTACATATCACAACGATCAAATTAAATGATTCATATGACTCATATACGCCGTGAACGGTAAACGAAATGAAAGTATATGTTCTTGAGATAAAAATCCCATGCAAGTGTTCACATACAAACAGCATCGATCAGCATTGATTGGTTGATTGATTGATTGATTGATTGATTGATTGATTGATTGATTGATTGATTGATTGATTGATTGTGCAATAACTCGATCGAAATGGCGAGTTAAAGTTACCACAACATTGCACTGTCATAGATGGTATATATTTGGAGAAAGATCTTGATTGGTTAATGAAAGATTTATAACTACTTACGAAAATATCTCCAAAAATGTTGACACTTATTACAAAGCTTTAACGTAGGAGGTATGTAATTATTCTTGTAGTACCCTGATATAGGCGGTAAATATTTGTCACTGTAAGAAGTCCTGTCAGTATTAGGTTTGGTGTCGGATTTGGGTGAGTTACGAGATACCCAGAATTCATTGTGTCCTTGTTTTATCACTGGAGCTGTACGGGCCTGACGGTTTATTTTAGGTAATCTTATTCGCGAAAGTTTTGGTCCCTCGGGAGCAGTAAGCATTTGTCGATTAATTGTTGTTCTCACATTTTTTTGTAGATTTTCTGTCGGTTCCATGTCTATCTTAATTTTTTTAACCCCCGTTATTCTACACTTAGTGACTAAATGTAAACATGTTATCGATTCACATTTATGTAATATTTAAAATAGTTATAAAGTAGATCCTTTGTTTTATGTTCAAATTTCACATATTTGGTCTTTAATCGTTGTCTTTGTCGGTATATTTATTGATAAATCCGATTTAATATCCGGTCAGCTATTGAGCTATTCGATCATTATAAAATGTTTTACACATATGTATCCGATCAGATATCGAGCTATTCAATCATTATATAATATATTTCGCACATATGTATCCAGTCAGCTATTGTGCTATTCGTTCATTACAAAATATTTCGCACATATGTATCCAGTCTACTATTGTGCTATTTGTTCATTATATAATATGTCGCACATATGTATCCAGTCGGCTGCTGTGCTCTTTGTTCATTATATAATATTTCGCACATATACAGCACATGTATACCTGGCCTGCAGTAGTATAAAGAATTACACATGAACGTACAACTGTATTTTTTTCCAACACTTCAACTTTTCAATATGAATGAGACCACCTAGCGTAGAAATTTTTGTTCGTCCATATTACAAGATAGTTCTTCCTAAATCATTCATTTATATTGTTGACAGGAACGTTTCGGTCGTTGGATATCTTGTAGGGGGTAATTCAAATTTGTATAATAAGTGATTAAAATCAGTTCATTTTTGTTTAAATACTGGTTAATTTATCTCCTATCTTTAGTTAAACGTCTATTTATGATAAAACAACTTGTTTTGAAGCATGTGAAAATTTAGTTAAGATCGGAACTATATACAGTCCGTCAGGACAAAGTGTTTAAACTGGAGCGTTAATTCCAATCGTGCTCACCAATAAATTTTGCAACCTGTCACACATGCACTAGTCCTATCTACGTCATTTGGTCTTTAGTTTTCTTATTGACATTCTTACATTTCACCTAGATCAGAACTATAAATTAATTTGATTTTTGTATATTATTTTTGACTGTAAATAGAAATTAGACCTCACGCACGCACATTAAAGTGACATCAGTACCCGGTATGGCATGGGGACATCGGTCCCGGTAGGGTTTATATATAGTGGAAACAGTGCCCGGCACAATATAGTGACTTGACATCAAGTCTGACGCGGTATAATGACACAAGTGCCCGGAGCGGTAAAGTGACACAAGTGCCCGGCGCGTTATATTGACATCAGTGCCCGGCGCAGTATAGTGACATGACATCGGTGTCTATCGCGGTTAAGTGACATCCGTCCCGTTGTTGTATAAGGCCATCAGTGCCCGGCGCGGTGTAATGACATCAGTGAACAATTCGTTATAGAGACACCAGTTAAACACTATAGTGACATCTGTGGCCGGCGCGTTAAACCATAGAGACATCAGTGACGCGTTATAGTGATATCAGAGGCCAGCGAATTAAAGTGACATCAGTGCTCGGCGCGGAATAGTGATAGCAGAGCCCCGTTCGGTATAGTGACATGACATCAGTGTCCGGCGCGGTAAAGAGACATCAGTCCCAAGAGCGGTATAGTGACACTAGTGTCCGGCGCGGTATAGTGACATCAGTGGACGCGGTATTGTGACATCATTCCCGGGCGCGGTATAGCGACACCAATGTCCAGCGCGGTCTAGTGACATCAGTGACCAATACGGTATAGTGACATCAGTGCGCGGAACTTTATTATCCGTTGTGTTGATGGAGTGCTGAATAATAAAGAAGAAGATACGTGTAGATGTATAATCCATTAGGAACATTTAAGTCTCTTTCTTATTTTCATTGGTTGGCTCATTTCAACTAGCTGTTCAACTAGGCTATTTTGATTGTAACTCGGCAAATTCTCTTAGCTGAATAAAACTCAAAATTATCATAAGTTTTTGAATGAATTATAGGGTAATCAAATAAATAAATCCGGTAAAAATAATCATTTATCAAAAAAATGTCCATATAGAAATCAATGGATATTTACAGAAACATTTCAACTGGCAAGGCTGCACTAAGTCAATGGAATTGGTCAATGTGACATTTTCTGACAGGTGAAATTACTTACTACTAGTAATTACGACACTGGAACTATTGCTTGTCGTTTTACAATTGCATTTTGCTATTTTTACCCCTTTTATCAAAATTTTTGAATTCGTTTGTGTTCCCTTTCACGTTCCATCACAAGGCGGAACTAATCTGGACGCTGAAGAATGACTATACATAAAGTTGAAGACCCATTGGTGGCCTTGGGCTGTTTTCTGCTCTTTCTGCTGCTTTCGGGTTTTTGTCTCTTTGACACATTCCCCATTTCCATTCTCAATTTTATAAAGTCTATTGGAGATAAATTTGGCACAATTTTTATGAAGACAAATGTCATGTTGTCATGTTATACGTCAACATTCTTGTTCACAGTCAAGATAACACTTATCTTAAATATAAAGTGTCATTCAGTGTGTTGTGTTTGTTTGTTCCCAGCTATGAATTTAGGAGGGTGTGGATGGTGTTTAAGAATATAGAAATAAAGAATAGAGACAGATGGGCCAAACAATTTATGAATACAGAAATCAAGAACAACTCCTTTGAGACCCTCATTAAGTTATCATCGCAAATTTTGGGTCAAATCTTGAATCTGTAATGTTATAAAGACAATAAGAATTAAGATGTTCTTTACTAAATTTGAATTTAACTAAATTTACAAATGTTATTTCGCTTCATAAAATTTGAAAAGGTGTATGTAACTCTTGATTTTTCCCCGTGTAGATGGAAAACCATTTGATATAATGGGTTGGGGGTTGTTCTGACGCAATTTTCACTTTTGTACACATTAATTTCTGCATTTTGTTGGACAACATATTAATTTCATCCTGTTTTATAAAAAAAAGAAGAAGATGTGGTATGACTGCCAATGAGACAACTAGACATTGGATGGAGAGTTGTCTCATTGGCACTCATACCACATCTTCTTATATCTAATTAGACAAGTTTATATTTTGCAGTTCTTACCAGGCCAGAATATTTATTTCCAAAATTCTCCGGTTCCTCCCCCAGAATATCAACTGGTCGTCGCCGAAGGATAAGGACAATAAAAGAATCAATTAATGAGAAATCCAACGACACAAATCCAGTAAAAGACAACTATGGGGTCAATATTAAGCACTAGACAAGAGCCTTCACCGTAATTTCAATTTCTTAACTCCCACCAACGAGGGGACAACATTCAGCACCAGACAAGACCACAGAGTATACATACGGTCTGAATAAGTTATTCGAGACACTGTGCAAGGATTTAAAACTAAAATGTACTGACAACCACTTACAACTACTAATGAGGATAAAGAGTAGGTACTGGTACATTTTTATACGCCCATCTTGAGACGGGACGTATTATGGTATACCGTTGTCAATCTGTCCGTCCGTCGTCAACACTTCTGTCTATAACTCAAAAATGTTTTGAGCGATTTTCATGAATCTATGGTGAATTGTTTATATATATTGACATAAGTGCCTATCGAATTAAAAAAAAATCTGATTTTATGTTTTGGAGTATTGGGACTATCCATTTTTCACACTTTGGACGGTTATTGAATTTTATTCGTTCAAAAATAGTGCCAAATTATTCAGGTTTTGTGTCAATGGGTACCAAATGTGCGTGCATGTCTTTTTTTTAGGAGGGGGTCTATTTGAGCAGTGCTCACAGTATTTCTAGTTGATGATATTAATTCATTTTCGACGAGCTAAATGGCGTATCATGCGCTCATGGCGCAGCTTTTTCTTGTTTAATGAGGAGGGTTAAACTAGTTTCTTTTTTACTCAATTCAATTGTATTTGCGTTTTCTGGATTTTTGTGTCATATTTTAGAATGAACAAAAGGAGATGTGAGGTGTACGTCAAAGAGTCAGCAACCAAACGACACCCCAAAAAAAAACAATAAAAAAGACGACCTAAAAGGGCGACGGGCGTATAATGCGCTCATGGTGCAGCTCTTTATTATTAAATGTGAAGGGTGATACTTGCTTCAGTTTTAATCAACTCAATTTTATTTGCGTTTTTTTTAAAGATTCGTGTGTCATATTTTAAAATGAACAAAAGGAGATGTGAATTTAACGAAAAAAACAATGGACTGCTTTTGGTTTTACCTATTTTGTATGAAAATCTGTATCATTTAAAAAAATGTATTCCGTTATATTAAATAAAATAAAACTGTTAAAATATTTCTTCGTTTTTAGTTTAATATAAAAATAAGAAGATGGACTATAATTGCCAACGAAACAACTCTCCACAAGAGACCAAATGACATAGAAGTTTACAACTATAGGTCACCGTACGGCCTTCAACAATGAGCAAAACCCATACCGCATAGTTAGCTTCCCTAGCACCTATCAGTTATGTTGAGGTTTTTTCAATTGAATCCCAGCCTTATAATATGTTATATCAGTAATTTCTCTCGAACAAAATACCTAAGGGAGACAGCTTTGGCGGAGCATGCATGGAGTAGATGCATATTTTGATTGATGGTTGTACCACGTAACGGCGGTAGGATAAATGAATAGATATAAGAAGATGTGGTATGAGTGCCAATGAGACAACTCTCCATCCAAGTCAAGTTAAAGCTTATCCCAGAAGTTTAGATACCAGGAATGGGTGAGCATTGGATCGAGGATAATAAAATTAGACGATGAGAGAAGGTTTTGTTGTAATATGAGCAAATGGATAAGAGAAGCGATGGAAGTAAAAATGAATAAGTAATACAAGTAGAATATATCCATTCTCACATGTGGAGGGCATAGCCTAGGGTATACGACTGCTGCTGTTATGTTACCAGGAATGCACAACGGCAATAAAGTAAATACAACGAGTGATTGGTAGTTGTTTTACGTCCAGCGACTAACGTTACAGGTTAAGGCATCAATCTTTTTTTACAGTCGGTTCTTTAGGCGCGGATCCATGATTTGCTGTTAGGGGGTGTCATTGGCGGGCTGTATCCGGCGGTATTCCTGGCGCGCCGGAAGCTCATGAGAATTAGGAATTAGAGGACATTATACTGACACAAATTTTGTTGTAATTTTACCTTTTTCTTTTTGTTGTTCTTTTTTTGGGCGGGGGGGGGGGGGGGGGGGGTTAACCCGTCTGAAACCGCACCTGACTTGTTGTATAAAAAAAGAATTTAAAAAATGTTGAAATTTGAACAATCGGCATGCAATGGATCAGAATTTATAATTTACAGTCTATCATTAGGACTCTCATGGTGTCACTACGATTCCCTTGCTCAACCGGATGTGTGGACCCCCACCCCCTAAAAAAATAGAAAATTTAAAAAAAAAACAAACAAACAAAAACAAACAAACAAAAAAACACGCAGGGTAAAATCCTTTTCTGTCATTTATAGTGAATGACTTATCCATCCGCCAAAATTAAATCTAACGAATGAAATGAAATGAATAAATAAACAAATTTAATAGATTTAATAAATCACGGAATTACAGAGGAATTAAATAAATAAGCCGATTTGAAAAAAAACTGAAGGACACATAATCTTACCTGCACGGCAACAGAGTGCATCTTTAAAAGTAAATGTAAAAAAGATAATAAAATGTTCCTTTCGAGAATT